TAAATTAGACTTCAATGTACTCAAATTAATGTCCTTGGTCATGTTGCTTTCAATAAATTGAATGGTGCCCACTCCATTAGCTCCCATAGACCTCCAAAGCATAACTGAACCACCACCATGTTTCACTGTCCCAACTAAATTTTTATTTCGTAGCTCCGTTTTTGGCTTTCTCCATACTATTTGGGGTCCATCAGATCCCCAAATGTTAATCTTTGTTTTGTCAGTGAACATCACACTTTCCCAGAAACTTAAAGGCTTATCAACACGGTTCGCGAACTCAAGCCGTTCTTTTTTATTTACACTGCAGATAAATGACTTTTTGCGTGCTATCCGTCCATGTAAATTATTTTTGCGAAGAATACGACGAACTATTTCAGTTGATATTGGTTTATTTATGGTTTTGGACACCTCGACCGTTAAATTAGGAACACTTATCTTTGGGTTTATTTCCACTTTACGTACAATATTGTGTTCATCAACATCAGTCAAAATTTTTTGCGGCCTCTCCCACCGGAATTTAGTAACGTTCTTCCATATCTCCATTTATTTATAATTTTTTGAACTGTCCAATGAGGTCTGCCAATAATTTCACAAACCTGTCTGTACGATTTATCTTCACAGGACAATTTTATCACTAATTCTCTTATTTCAATAGTTGTCTCCTTTCTAGTACCATCCATGGTAAAAGAAATGCACAAATAAAAACAATAAATTGCGAATCTAAGGCTAACACGCAATAAAATCTTTGAAATGTAGTTCAGTGCTAACGTGATCACTTAACGGACAAAAAGATATCCAGAGATGCCACATTTAAAATGTGAGTGTATACTCAATTTCGTGACCTGAATTTATCAATAATTTTAGTTTTTTGTTTAAGTTTTTCTTAATGCTAAATAAATTAATTAATTTAGCTTCAAATATAGTCGATAATAGTTCAAGTTTCAAATTTGCATCAACAAAATTCAAATACATTCACTAAATTTTGCATAGTTTGTGTATTTCTTTTACGAAAACCTGTGTATACTCATTTTTGTGAGTAACTGTATGTACATACAATAAATATCTGACGTGCTGTTTGCTCAACCAAGAACAAGTCCCAAAGAATGTGAATGCAGAAGTATAGGCTATAAAATCTAAATCAGATATTCAACTCGTGATAAATGAAAGCGGACAGCGCTTGAAAACACAATTGCTATTGCTCACTCATTCAGTAACTTGGATTACAAATTTTATCTGCTTTTGTTCATGGTATGAAGGATATGGAATAAAAGAAGGCGGATTCACAGACACACGAGAGTCCTTAGCTACATTAAATTTCTTTCAGTAAAAAAAATACAAAATATTTTGGATACTTACTATAGAATAGAAAAGTTAGTTTCTATATATTAAAAAAAAAACTTTATTTTTTAAATAAAATTTATTGAACATCAGTTTTCTATTTGAAAATTAAAATTATTGGGTTGCCCAAAAAGTAATTGCGTATTTTTCATATAGTCGGCGTTGACAAATTTTTTCAACGGCTTGTGACTCTGTAATTGCATTCTTTCTTCTGTCAGTTATCAGCTGTTACTTTTAGCTTGCTTTAGAAAAAAAGTGCGCGAAATTTTGTTTACATTTGTTTGTTTGGCGTCAATTTTAATATGGCGCCCACAAAGGAGCATTTTCGTCATATTTTACTGTATTATTTCCGTAAAGGAAAAAACGCGGAGCAGGTTGCTAAAAAGTTGCGAGATGTGTATGGTGATGAAGCCTTAAAAGGAAGACAGTGTCAAAATTGGTTTCGCAAATTCCGTTCTGGAGATTTTTCACTTAAAGATGAGCCACGTTCAGGTCGGCCAAATGAGGCTGATGATGACCAAATCAAAGCATTAATCGAATTGGATCGTCGTGTAACTGAGCGTGAGATAGGAGAGAAGTTAAATATACCAAAATCAACCGTTCATTATCACATAATTTCATTTAACACACCGAATCAACGCTTGTGATATGCACCTTAAACGCAATAAATTCGATCCGTTTTTAAAACCAATCATAACTGGAGATGAAAGATGGATTGTTTACAACAACGTTAGTCGAAAACGATCATGGTCCAAGCATGGTGAACCAGCTCAAACCACTTCAAAGGCTGATATCCACCAAAAGAAGGTTATGCTGTCTGTTTGGTGGGATTGGAAGGGTGTCGTATATTTTGAGTTGCTTCCAAGGAACCAAACTATTAATTCGGATGTTAACTGTCAACAATTGGACAAATTGAATACAGCCATCAAGGAGAAGCGACCAGAATTGGTCAGTCGTAAAGGTGTCATATTCCACCAGGACAACGCTAGACCGCACACATCTTTGTTCACTCGCCAAAAACTGAGTGAGCTTGGCTGGGAACTTTTGATGCATCCACCTTATAGCCCTGACCTTGCACCATCAGACTACCATTTATTTCGATCTTTGCAGAACTCCTTAAATGGTAAAACTTTCGGCAATGATGAGGCTATAAAATCGCACTTGGTTCAGTTTTTTGCAGATAAAAGCCAGAAGTTCTATGAGCGTGGAATACTAAATTTGCCAGGAAGATGGCAAAAGGTTATCGAACAAAATGGCAATTATATATTTGATTAAAGTTCATTCTAAGTTTTATTAAATATGCATTTACTTTCTTTTAAAAAATCCGCAATTACTTTTTGGGCAACCCAATATAATGATTCAGAAAAATGAAAATATTTGGCGTTAAATATCAGTAACATGTAAATTAAAAAATTGAAAATTGTAAGTTAAAAATGTTACGGTAGATTCCTACATTTACTCCCCCTCCAGTGAAACACATATATATTTATATTAATTAAGATTAAATGTGACTTTTTTTGTTTGGTGTTTGTCAGTGTAGTTGTGTTTCGTGAAGAAGTGGTTGACATAATGTTTGCAGGTTTAAGTAAATCTATTGATGTTGTTTCACTTTTTTTCCATATTGTGTAGTTTTGTTATGTTTGGATATAACTTTAAATGGTCCTTCATAGGGGGTTAAAGATTAGACTTATGAATAACTTTAACAAATACGTATTCACAAGAACTTAAATTTTTAGGAATGAAGCTATTTTCTTTATTATGGTATATTACTTTGGATCGAACAAGTGAGAAATGTTTTCTTAATTTAGAAAGAATTTCATTTGAATTTTCAATTTCGTTATTATAATTATAATTGGAAACAATAAGTTCACCCGGAAGTCTGAGTGTTTGACTATAAACTAATTCAGCTGAAGAACATTTAAGATCGTCCTGTTGTTGTTGTTGTTTTGTTGTTGTAGCGGTTCGCTAACCCCGCTTAGGCACAGGTTTGATCAGTCTAAGTCGTCGAGGTGATCTAGTGGGAGGTCCAGGAAATGAGCGGTAGCATCCCAATAGGAACTGCTTGCACAGCAAAGCATTATGCTCCTTAACTCGTACCATAGATGCTTCGCTGTGCAAGTGATGATGCTCCGGCGACATCAGGAGGCTTCCTGTCGCGGTCCTGAGGGCGGTATTCTGGCAAGCCTGTAGCTTCTTTATCTGCGTCTCGTTCGTCCCCGGCGCTCAGATCGGTGCAACATAGTTTACGACCGGCCGACCAATTGCTTTATAAGTAGCCAGCAAAGTTTCTTTGTCTTTACCCCAGGTGCTGCCGGCTAGCGCTTTGAGTATTTTGTTGCGGCTCTGGAGTTTTGCCAGAATACCAAATTCAATTTCGAGTGTTAAAAAAAGTAACAGAATTTACTTTACCGGTAGCCGTGAGAATAGGCCTGTTATTACACAAATGATCCTGATTCAATAATTAAAGGTTGGATAAGTAGTGACAACCCTGCAAGACCGGGCTAATGGGTTCACCAATACACTCACACGATTTCGGGCAGCACTAACACATTGAACGGATTATCCGATTTCCTTTGTTCTTATTTTCGAGTAGAACGCCATTTTGTATCGTTTCCTCCGCCGTAGGTAGAGTGAAAAATACATGATGAGGATCGTGTACAAGCTATGGTGATACTATATTTCGGATTAATTAACTACTTCATTTTTCATAACTCTTTACATTGACTCTGACTTATTTGGTTTAAGGGTCTAATTGCAGCGTCCGTTCATCAGAGGTGCGGCTGAGAGCGGGCGTCGGTCTTGAAGCAAGCGGCTCGCTATTTAAAAGTGTAAAAAAAAACTTTAAACCTACTCACCTAGCGAGGTTTTTATCTTTGGTACAACACAATGAAACATCCCCTAATGGGTTGAGGCTGATCGACTTTGCCGGGGCCGAAATTTGGTTGTCTGTAGTATTAGATTCCAGCAAAAAAAAAATACATCAAGCTACTTTGCTATCCCCTGATCGAAAAACACAAAACCAGATAGATGATTTTGTGACAGACGGAAGATATGTCTCCAGTTCTGTATATGCGGTTTGCGGGAAGGGAGTTTCGACACTCCTTTACAAACTGCATTTTGGAAAGTAGTAGAAAAGGGGAGACCATGTGTTCCATTACAAAAAAGGGAGAATGTAGCAAAAAGGGAATTAAAAAGTAAGAAAAATAGTAGGTAATTTAAATGGTATTTATTACATTTCATTCGTTTTAAAACTGAATTAAATACATTTGAAATTAATATCATAAATATATCTATATTTTCTAAATCATATAAAACAATTATATGAAAATCTCTAAAATTAATGGATGTGCGAAATAATAAAATTATAAATAGTAAAATTACATTTAATTGGTTAAATAAGAAAAATTTGCATATATAGCAAAAAAAAAATTCTTTTGAGTAATTTAAGCCACTACACAAATGGTTGATGTCCTAATAAAAGGATCAAAGGCTGACAACACCGTCGTTCAAGAACAGCGATGGACTGGACAAGGACTGAAGAAGGTGGGTCCTTGTGAAATATACTACAGCGGCTATATAAAGACGCACAAATTTGGTGGCGGATCATCCAAGCCACGAAGGAAAAGAAGGGCGATGTGACAAAGGATCCCTTTAATAAGCGCCTGTAGTATACTGACCACTACGTTGTGCTTGGCTGCTCAGTCAGAGTAGGCAAAAAGGATATCTTTAGCACAACTATTGGAAAATTATATATATATACATATGAATGTCGTAAAAAATAAAATAAATTATAAGCGTCTCATTGCTCTTCTCTTCCTTATGGAAACATGATAAAAATAGAACACATACAAGCTTACCCTATAGAATAAAATATTTATACGAGCGTTTTCTCTATTGAAATCATAACCTACGCACTCACAACATATTAACAGCCTCTCTAAAGTCCTCTGAATAAATTTTTACCTCTGTCTTAGTCTCAGCGCGTACCAGATATCTTTTATAAATCAAATAGCTCGCCCACACTAACGATGGAAACAGCACTAGACCCAAGGGCATAAAAAACAGCATGCAGAAATCACTTGAATCCGTGTATGCATCCTCATTAACACTATAATTTGCCAAATATTTCGTGTCTTCCGGAAAATTAACTTCAAGGTAAGCTTCACGTATTATAAAACCATGATTACTAATCGCAGCACAAGCGTAGAACCCCTCGTCCCTCGCACGCACTTCATTTAATATCAATTTACTGAGAAATATACCGTCACCAATGAATTTTTCCCGTGCTCTGTGTAGAAGCTCGTAGATATGTCCATTGTAGTTGACAAAATGTGTGTTGAACTTATCGCCGCTATCCGTGATATATTCCAAGCCGTTGGGTAGAGATGTTGAGATGCGACGAAACCATTTAATTGTCGGATGCTCCTCACAGTATATTCTGCACTGGAGTACAACTTGGTCGTTTACAACCGCAGTTTTGTTCATGAGATATGGGTCAATAAATTGTAGTATAGCCGTACTTTTTGCTGTAGGAACGAAACAGTATACCGTTTTTAAATCAAATTTTGTCGAGAAAATCAGTGTAAAGTTTTGAATGGAAGAAAAATATAATATAGTAAGAAGTTCGGTCGGTTTTTATCTAAGAGATGGCGTTATTGTTCATGGTACTAGTGTTACGTGTCGCATCATGTCATACCATACGGCGAAAGAAAACGTGTTTATTCGCGCTAGAAGTTTGTCTTTGACAGTTTTTCGATTAATTGACTCAGTACGTTGTGAGCGCTCGATGGGCACCAGCAAAGAGAAAATTCGCTATATTTTAAAATTTTTGTTCGATCAAGGCGAAAAAGCAGCCAAAGCCGCTGAAAAAATTAATTTAGTTTATGGGCCCGATACTGTAAACGAACGTGTAGCACAAAAGTGGTTTGCTAGGTTCCGTTCCGCTAATTTCGATTTCAAAGATGCCCCACGCGTCGGGAAGCCTGTCGTCGTAAATTGCGATAAAATTATGGAAATAGTGAAAACAGACCGTCACGTGAGCACTTATTTAATTGCTGAGGAACTAAAGATAAGCCAGAAAACCGTTTGGAACCATTTGCATAACCTTGGATTCAAAAAGAAGCTCGATTTTGGGGTGTTACACGAACTAACGCAAAAAAACATGATGGACCAAATTTCCATCTGCAAATCGCTGCTGAATCGCAACAAAATCGAAATGTTTCTGAAGCGGATTGTTACTGGCGATGAAAAGTGGATAATTTATGACAACGTCAAGCGGAAACGGTTGCGCTCGAAACGCGGTGAGCCGGCGGAAATGGTGACCAAGACAGAACTTACGGCCATGGAGGTTTGCTGTGTGTTTGGCGGGATTGGCAAGGAATCATCTTCTACGAGCTGCTCCATGGCCAAACGCTCAATTCGGCCCTCTACTGCCAACAAATAGACCGCTTGAAGGCGGCACTCATCCATAAGAGGCCATATTTGATCAACAGAGGCCGAATCGTGTTCCATCAGGACAACGCCAGGCCAAACACGTTTTGGTGACGCACCAGATTTCGGTTGGGAAGTCCTAATGCACCCACTTTAAAGTCCGGACAAGGCACCAAGTGATTACCATCTTTCCTTGTCCATGGCGAATGCTCTTAATGGTGAGAAGTTGGCCTCAAGAGAGGCCTGTGAAAATTGGCTCTCCGAGTTTTTTGCCAATAGGGACGCAGCCTTCTACGAGAGGGGTATAATGAAGTTGGCATTTCTTTGGCAACAAATTTATGAACAAAACGGCGCATAAATGAAATCGCATGAAATCGGACAAATGTACACAAAATTATCATATTTTGAAAAATCAATAAAAAACCGAACGAACTTTTTACTGGAACAATATTATGTTAGCAAGCAAGGACGAATACAAAGAAACACGGTGAATCACGAATCATATTCTATCTAAAAATGTATATACATATATCTTAAAATTCAATAAGGTACCGAAGTGGATGGATGTATTTCAAGAAACTTATGTACATATTCATGGTTCGCTTTAAATGAATTTCTGCATGATATCCGTAAATGGAATACTTTTATTTCCCGGAAACAAGATCACCTTGCTCGAAATATAAATGATACTTTCCTTACGGTTAGGGGGTCACGGATAGATTGATTGATTGATTTGTATATAAGCATAGATCGTGCATAGGTATGTTCGCTTAACAGTGTTATTACTCTGCAGCTGCAGGTTGCAAGCTTTTCTCATATGTTCAACTTTAGTGTGAATAGGATAGATGCGAATGATGCATTTGGCTTACTTTGAGGCATTCATATTGACATACACATATGCGTGAAAAACTTTGAGTAGCGTAGAAGCTACACACACATAAAAATAATTAATAATTTAATTTAGACAATGCTAAATTAGAGTTTTTAATAGTTCTTTGTAACAAAAATTGGATTAAACATTGGAAAAAATACAGAAAGCCACATCAACGTGTGCCGGGCCTGCTAATTATACAGCAATAGAAAAAAATAGAACATTTGCTTATTTTTTTTATTTGATTAAATTTTCTGTAGCTTAGGATGTTAGTCAGACCAAGACCAGAGCCCACGTCCTCACGCACGGTAGTGCGCACTGATAACCAATTGACAATTGCGGCCGCGACCAATAAAACAGTAGTAAATTTGTCCCACTTTTTCCTTCAGCACAAAAAAATGCCTGCGATTTAGGACTTTCAACTCCCTTGCTATTTCCAGAAAGCCACTTCATGTAGTTCTCAACTTTTCTGCATTTTGGGCATGACCAGAGAAGGCCCCTGCCATCATGTTTTAAGTCGAGAGGCCGGCGCAAGATAACAAGAAATATGACGCCCAGCATCACTTTTCAAATTACACTTTTCGAATGAGCAGGACATCTTTTGTATAAAATAATAATGCATGCAATTTAAAACAAACATTTAAGGAAGGGTAAGTTATGTATATACATAGTATAGCTGATTATAAAAACCATAAGCAACCACATCAGACAAATATACATTCGTACATACGTATACGTGTGTAGATACAATACTTACTTTTCACATCGAGTTGATAAGTTCGAACCAATTGAACATCAAGTACTTGACCAGATTTCCTTTCTAAAGGGATTGATGTACATTTGTATAAGCCTGAATACTCTTCAGTAATATTACGGAGCAGCAATTCAGATTTGCATAAATTCTCTTCGCACGGTATCTGCAACCAATCATGGCAATCGGTATGGTCTACAACTTTCCCACAAAATTGCTGTAAACAATCCATTTACATAAAATATTCGAAATTTATATATTTTACGATTATTTTACATCCTACATGCATTTGAATACGTATACATATGTACATTAGGGTGGTCTACACTTAAATAAAAATACAAGGCATTTTCAGAAAGTAAGTATACTGACGGCCGGAGGAGTTTTATTTTCGTCATGTAGCAGGACAACACAACATTGTCGTACCACATTTGGACAATGTCACGAAGGAACTGATCGCTTCGTTCAAATGGGATGACCTTCATTTCCGACCCAAATTGAGAGGAATGGCAACTATATGGAAAAATAGCTTACATTTTGTACTAAAATGTCTTGTACTTTTTTTGTTTAGATAAAAAATTTTAAGACCTACAAAAATTCAGTACACTTACTTTACTGGTGTAGACACCGCTTACGCAATTAAAGCCGAGTTAACAGCATTGCGCCATTCGTTTCTTACTTTTGCTGTTTGCAGCCAATTGGAAATACTAAGTATAGCCAGGTCCTTCTCAGCCTGGTTTTTCCAAGGGAGTGGAGGTCTTCCTTTTCTTGAAAAGCTTTCAAACCTGGAGTATTCGTATTCATCCTCGTTCCTCTTTCACTACCAGACCCATATCCTTCGCTTCCTTATCCAGTCTGTAGATAGCAAAACTCACGGCGCGGTTGTTGGGGACAATAATGTCAATATCTTTGGCGTACGCTAGCAGTTGTACACTGTATAGAAGATTATACTTTCTCTATTCAGCTCTCCAGCATCAAACTAAAAATTCACACGATAAAGAATCACCTTGTCCGAAACCTCGTTTGGTATCGAACGGCTCGGACAGGTCCTTCCCGGTCCTGACGGAGATTTTAATGTTGCTCAAGATCAGTTTACATAGCCATATAAGCTTTGCGGGGATACCAAATTCAGACATAGCGGCGTAATGGCAGCTCCTATTCGTGCTGTTAGGTAATGCAACGTCTTTTCCATTGTCATCGGTTGGGGTTTCGAGTTCACCATCTCCGGATACTACATATTCGCTGCTATTCAGCAGGCTAGAGAAGTGTTTCCTCCATAAAATCAATATACTTTTTGTGTCCTAAAGGAGTATACTAGTACACTTACTCTCTGGTTATGCCTTGTATTTTTGCAGATATTTTTACAAAATTTTATTTCTACCAGTTTCTATTTAAGGGTTAATGATTTTTAAATAAATTACATAATTAATTAGCTTTTATACCCAAAAAATGTATAAATGCATTAAAGCTCACCTTAAAAAACCAATAGATTTTGGTTTCAGCCATATTATTCTCTTTCACCAAACTCTTGATTCCGCATTGCAGACGAACATCATAACCAGCTCGTTGATGTATTAATTCGACATTTTCTTTAAGAACTCAAAGTGTGCCAGAAATAAAGAGAAGTCAGTATAAATATCAGTATATTCCGAAATTACAACTCTTTACTATTATTTTTATTCAATTTTTGTAAAAATATATTTAATGCTTTAATGGGTTAAGAAATATGTTGATGACTCACCTGCGTAGCCCAAGTATAGTCCGAAAACCCAACCGGGAATAAATGTTACCGATGTAAAAATGGCAATAAAATACTTCAGTCGGTCACTAGAATCCATTATAAACTCTTTAGTCATTCTGGACCTTGCGAAAACCCAAGTCTTCACTTCATCATGAAAATCTAGAAACTAGTTTCCGACTAGTGAAAAGATATAAGATGTTAAGTTCCTTATATTAATTTAAGTTCACTTTAAGTTCTGGTTGAAAGCGAATACATATACCCTCTGCTAAGGCTGGAACTATTCTATTAACCGCCTTATCTTTACTTCACAACAGCAAGTTTAGTGTTTCTACCTCCTCGCATATATGTATATATGTATATATTTATATATTATATAAATTGACGCTTTGTAACCGCTGAAGCGAAGGGGAACTTTCATTTCATGTCAGAAATACACTCGAAAGGCTTGACATTTGCTGCCGAAATTAGAAAAATTAGCTTAATTTCTTATTCAAATTAAATTTCTATAACTTGGATGTCGGCCGGACCATGACTCGAATCCAGGTGTTCATGGCCTGGTGGTTTTCCGATTTTATTTTAAACCCGAACGGCAGCTAAAAGTAATGATGGAGAAACTTAACTTTTGATAAGTACTTTCCGCAATAGTCGACAAAAAATATTTCCAAATCGATGACCCGAAAAATGTTGCACTGTGTTATGTAATTCAACCATAAATAATATTTAAGCGCATTACTTTAAGTTTTACGAACATTCCCCCTCTTATGCTTCGAGCAAAAACCACCATATCTCGTGCACACTATTCTTTTCAGGCACTAAGAATAATATACAAGTATATAGAATAATATTAAAATGCGCGGCATTACCAAAAGCTTAAAAGTTTCACTTTTCGCAAATATGAAAATCAATTTTTGGTCATAAAATTTCTACTCGTACTAATATACACAAGTGAGCACTTTATCGTCCAATTGCCATAGAGTTAATACTTTGATAAATTAGATAAATCCACAGTCCAAATAAACAGAAAAGAACTTGGATTGGCTGGTAATTCTGCATTCAGATTTACGAAAGTTTAGGACATAAAATGGACTCGGGTGAAAAAATTGGCCTTGGTATAAATAAATTTCTGAAGTGATATCGCAGTTATAAATTGCATCAAATCTCCAGAAAATATATTTTGATTTGTCAATCCGGGAAGTTAATTGGCGCTTTGTAGTGGCTGAAGCGTTTTTCAGCCGAGCTCTTCACCTTTAGTTGTAATATGCGTCTTGATGTTTTCCCAATTAAGCCGCCTCCGAATGGCTGATGGTTTTTTTATTATGGAGTCTTTATTTCATGTCAGTAATACATTCAGACATTCAACGAGGGATAGACGTAATTAGAAAGTTTAACTTAATCTTTGACTTAAATTAATTTTATCAAAGTTTTGTATTTTAGTCGTAGGATTTGAATCCTGGCCTTCCCAATGGTATTACGCAATGCTAACCACTCGGCTACCAAGACTGCCAATTTGAATATTATCAGAACGATTTATATATGTAGGACTTTTGTTATCCGGAAATGTACCAGAATCCGTTTGCTTATATTTGGTAGGTCGGTAACCTTTTGCGTAGATTAACATATAAAATACTTTATTTCCGAAAAATCAATCGATCAATCGATAGCAAATCGCGTAATTATATAGATATCTAGTTGTATAAATGGCACCTAATACCAAGGCAAGTGTTTCTCTCACAAATGTATTTAATAGACGATGTTTTATGGGTAGAAATGGCGGTTAGTTGAACAAAACTTCCTGCTTTCGTCCTCATCTTCCGCCGCTTTGTTGCCCTCCAGGCGATCAATTGTAAATCGAACTTTTTCATAGTCAAGTAATGGAATGTGCTATCATCGTGGATTGTAGATTCAGGTAGATAACCTCTTTAGATCCTATGAGAATATGCTGCGAATTTGAAAGTTTGTTAAAGTGGACCCATCTTTTTACAAAATTTTCGTGCAATATTCTTATTTACAGTTATATGTAGTTGAACAAGAAACGATTTTATTTTCGAAAATGTGTAGAAACCTTACCACTGCGCTGTTATCGCGTGTGATTCCGACGGTAATCGCAATAAGCAATAAGCACCAAATACTCACAGTAGGGCTACCAAAAATGTTTTACCTGGCAATCTACTACGACAATAAATAATATTTGGTGGCTTATCAGTTTATTATCAAACAAAGCAGTAGCATATGCCAAAAAAGAAAATAGCAACAAAATAAATGGTGCATACTTTGCTAACCCTAATGTGATGGAAGTACATAACTGAGGTTCTTATCTGAATGAAATTATATTGTATGCACAAATCGCTAAATGACCACTTTTCCTCAGTAGAAATTAACGTAAAGAAGTTTGTTATTCTTTAAATTAATATTCCTGCAAAAATTATACATACATACATACATACATACATATCTTTGTATAAATATTTCAGAAATATGTTATTGTTTTACGCATATTATATTATATTATTACCACTATCGGTAATGGACGTCTCCTCAAACTCTTGCATCTTTAAAGTCACAAATTATTGTTGGAAAATCTATTATGTTTTTTTTTTTGATTTTGCATATAATAAAAATCCAAATATTCTCACTTACACATTCATACATACATACATGCTTATTTTTATTTTCTAGTTTAAATTTATAAAGTATGTAGACACTTCTCAACAAATAAATACATGCATAGATAGAATATTTATTTGAATTTAAATTTTTTTGACTTTTGTCGATTAACAATTATGTATATTATAAGTCCGATATTCATTCAGCGAACCGTTTCCTCTGCCGCTGTTTGCATACTGAACTTGGCAGCAATGTGGTTGGAAGTGCATGTTGGTGTGAGTGAGTAGACATGGAGAATAGTTGAGTTAATAAGTTCTCTGCTCTGGTAAACTGTGTCTTTGCAATGGAATACGCTGAAAAGCCAATCTGGGAAATTTCGAACTCGAAGGATCTAGGAAACAGACGTCAGAAGTGGTATTGCTAAGTAAGTACCGAATTAAAACAGAAAATGGTTAATATTCCGATAGGAATTAGCAACATGAGGATTATCAGCAGAAGCACATATTAAAAGACATCTCCGAAAACATCAGATGTATCGTCGATTGGAGTGCCGTTGATAAAATTTGTGCCTTATTCCTAGCAATAGCTGGATTTTTACCGGGAATCCTGAGTTTAGGAACATAAGATTGATAACTACGAGGCATTAATGCGACATGAGCAAATCCAAAACTATATAAAGCGAACCGTGGAGAGGTGGGGAATACAGATGTAATGACAAGGAGGTTCAAAAAACACACAAGTTTCTTAAGGAAAAAAGTGGTAGTGGAGCAATCGCCAAAAGAGTCAGTGCTAGGGAGTGCTGTAGAAAACCGGTACACTTAACGCCCTTGTACAACGCATTTCTTCAGACGGAAAGCAGGGTGGAAACATAAGACTGCCATTTTGTAAAGAAAAAAGGAAAATATTCACATCGAAATGGAAAACGGTGCACAAAAAAATTAAAAAGTTTTATTAATTTGTTTATTAAATCATAAATATTTGAACCTACTTATGGAAAATATGCCTGGATGACAAAAAAAGCAGAATGAAAACGACATTTTACAAATTTTTTTCAAGAAAACTTCTTAAAATACGGCTTTTTGCACTTTTTTCTTCATCTTCAATGAATTCCAGTCTAGAATATTTTTTATATATTCTCAAATTAACAACACAAACTCAATCAGCAAATTTCTTTTATCTCCTATTTCGCTGGTAACAAATTTACAGGGTGACGTGAATTCAGAATATGAAATAGTAACAAAATTTACTGAATCGTAAATTTTGGGACTAACTACCCAGTGATGTAAATCGAATTGAATAAAATCGTTACACAACAAAGGTATCCAATTTTCTGGCAGCACTGGGTGAAATTGACATTTAATGGCAACGATTTTTCGATCGCATACGACAATATTTTCACTTGTACTAAATTTGTGCATTTTCTGCGTAAATACACATATTGGGAATCAATCATTTTAATTAAGTGAAGAAAATGGATAAGCGATCTAAAGAAGCGTTACGCCGCTATAAAAAGTCAAGGCAGCAATCGAGTTCTGAAAGTTCAAGCAGCTCTGATTCTGATTCATCTGGAAGCTCGTACTCAAGTTCAGATAGTGAACGGCATCGTCGGAAGAAAGCACGTCAAGCAGCTGGTGGGTCATCGCGACGTAGCAGTAGCTCATCTACAGAAGAACGGAGGAAGCGGGAGAAACGTGAACATTGTCAAAAAAAGCTTGAAGCGAAACGTATCCATCTTAAACGCAAATTGAAAGAAGCTAAGTTAAAGAAAAGAGCCGCTGCTGCCGCAGCAGCACTGAGTGGTCACATAGGGCATAGGTCCCTTTCACCTACCACGCAAGCAAAATTGAAAAAACTTGCCGAAAGAAAGCATCAGCGTGCAGCAAGCAAGGAGAGACGGGAACGTGAACGTGAAAAACATCGTGCTGCTATTGCTAGAGAAAGGGAACGAGAGCGTGAACATCATCGAACTGGTTCTCGTTCACCTACCAAAATTACTAAAATTCGAATTCATCAAGATGTTAAAAGACAGAAAAGTCCACCACGTATGCATCACACTATGATGTCACGGGAGAAGATAATTATTCAGACTCGAACAAGGGAACGCACCCCTTCCCCGTCATCAGATCGTCGCCACGATCACAAAATACGACATGATGAGTTGATAAGGGAACGAGAAAGGCGTGATCGCGAGCGTGACCGTGCGGAACGAGAACGTGAAGCTGCACGAGATAAGGAAAGAGCCGAGGCATTAGCACGTTGCCAAGAGCGTCAACGTGAAAGGGAACGTTTGGCTAGAGAAAAATTGCGACGAGAAGAGGAAGAAAAAAAGTACGGTGGAATGAATAGTGATCGTGGAGAGCGTCTGCTGCCACGGCCAGCTGAACGTGAGTTAGCTATAGCAGCATCTCGAGGGTACAATAGTCGGGAGCGTTCATTAGAAGCTGTTGAAAGGACTCGCCATATGTCAAAACGTGATATAGATGTTTATGAAAGGGAACGTGAATATATGGATGATGAAAGACGCACGTTAATTAATCGTGAAGACATACGTCGCGACCGTGATTATATGCCACCGCGGCGGCGGGAGCTAAGTCCAATAGGTGAACATTACTCCTCGCGTTTAAGAGATCCGCACGATATATATGCGGAGGAAGGACGTGATAGGTACATGTGTATATTTTATACTGATATTTTGAAAAACCTTTAATAAATTTCTTACCTTAATAGGGCTTATAATAGGGCTTATATAGAAGAAGGACATCACGGGCGTGAACGAGAAACACCGTGGCCACGGGAAATGAGAGAGCGAGAATTGCATGATATTCGCGAAACAAGAGAGCAACGAGAAACCAGAGACCCAAGGGAATATAGAGACATGGATAATGAACATATATACCCCGATGAAAGAGAACGTCTGATAAGAAATAGGGAGCGTGTTCGTGAAGAATGGAAAAATGATTGGGACGTAAATAGAGAGCAAGAATGGAATGACGCACCTCCTGTAACTGGTCGAGGCGGTTTTATTGGTGGACCTAAAAGGAATACACCTCTACTTGGAAGCAACTCTAATTCTGGACCAACGAAAATAACTCCTCGCGATCAGCGTCCTCCATCGGAACCCGATTGGGATAACGAAGAGGCACAGAAAAACTCTGTATCCAATAAAAATATAGTGGACACAACAAAAATACGTGATGGCTCTAATTTTGGAATAAACTGCACTCAACGGGAAGCATGGAATGAGCACGATCATCATGAAATACCATCGCAAAGAGAAAAACCTCTTGCACCAGTTCGTACAGATCCAGTAGATCGACGATGGCAAAATGATTGGCGAGAAGAAGAAGACCCAATGCAACGAATGGGATCCAGTAGTGGTGGTGGGAATATTCCGTCAGCCTTGCATCATCATCGAAGCGAACGAGGCGGACGAGGTTTTCGAAGGGGTGGTGGGACAGGCAGCATAGAGCATGGTGACCGGAATGTCCAAGGGCTTAGAACTCATCCTCCGCCATTAATGACGTTACCCGTTCAACCTCCAGCAACAGGTTTTATTGGCGGAAGCCCCCGATTCCCCAATAAAAGCAAAATGACGTACACAAATCCGAATATAATTAAAAAGCAACATGCAGCTATGGCTGCTGCCAAAGCAGCCCAAGCAAGCGCAGTAGCAGCAGCAAGCACAGCGGTAGCAGCTGCGAAAGCTGCTGCTCAAAGCGCTGCTAATGCTACTACCAATCCAAGTATCCTAGGACAGGCCAGTAACTTGATACGTCAGCAACATGAACCATACATTATGGACGACAAGCCAGAAGCTGGGGAAATTTTGCACGATTCTGATTCAAAGAAAAAAATAGATTTCTCAATTATAAATAAGAAGACTGATCATTTCTTACCTTTGGGCAATCCGACGGTGAGTGATAGCAAGGCTAGCGGCGAACTAAGCGAAATTAGTGACAGCGACGATGATATTCTGAACAAAGGAGACAAAAAATCTCGTACCGAAACAGACGATGATTCAACCATGAAAGTAGAAGGTATTTCTGAACAGGAGGATTTGACCCGTAGCAATGACGATGCTGGGATTGTAGATGAAAAGCATGACGACGAAGAAATACTTGATTTTGAAGAAATCTCTGATGGAGAACTGGAAGAAGATTCTCGCAACAAAGGTACTTTACAGCTAATAACACTGTATAATAATGTATATATTTATGTTCGCATGTTTCTAATTGTAACTTTTTTTTAGGTGTAGGTGATGCGCTAGGTGTCGATTGGGCCTCTCTAATTGCTGAATCGAAGCTGCAAACTGATAATGCCGGTCCTGGAGCTAATGAACAGCCAACAACTGCAAAACAAAAATGGCAACCCCACCGCTTGATACTCGATATGGGAATTTCATTGTGCATGGCTGGAGAGAACTACGCCAAAAAACTGCTAATGGAATCCAAACAAAAATTGGCGGATGAATTAAAAGAAATAAAAACAAATATCAAAGTAGAAAGTGGATCCTCTGTTGTTGCCTACGAAGATGACATAAACAAAGATGTCAACTTAAAAAATTCTTCAGATGGCGGAGACATTGTTGAGGTTAAAATGGAACCAGTCAATTCTAAACTGGGCGATGGAATAGATGTTATATCTTTCAACTTTGAGCGCCTGCAACCCCTTGCTTGCTTGCAAGTTGGTGAGCGTATCCAACGCTTGGAACGTCAAAGCATTATTTCAAATGCTTGTGGTAGTCATAGTCGAGCTCTTAGTGCACGTCAAGACTTGAAAATACGTCGTCAAATATGTAATTTACCTGCACGAGAGTTTGATTTCTTAAATCCGCCGCCTATTAACGCAAAAATTAAAGCAATGGCTTTTGCAGCTTTTCAACGCTCTTTAGAAGTGAAATAAAGCAATGGCATCCATGTTCCCTTTAAATATATAAATTTACTTTTTAATATCTAATAAAGTTATACACAATATTAATACCACTATATATTTATTCTAAAATCATAACGGCCTAAAACAGGTTAACATCTTTTTGTTTTGTGTCAAATTTCTTAATTTAGTCCGCCAAACTAGAGATATAAAGCGAACTTCTTCCATGAATTTTCAAACACTTATTTATCCTTAGACTTGAGGACATTCAATTCCGATGTTTGCTCAGCCAATAGGTCCAAAAAGATTTCCATTTTTAAATTGCACATATTATTCTCCTCTTCGAGACTCTTTAACCGCCGATGTAAACGCACAACTTCGTCGATATCACCTTTACGTGTAGTATGTATCCAAATACCATCAGCAAAGCGCAGCTCTTTACTACCCAAACTCAGAGAAATACTTTTATACTCGTCTATATTCTCACCAACCACTGGACAACCGATATTGCAGCGTCCCGATCGGGATGGAATAGGTTTTGCTTCAAACTTTTTCGTAAAAAGCGGCATTGTTTTACTGAATAAAACGCTCATCAATAACTTGCATAAGCTTAATAATACTTTAGTTATAAACAAAAGTTTGATGTGGATATGTTACCATAGCAACGTAGATATCAAATTAAAGTGCAAACACAAGAATTATTGGGGTGGTTTGCTACTACGGACAGTGGTCAATGGATTAGACGGTATTAAAATTCCCTGCCCAATATGTTGACAGCTAGCAAAAGCAATGGAAAAAATATAAGAAAAAATATTAATTAAATGACTATAGCTCATCTGCACCCAATTGTTGGTCACTATGCCAATAGAAGAAAATAACACTGTTCAGCAGAGCTCCGCGCCGTAAGTACATATATCTTAATTAATCGTGATCTAAAAAAAAGCCAACTCTTAACAACATTGTTTAGGAAAGTAATAGAAATCAAGAGATCATGTGAAAACTTAATCAATCAAACTCAATTTGACTTGGAGATTTTTATGGTATGTCACAGCAGACGCCTGAATACAAACATCATTTACATTAGCATATTCTGTTGTCGTTATTTTCTTATTACTTTTAATTTCGAAAACTCAACGAATGTAATCAACGAGCCCACATGCAGCATGAGCAAATACATTTAAGAAAACAAATCGAAGACATATTAACTGAAAATAAAACAATAAATACGAAACTGGAGTCTCTTAAAACCGCAACTGTTCAAATAGCGGGAGACTCTAGAGATGATGCCACGAGGGAAAAGTTTACGAACGATGCATTACTGAATGTCAAAAAGCAAATTGATTTTCTAGAAGCGGTGAGTGTAATCACTTTAAATTTTGTAAACCTTACATGCAACATATATATATATATATATGTATGTATACTTTTTTTTAGGAAAATAAGGAATTAAAATTACTTAATAATACCTCTCGAAAAAGGATCCAAAATCTCGAAAATGAGATTCAAGGTTATAGAAATCATTTATGTAAATCAAATACCGTTACTGAGGTAAGAGATTTAATTTACAAAAGAAAGAAATTTCTCCCAACAATATTTTAGTGATTTACCTATTTTTTTTTTTAGAATACTAACCGACCAACTTATCAATACATTTAAAATATAACATAAATATTTGAAGTGTTCACTGAAATTTCAGGTAAAACAGAAATATGACATCGCTATAAAAGTTCTGGAAAGCACTATACAAACACAAAAGACTAAAATTACAAGCCAAGCTCAAATCATCGATAATCTTACCGAGCAAAAGAAACAGTTGGGTAAACACATTAAAAATCTGGAGAGAACATTGGAGGGTACGTTCGATGACCTGTTTTATTATTTAATTTAATATATGTATACATTTTTTTTTATCAACATTAAATAGAAAAACAGAGCTGTATAAATAATACGAATGCAACAGAAACGATCGAAAGACTAAGAGCTAAACTAAATGAATCAGTTCAACAAACTAAAGAACTTCAATTATCTTTGAAGATGGCGAAAAATGCAATTGAAGAGCGTTACGAACGAGAAAAGTGTGCCCTGCAAAAGGTGCAGGAAGCATTATCGATTGCCGAAGCAGCGGTGGTGGACAAAGAAGATGCTCAGAAAAGGGAGCGGGTTGTTAAGGAGGAATGTGACAATTTAGCATCTACCATAGGTCAAGTAATGGACGAAGCGGCGAAAAAAGTCGAAACAGATATGGATGCGTTGCGTAAGAGATTCAGTGAAAAGGAGAACAAATTTTTAAAATTCCAAATGCTGGTAAAAAACACAAATTAAAAATTTGAATGTTAGTAATTGATACTCACATGAAATTAGATGAGGGAAGAGTTGCAAAAACAAAAAAAATTCAATCGAATTCTGGAAACCCAATGTAGTAGATTTCAAGATAAATACATCGCCAGTAAGGAGGAAGTCGAAAAATTGTCGAAGCAATTAGAAAGTGCAGTGAAAGCTTTGGTATGTATATCTCAAGTATATGTAATCTAAGAAACTAAAATTTCAAAAATTGATATAAGGACGAAATGGAGGATAAGATAAACGAACAAGATCATTTATTAAAGGAGCAAAAGATCATAATGCGGTAAATAAATATATTATGGAATATAGTGATGAATGAATAAAAAAGTACCTCATTATTTTTTACTATGTAGGCGTGCAGATGAAAATGAAGAGGAAATACAGCGATATGTCCACACAAACAAAAAATTAACAGAAAAGTAAGCCAAATGTTTAATTGCTTACATATGTATGTATATACCTTAACGAGTAGGTGAAGTTGACCATTCAAATGATATAAATATGGTGATATGACTCATTCTAATCTACGGCTATAAATGCGAGTGAATGAAAAGATACAATTTTAACATAATGACCTACCTATCGACTACATAAATTTGTGAATATATTAATTTTGTTGTTGTTTTTTTCATTCAATTTAACGAATTATTATTCTCATATTTAGGTACAAAACCACTCTGGCAGACATAAGGAGGGAATTTGAAGGTGTAATATATTCTCTGAAGAAGGAAATTACAGTATTAAAGGCTGAAAAACATTTGAGTTCCAAGGACTACCAACAAAAATTTACATAAACTAAAAAATGTACTTACAAATTTATTTTTAGTTTTAATTTTTTACATTAAACAATGTATGTAATTTTTAAGCATTACAAATTCATCAGTGAATTAATATTTTATTATATATTGAAATGTTGTGTACATTTTGTATATTTGCTTATACTTTAATTAAATTATGCAAGGATTGTGCATAGCAATATATTAAATAACCATCAAAAACGACCAGGGAACAAACTAGGAAACCAATGGCTGACACCCTCATTTTCGGTATCTTGCTCGTCTACCCAACACAAGCCCTCGCTTAATGTTTTATCAAGAGATTGCTTTGCACGCAATTCGCCCCATCTAAATATAAGTTGTTCAAAAATAAAATTGAATTACATTTTACTACATGAAGACATACCCAAGATGTTCAGTAAGCATTCGCAGTGTTACAAAGCCCATGTCTGTATTAGAAGCAACCGTCAATACTTTCGTTTCCTCTAAACTTAATTCTCCCGGTATTGATTGCACCATGTACTTCCCTTTGCCAACTTTGTGCACTACAAATCTTTCGAAATATCCATCTTTTTCAAACATATGTGTTTAGCAAATATACTTTTTAAGACATTTACCCATTTCCAAATATGTTCAACTTTTTCGTGGCCATTAAAATATCTTCGTTCGTAATTTCCTGATGTACTGCACTCTGACCTCGAGCAGCTATAAGGCGCCTACGTAGTTCACTCAATTCCATTAAACCACCTTGAAAATATAAATGACTTAGAAAAACAGTGAATTAATGTTTAAATATAACAACACTTCCCTGTTAAAAAACAATAAATTGGAAAAAACTTTTCAAAAGAATTTGTTGCCTCAGGTACCAACTTATCCTGCGGTAAAACAACCGAGATAACAAGAGGTTCCAGAAGGAAGGAACTCCCGGCTATCGGGGGATCTATTGCATTTTAGTCGCCTCTTACGACAGGCATGCCTTATCCCTGGTTCTTCATACTTCATGTCTGTTAATGCTTTAAACAGGTTTGGACGAAATAATAATTTCGCGGTATATCTATACATATACTTATGAGTATAAATCAGATTCGTGTGAGTTACTATGCTCATAGTTTAAGAACACCTGTTCGATGTTGATGATTCTCACCAATTCAGGCTGGTTCCCAAACAAGAAGAGTTCTGGGAAGTGAAGTGAAGTGAAAATTCTAATATACAAGCGAGTTTCTTTAAATTTTTCGTACATTAGCAGTTTTAAGCTTAGTATAACATCGACAGTTCTTTTCTCCGGATGTGTAGCAGGGATCGACCTATTCAAAAGAAATAATTGGTATGATTTTCTTGAAATTTGGTAGCTATGCTACTTTTTCCATCATAACAAAAGAGTAGAAAACTTGACCTTATTTCGGGAATTTGGACTTGGGACATATTTATACTCTACTGAAGCTCGCCGCGTCCGTTAGCATATGAATACATTTTGAGTACTTACCAGTATTATGGTTTGCTGCTAAGCATACTTCGACTACCTGAACACTTAATTCGTAATAAAAGTCGCCTATTCCTAATACACTCCAAAAACCTTTACCAGCTGCAAGAGGATCCACACCAATTGCAGCGCACATTTCTTGAAATTGTTTACGAAAGTGAGAATTCTTCCGAATGTCCTGCTTATGTTTAACAGCAAATTCCTCCAATTTCATACGAAAAACTTCCATTTGTTTAGTCATTTGCTCAAATTGTGATTCTTGTAAATTAGTTCCTTTGTCTTTATATTTCTCAGCAGCCAACTGCTGTTGCTGGATAGCGCCTAAACCAGCACGACGCCGCATTTTAGAAATGTAGCAATTTCAAAATTTACTTTTCAAATTTATTTATTTTTAAACTTTAGCTTAGAAACTTGAAAATAAACAAACAAAAATTAATAGCTCTGTTCGGTGAAAATGCAATTAAAAATTAACCAGTAACGAAATGTCAAATATGCGGTCTCTCAATACAAATTTTACTGACTTTTTGCCTCACTGAACGCGTTTCCGTAAAAACTGGTAACAGAACTAAATTCAAAAACAGCTGGTTTTCAAAGTTACCAGACACATTAATATTGTCGCGTTCATATAAGTTATAGTTGGGTATAATTGCATCAAAAATGGGAATATTATTTCACGCGGTTAATCAGTTAGTGAACTTATATTTTGTTACTTTTTTAACACCCGAATTTGAATTTGGTATTGTGGCGAACTGGTTACAATGTTTGAAAACAACTTGGGCAGAACTGCTTTTTTCGTTCTTGTCAAATTACATTTGCCAGTCGGTATAGAAAAAAAGAAGAATATTCACATCGAAATGGAAGACGGGGCACTTTCAACTCTCAAGACAGCTAGTTCTACTTATCGGAGTTGACCCGGATTTCATCCGGCCAAGGGCTGTCACCCTTTCGTTTAAGTTCGCCAACGGAGCAGCACCTTGCAGTTGGGTTGCTCAAAACTCCAAATCCTTCTTATCAGGGCTGGCGTCAAAACCAACCCTGGGCCGACGGACTATTCCTGCTGCGTATGTCACAAAAGACTCTACCACTCCTCCACCTCGGTTAGGTGCAACCAGTGCAATGGTTGGAGTCACCTTAAACCTGCTCTAAGGCCTGAGAAACCACAGGTAGTTTTGTGGCCCATGCTGCCAGAGACCAAACGCCCCCTCTACGGTCTCGCGAAGCTCCCCGCAGCATGGAGGCCTAGCATTCATCCTGCACAACACCGTGCAGAATCGTCTTATCGACCGCAGGGATACTAACCTAGAATGTCAGGGCATAGTTATCCGGTCAGGCGATGCCGAGCTCGAGATATTTAACATATACATTCCTCAAGTTACAAATTGCCCATTAGGATACACCCCTGATATAGGTGCGCTACTCAGGGTAGAAAACCGTCATCCCGGCCGGCCGATTTGCGGAAATCCGTCCAAATATTCCCTCCGAAGCTCCTATCCCGGGAATCCCCTAATCAGGGATTTAAACGCGGGAATTCGTAGAGTAGCCAACAACCATCCTCTGGGCTACAGTCAGGTCGTTGTCTAACCCGACGAGACGCGATGACCGGGTGGAAATTTCATTCGATGAGATGTGCGAGCTAGTTTAGCCGACTTTTCACACTGCATCCTTCGGTAGACAAAGCGAAGCGACGTGTGACCCGCCGTATGCGCAAACTGCCATACACCAGCGCGACGCTTGATTTCTGCAGGGAGGAGGTTCAAGGGGTCATCGAACAGGCGAAAGCCTCCATATCCATCGGCCCCGACGGAAAAAGCATGCTGATGAGCAAACATCCGCGCGCGAACTGTCCTGGTAGCACTGAATTTGTAAAAAGCTTTTGACACAGTCAATCATTCAGTGCTACTAAAGGACATTGAGGAATCCTCACTACCGCCGGGGTTTGCAGAGGTGGGTCATTGGCTACCTGAGTGGTCGACAATCAACGGTAATATTCCGAGATGAAACATCGACTGCAAAGCGGAGCAAAATGAAAAATGGCACGCCCTGGACCTTCTCGCTATATTTACGTTCTCTGCACAATGTGAGATCCGCACACATCGCGGTGCTCGTGGTGGGCGCCACAGTAATATCAAAACTGATATGTATCTTCTTTTGTGGCTTCAGTGAATCCACGGTGCGCTCGATGAGTTTTGAAATGCCATATTTCTCCGCAGACTGCAAGAAGAAAAAAACAAAAATATATAGATTTTACATATATATGTACATATGCACATGTAAATCGCGATAAAAACGTTTTCGCGCAACGCTAGTTGTTGTAGCGGTTCACTAGCCCCACTTAGGGACATGTTTAATTAATCTAAGACGCCGAGGTCATCTAAAAGGTCCAGGAAACGTGCTGTTTCAACGGGTTTGGACCAATGGAAGAGGGGGGTTAGATGTGTCGGCTTAAGGGGACATGTGAAGAGGTGGTTAGTGTCGTGTGAAGACTCTCTACATGCGGGGCATACGTTGGGTATGCTGGGATCGAGTCAGGATAGGTATTCAGGCCTAAGTTGTAACAAGGTCAGCGAGTCTCTCAAAGCAGCTCGAGCTTGTTGTCTGCAATAGGTGGTGTTTTTTCTCCGAACACGTCATTGAATGGAAGGGTGTCTTTGAAGGTGTTGATTGATTTCTGACGAATGCAGTGCTTGTCTATACGCCGTCCTGTCCAGCGATGTGTATTTTGATGCGGCTCTGGAGTTTTGCGGCAATTGCGGTCGTATGCGGAGTGAAGGAATACAAGCTATCTAGAGTGACTCTAATATCTTCGTGTTGTTTATAGTCGGAATTTTTACGTCAGCGACCCTCACAACTAATTCAAGCCTGTACTGCTTCGTCCAGCTGGCGAAAAGGGCAGCCGAGGATTTAGTTGGCTGTATTTTTAAATGTCTCGGAGTGAAGAAGTGAGAAAGGTATACTGACCAGACGCCAATATCGTGCAATCATCGGTATACGATGTTAAGGGAATTCCTTATGGTGGAGGAGAGAGTTTCGGTATGTAAAAAATAAACAGTAGTGGGGAAAGGGTACCACCCTGCGGAGCCCCCTATTTAATTTTCTTAAGCTTCGATGTTTCACCTCGGAGTATTAAAGATGATTGTCCATGACCACCTCTGCAAGCCCGCCGGTAATGAGGATTCCTCAACATCCATTAGCAGCACTGAATGGTTGACGTTGTCAAGAGCACTGGATCTAACAGTGCTATCAGGACAGTTCGCGCGCAAAGTCGGATTTGGTTAAGACCATTGACTATTTGAGTGTTTATGGCGTTTAGTGCTGTTGTTGTACTATGCACTTTACTGCGGTGCTGCTGGACGCAGATGGTCAGTGAAAATCGGAAGCAGCAAGACCTCAAGTGTCTTCACTACTGGGGAGAAGAGAGTTATCGATCGATATGACTCATCTTTGTTGACTAGTTTCCACGGCTTGAATAGCGGGACAACGCTTCCCGTTTTCCACACGTCAGGTTTCGTTAGGGTGGTGGATAAGTTGAAAACCTTAGTGAGAAAGTCTGCTCCCGCTGGTCCAAGATGTTTTAGCTTCAGCATGCTTATTCCTTCGGAACCGATATATTTGGGGGCTTTCGCCTTCCCGATGACCCCCCATACATCTTCCCTTTCACTCGTCGGTTTAAACAACGACTTGACCCAGAGCCCAGAGCTTGGTTGCCCCAGAGGAGAAATTGCAGGCGCTACGGTAGTGAGTTAATGCGGCTTTTGATCTGCAACCATCAATCATTTATTTTCCGATCACTTTTTTTAACTGAAAACTGAGTCTATGAAAAAAAAATGTGTTGTTTAAACGTAACAAATATTTCCAATTGTTGCCGCTTCAACACTACGACAATAAATCTGTGCGTTGCCTATTTCTTATGTTTTGTATGATGGAAATTATTAAATATATATGTATATATATGTATGTACATACATATAAATGTATTTTACATTAATGCACCATTGTTTATTCTATAGGAACTTACATTGTCAAATACCTTTAACAACATCCTATTACATATTTTGCATTGTGAGACTTGGTAATGTATTTTCTATGTAATTAAATGTGTTCGGTGCACTTTATCTTGAAACATTTTAATTTTTTCTGTTGCGGAAAGTGCAATAGCTGAAACTGCATTATTTCGTATAAATACAAGTTTCCAAAACATTGGCTTTTGTTGCAGACAATTTTAGTTTCTTTAAAACACAATGGATAAAATTTTGTATAACGGTAAGATAAAAATTTTAAAACAATAAATTGCAAAATGCAAACACACGCTTAAATACAGGATTTTTTACGTTTTTTATATAAGCAATACTTCTTCTCATCGTCCTGGCCATCGCAACGGCATTATTAAAGCCTGGAGATGGAAAACCTACTTGTACCACTAAAGCAGAAATCGATATTGGTTTGTTTCGTAATAATTGGGATCCAACCTCATACTGGAAATGTGAAGTAATTGACGAATTGCCTACATTGGAAAGATGCCCGGATCAAATGGCTTATCTAGATAGCATCAAAGATTGTGTGAGCTGGGAATATTGGCAGTGGGAAGAACCGATAGAGCCTTTAACCATCGCAGAGCAATCTTAAGTATCACATCAAATTGTTTTCGAAATACAGTGCAGTAAATGAAAATGAAAGTCATTATTTTACAAACTAAAGCTTTTTTCCTTTTGCTATATTCAACTAAATTTTAATATCATCTGACAAGAACGAAAAGAAATTATTAACACACGAATAATTGATACCTTTAAATGTTGACGATTTCATCTTTCCCTGTGATGTCAGAATTTTGTAAATCTTTAATTAACATATGCTCCGAGACGTGAAGAAGAATTGCAGACTTGCTAAAGACCTGAGCTGATTTGACTATTTACGCACTTCTATACGTTTTTGAGATTATTGAGCGAGATTTGGTGTGCAAACATTTTATATTTTAAGTTGAGCGACTATGACATCATCCCTAGACTACATTTTTTTAAAATGATTCGTTGCAAAGTTATGATTCATTCAAATTTACTCGCTTTAATATGCATTTCTCATATTCCATCTAAGAGTTGATTGTCACTACAATACAAATTGTAGAAATGAAATAAACTACACACAATCGAATGTGCGTTTTTATTTTACTACTATTCATTAATTATTAAAAATCGTATTATATTTTAGTGTTAAATAACTTTATTCGTAATCATATCCATTTACAAATCATAGTGGTTCTCTGTGCCAATTATTTACCTTATTGTTTACGGTAAAAAAAAACTTACAAAACTGAGGAATGCGTACATATATAAAAAGCTCGTAAAGGTGCTCAGCATAAAGACAGAGACTAAAATATATTAGCAAATATTCCAATACATACATTTCTAAAAAAAAAATCTACCTCTAGCCAAATGGCGAAAGTGATTACTTAAATAAACCAGTATAATTAAATTTACCATTTTTTTATTATTTAAATGTGGCAAACTACATACATACATAATTTCATACATTAATGTTGATTTAGTATTCATAGTTGAAATATTTATTAAAAATTTTTAGGAGGTTGTTGGATAAAGATTAATAATAATAGTAAAGTATTGTTGAAATGTCAATAGTATGTCTAATCATCCATACTTTCATTTCTGTCTGGTGAGGCGTTTCCATTTTTAGGCGAAACCGACCGCGAACGGGAGCGTGATTTGTTGTCTGGTGAGGCAGAACGGTCGCTGAAATATCACGAACATAAAAAAAATGTTAAAAATTAGCAGGGATTTTATTTTTGGAATTTTGAACAAGGTATTTCGTGAGTTTAATTAATTTAACCAAAGGATACTCGAAATTAAATACTTTTTAGAATATATATGTATTTTTTTGTATGGTTTAAAAGGACAGCAATCCAAAATAATTAAAAGTAAGATGGAAATATTAGTAAGAAAAGCGAAATAGAATAAAATAAATTAATTGAATCTTAAAAGTGCAGGATTGTTCTGAAAGAAATGCTTACCGTGAGCGAGAATCTCTTCGTGATTTAGATCGCGAACGGGAACGCGATTCTCGTTTCGAAACTGAACGTGAACGTGAACGAGAATCACGTTTGGGAGAACGAGAATGTGAGCGGGACCTCGACTTGGATTTGGATTTAGATAGTTCACGAGATTTGCTGTGATGTGGATAAACATGAGAATATTAATAAAATGTAAATATATCAAATGACATGAAATTGCCTTACTTTGAGCGTGATCGTGAGCGTGATTTCACTGGCGACTTTGACTTTGAACGTGCACCACGGGACTTGGAGCGACTACGAGACTTTGAGCGTGATCTGGAGGAGCGACGGGACCTGGAACGGGAACGTCTGCGTGAACGAGATCGGGATCGAGAGCTTGACGAACGGGATCTTCCACGTCCTCCGCCGCCACCGCCTCGGCCTCCACGACGATCTTCAACCAAACGTATGCGACGTCCATTCAAATCGGTATCATCCAGTTTTTCAATAGCAGTCTTCATATCTGACAATGAAGCGAACTCTACAACGCTGTTGAGGATAAAAGTTATTAGATACAGTACGTGTTAATGAGTATACGCTTACAAGAGATCAACATATATGCAATAACAATTGTGGTCTCTGCTTACCCTTCATTACGACGTTGCTTGTGTGCATCAGCGTAAGTAACTTCTCCTGCTTGCCTCATATAATCTTTCAAATCCTGATGGTAAACAATTGACCAATTTGGAAAATACCGGAAAGGGAAAGTTGAAAATAAATTATTAATTAGTGTCATATTATTTTAGAATATATTTTTGAAGAGAGAATTTGCTGAAGTGGCCTGATAGTGAGTGTTGCACAAAAACTAAGTCAAATGAAACGACTTGTAGAATTTGCTGTTGCAATTACCCCATCCACTTTACATTCCGTAAAAATTCTCGAGTCCACATTTGCCGCTTTGAACTAATTGCAGTGAACTACACTCAGCGCCAATATTTAAAAACTTCAGCAAATTACACTTGATCTCATCATGTCTGTGGAAGCATTTAACAGATGAGAACAAGAAGTTTGAAAAAAAATCTTTTTTGTAACTTATATATAAACTATGGTTGTACATAATATGTTTGGTAATGTGGTAAAAGTATTATAATTCTTACTTAATATCACTTCAACAAAGGCGCATTTTGTCTGTAATGCTTTCATTGTATATCAAATGTATTTGTGACCTCAATAAAAAGCGTGATTAACGTAGACAGCGGTTGTATATGTCAATTACATGGCGGATAGGACCCTCAGATGTGTGTTCAAACATATTTCATATGTGTGAAATCCCGGCAAATAAGCTTTTACAAATGAGCATGTTGAAAAGTTAAGTCGCTGGATTGGAAGTCGCATCCATTGAATACGTAAACATTTGTACCTCATTTACCATCTTTCGTGAAATTGTGTAAGCTCATATCACATAATCATGTAGGCACTTTGGCTCGCAAAGATGGATCTAATGTGACAATTCGGACGATAACAATTTGGTTGTATCATTGGAACTTCTTGAAGAGAAGCATCTGGACATGTACGCTGCAAACACATACATATCTAGGTCACTCAAGCGCATAATCGGAATGAAAAGGGTAGACCTCCGGTTGTAATTCAGATAAGCTTACTTCGCTGCATCGTTGTTCATGCTATTAAAACAACCCAATATATGAGTGGCTGGTTTTAGAGGCCGCCATGAGACATCGGAAACCAGGCTTTGTATTTTTCTGAAAAAATTTGTTCTACTGTAAATAAAGGGAAATGAATTCACATCTCCAAATGGAAGATGTGATGATGCCCTCTCTTTACTGGCACTACAAAAACATCGCATTTCTTTGGTTTTGCCGGTTTGTTGATATTTTTCTACGGTCCCTCATCACCAGAAAGAACAATGGGTAGGCCGGCTAGGTACGTTTCGAGTCGATGACATCGATGTTCTACAGAAGATACCACCACCACCTAAACTGTCGAGTAGTTATAGGACATCTTTTGCACGTCGCTAATTTTTGAACAAGGAACACGAGACACAATAGCCATAGTCACAGCAAGAGCATTTATAAGCCCGGGAGCACCTTTACATTACGGAAGCCGTTAGAAGCGTCATCAAGAGCATCAGAAGCTTCAAAGCACCACATCGCACACCATTCGTTATCGCAATCGGTATGAAGGTTCGTCCGACACACGCTCTAGGTTGGTACGAGACTCTGGGATTATTTTGCAATCGCTTTTCGCTATAAGGAATTCGACAATTCTAAAATTAAATGATTTTTAATAAATTTTACTTTCTTAATAATATGTACCTAATTTGAAAAATCGAGCGCATTCAGTATGTCAATTTAAAATTTTCATATGCACCGCGCATCAATCTACAGGACAATTGCACAGGCAGAAGAAAATGTTAAATTGAATTTTATGTGTTTAGTGTCCTTGCTTCTTCAGCTCATGTGCGTTCATTAGGTTGCTCTGACATCAGCCACGACTCTTGTTTTTTTTTTTTTATATTAAAGATGAATTATTAACCCTATCTGTTTGTGCTGCAACGTCTTGGCTAATTAGTCATTTGAGTATTTGGATGTTCATTTTATCTCATATAGTGCGATGCGTACAATCTTAGAAGCAAATCAGTTTCATATTCGATATTCCGCTCAGTCGTTCTATACCAAAAACACCATGATCAGCTCACGGAACGGATGACTTGGAACATCCAAGGTCTGAATTTTTTCCTGCCTTCTTGTTATTTACATTTAGTTTAGTCACAATTGCAATTATAACGTGTTTTCAGAAGTTAGACGAATTCTCCTATTTCCCTTCTCGTTTTCGTCCTGTCGCGCGTTGGCCGGATTAGCACGCCTTGAAGTGGATGAGGTCGTATAAGATTTCAATAGAGCAATCAAACGGACACTTGTGCTCATACCACAGGTCACATAAGTTCTTCACGACTTTTATAACAAAGCATCTTAACTTCATCATTCAACCAAGGTGATGATCTGTCAACCCATTAGTGGCATTTCTTTCGTGTAGAAAAAATAATTTATCGGATAACACCGGTCAATTAAGCATGTATTAATAAAGATACTATTCTGATGAAAATATAGCTTATCGTAAATTTAGTTAAAAAAAAAAAAGAAATATACTTTCTTTATAAAGAAAAAGTTAAATAAAAAATAATTAACTGAAAAAGGTTTCTAAAAATATTGCCTTTTATATATTTAATAATACTTGGAACAATCCACAATTTTTTTAGTAATCTTCTTTAAATATAACCAACTGTCACTCGTATCTGCGACCCTATATTACTAACTTATTCCTCAATATATTACTTTTAAAAGCCACATACTTATTTCTCTATTAGATTGGAATAAATATCACATATGGGATCTTCATTAATAAACCACATTATTTACTATCAAAAATTTTATATTCAAATATATGTACGTACCTGCCAACTAACACGACTCGACAAATTTTCCACAATTAGACGGTACTCTGTACGCAACGGCGGCCCATATCGGGAGGATGATCTGGAATTTTTGTTTCTGGTAAATAATTCAATGAATTTAAAATTAGTGGTGACACTGCTGCTGTTTCTGGACATGTATTTTTATTAAAGAAACATGTGTAATTCAGTACATAACGCAGCAAATATATAATAATAGATAATTTAAATGCACACAGATGCAGTTACTATGTATAACTCACTAAACTTATTAATTTTACTTTCCTCATTCCATTATTAGCCACAGTTTTTGGAGTTTACATAAAATATGTGTATATGTTCATAACTAGAACTAAATATTTATAGATATAAAAAACACAATTATAACAAAAAGTTTAGCAATAGAAAATGGGTAACTAAAGTTTCCATAGAATACATTTATATTATAAAATAATATACGCTTTACAACAGCTTACAATTTACTCTAAGCCGTCTACAAACGCCTAATGAATTTATATGAGAACCTTTTTTTCATGTCAGAATACACGGGAGGTTGAGATTCCCGCAAATTAGATATATTTTCAATCAATTTTCTATAAATTGAATATAAAAAATGTATATATTTTGTTTGCATTTAACTTACAATTATGTAAAGCAAAATTAAATGCAATTTTTCTTTGAACTAAACTGGGAAAGTGATCCTTGTATCACTCATTGGATACATTTAATAGACGACATAAATTTGGTCGCAAGCACTCCCTTTTGAAACTCGTTACTTAAAAAAAAGCATTCCGAGTGGAATTAACAGAATTTTTAATTACATTTGACTTGTTAAATTTTTAAATATAATATGAATGAGTCCGCAATTAATTCGGTAAAGCGGTGGATTCATGGAAACATTTTAAGAAACCCTGAAAAACTTATTTCCGAAACAATTTTAATTCAAATTATCATTATTTCAAACACATATTATTACATAGTAAACTCCATTACGTATGACTGACACAGAACCACTCTAAAATGTTATTAAAATTCATGTCTCTTCAGTATCAGTGCCGCTCTTCTTTTATAAATAATATTGAAGGAACGAGATAACTTACACATTAATATCCGTATATACACCATACATTATTACACAAACATGCATCGTATATATATATATTTATATATTTACAAATTCTTAAAGAAAACTCACTTGTCATTATAGCGACCACCACCACCTCGACGATTGCCATATCGATCGTCATATCTGTCTCTATGACTGCCTCGAGCGGTGCCCCTTGCAGGTTCAACAACCACTCTTTAATACAAGGGTGAAAACAATTTCAAAATATAGTTTGCATATATGAAAGAATAAACTATCTTACCTCTCCCCCAATAATTCCTTTCCATTTAACTCATATACTGCATCATCCGCATCTCTATAATCTTCGAATTCCTGAAATTTTTAATATTGAAAAACTTACTACGTCGGCGCATTATGCAAAATAATTTGTAGTACACTTAGTGTACTTCAATATTGATTTGTGATTTTATACAAGAAAAAAAATACTTACAACGAAGCCATATCCATTTTTAATCAATATATCGCGGGTTCGACCATAACCTTTAAAAAAGCGCTCCAAATCTCTCTCACGAACTCCATAAGGCAAACCACCGACATAAACTCTTGATCCAACCATATTATCCCGGGCGTACTACGCTCTATGTTGAAATTAACATTAGTAAATTTGTATATATATCATATGAACAACATCCAGACAAAGTTAAGACGATAATTAAAAATTTGTAAATGTAAAAATACTACTTAAAAATGGTCGCACATCAAAAACTTTGAAATGTCGTAGTTACCAACACCATACAAATTTTATAGTGGAAAAACTTTTTACCTTTTAAAGGGCTGTTAGGCAAAATTATATATTAGCTTATCTTCGTTTAAATAACGTTATCACTTTTCGTAACTTTTTCCGGCACAAAAATATAATCAATCTATTCAGCAATGAAAACGGAAATAGTAACTTTTCCATTGAACAATTCGCGATACGCCAAAATGGCGGCTTTCGCTTGCCCACATAATCAAATTACCACTTAATTAATTATTTTCAAAAAATATACGAACAAGTTGTGTTCGAAATACAAATTTATATGATAACAACATATTCTTTAAAAGAGGGTACCACCATCGCCAGTATTTCATTTTCATCATTTCTAAATCTTAAAAGTCCTCATAACTCCTGAAAATTTTCATCTCAAATTGGTGATATGCATAGAATGTGAATGCGTCTTCATGTTTTGCTACAAATGAAATGTCAAATCCCAACAGGCGCCTGTGAATATTTATATTGTTTTCAAAAAATATTTTGTATATTGCATGGAGACGAGTAAGGTTGGCTAAGGAGCAAGTGACTGCTCTTAGAGTCAACTTCTATACGTTAAACTGACAGCTACGAATTTGCGAAAATTCATCCATTTTCCGCACTGATACTCTTAAAGTTTATTCACGTAAGAGTTTTACCCCGTCTTACCTCAGAGTTGCGTTTCCCTTAAAGAGGTGCGAAGCGCGGTGAAGCAAAATGTTGCCGAAAATACATTTTTTACGCTACATCATTTCTTTAATCAAATGCATACATGAAATTTAAACTTCATGGAGAAGTGAAAATAACACAACAGTTTATTTCAATTATGTATTTATATTTATATATAATTTAATTAGGAATCGTAGACCTCGTTGCAATATTTCTTAACATATTCATGTTTGGCATAAATCGTGATCCATAGGCCCTCATTTGTTTGTCATTTTTAAAGCCATAATTAATGCAAGGTAATGCTTGCAGATATTACAGATTACTTAAGAACAACATTATGAACTGAAGTAAAATTAATTTCATCAGTGTGGCAAGGCTCCGAAACTGCTTTCAAAGCATCACCTGTTTATCGATTACTTCATTTGCCGGCGTGTTGGTGCTTCCTTTTATCGCGATTGAGTGGCCATTTTTTTTAGCAACGACCGCAGTATCGATTCATTGCGCTTCGTGTCCGGAAACCTTGCAGATTTTTTAATTTCTCATAAAGTGTTAAATTTGGTATTTAACAGAAATTGCATTTTCTCTGCTACAAAGAAAAAAAGTTTATTAAGTAATAAAATGGCTGATGTTGAAAATGGAAACTCAAATGGAAACTACAACGATGAGGTAAGTCTTATTTTTGATTTAAAGTAAAAATATGACGACGTCGAAGGCACGTTTGAATTTACATGACTAAATTACGTATATAATTTAAAAAATATGGAGTAGTATGAAGAGTATTAAGGTTGGCTTGTTGAAAGTGCGGCGTCATTCATGAGCGTCACATGGACTAACAAAATGGCGGACCGTATATTTTCACCAAATTGTTCGTCCTAAATTTTATTTTCAACCCGTATGAGTTGGTATATTTAAACCTCATTCAATTTTAAATTTTCAGCCTATCACAGAACCTGAGCAATTGAGAAAGCTTTTTATTGGTGGTTTGGACTACCGAACTACCGACGATGGTTTAAAGGCGCATTTTGAGAAGTGGGGTAATATCGTAGACGTGGTTGTAATGAAAGACCCAAAAACAAAACGATCACGAGGTTTCGGTTTTATTACATATTCTCAGTCGTATATGATTGATAACGCTCAAAATGCGCGTCCTCATAAAATCGACGGGCGTACTGTGGAACCAAAACGAGCAGTACCGCGCCAAGACATCGACAGCCCTAATGCCGGTGCAACGGTTAAGAAATTATTTGTGGGAGGTTTGCGTGACGACCATGACGAAGAATGTCTACGAGAATATTTCAAATCCTATGGAAACATTGTAGGAATTAATATCGTAGCGGATAAAGAAACTGGGAAGAAACGTGGATTTGCTTTCATTGAATTTGATGACTATGATCCGGTTGACAAAATTATTTTACAAAAGAATCATACCATAAAGAATAAGGTTCTCGATGTTAAAAAGGCCATTGCTAAACAAGTAAGTATTTGCTTAAAGTTTAGATAGGAAGTTTTATAGTTTTACTATTAATTTTTTCTTTATAGGACATGGACCGTCAAGGAGGAGGTGGTGGTGGTGGCGCTGGTGGTCGTGGCCAAGGAGGCAGAGGTGGTGGCCGTGGTGGTGAACGTAACAACCAGGGATGGGGTGGAAACAATAGGCAAAATGGAGGTAATTGGGGCGGAAATAGTTTTGGAAACAGTGGAAACTTTGGAGGAAATCAAAGTGGTCCCGGCGGTCCTGGAAGCTGGAACAACCAGCCCGCGCCTTGGAACAACCAAGGAGGCAGTGATGGAGGTTGGAATAATGGCGGAGGTTTTGGTGGTCCTGGTAATAGCGCCAACAACGGATGGAGTGGCAACAACAGCGGTGGTAATTTTGGTAGTGATTACCAACAGAGTTATGGTGGGGGCCCACAAAGGGGTAACAACTTTGGAAATAACCGGTCCGCGCCATATAATCAATACAGCAAAGGTAAAAGAGTATTTTTAAATATAATAAATAAGTTACGAATTTTTTTTTTTTTTTCTTATAAAGCAGGTAGCGTTGGCGGTGGTCAAAGTGGTGGTTTTGGTGGTAACAATTACAATAGTGGCGGTGGTCCTAGTGGAGGAAATATGGGTGGCGGAAACCGGAGATATTAAAACATGAGGTATGAAATTGTTTGGCATAAGAAAATTTAATTTATTTTAAAAGTTATTAGGTATAAAGCCATTTAGTTCCCACATTTCGTTTCCCACAATTAGCAAATTCAGTTTTTTTTTTATTCATTTAAGAAAAACGGCGAGAAGCTAATACTGATCAATTTTAGTGATAAGTGCATAAAATTTGATTTATTTACAAAACATTTTTCTTTTCCGTAAATAGGTAAAAAGTACATAGTACAATTTCAAACAGAGACAGACAGAGAGTCTAGGCACAGGCAGGCAGGCAGGAAGGCAGGAAGAGAAATGTAATCAGATGAATAACATAATGATGCAGTCAACTGCAGTTCAAACGCTAAAATATCTACATTTTTTTTAGGCAATTAAGGAAATTTATACAGATAAACTAAATATTTTATTTGACATTCACTCAAGTACAAACAAATCAGATATCCGAATATTTGTAGTGAACTTGATTTATTGAATGTTGTAACCACCCATTATATATAACTACATATTACACCATATGAAACTCCATAAATCAGAAAAATGTACGATAAAAACCGTACATTCCACTATCTTTTCATGTTCTGTGTATTAAAATACCTGTCTTATCTTTCAAATTTTAATATAATTTTACTGTAAGACATTTATAATTTTCCATACAAGCATTTAATTATTAAAAGTATTAAATATGATACGTACTAGCTTCAAGAGCTAATTTAGACGAAAATAAACATCATGAAGAATCTTGACACACAATTTGAGTCAGACCTATCAATTGTAGTAATAGTTTACTTAATTATGTACCATAGCTTGTTAAAAAGCCTTAATAAATTGATATAAGTTTTAAATCAACGAGAAATTACATCGCTTAACAGGGAATCTTAAGAACTGATCTTGACCTCGAGTAAGCATCATGAACATCAGGAAGCAGCGATTATTAAATGTAGCGCAAGCCATACCAACCATCTTTACAAATGGTCCACAACATTAAGCAAAGGACTTTTAAAGAGAACTGCTTAGTTTGAGTTAAAGCACCACATTAATTTTGAGAAAGTAGTATTAAGTAAATGATCTTAATATTTACTAATCACTGTCTTTGCATATTTTATTTTTTACAAATTTTACAAGGCCCAAAGTGTAATATGCGCTGATTAAAACCGCAGAAACTTATCTTTGATAAAGTGCCATTATCTTTGAGGAACACCGGATAATATAGAATGTGGAGTACCAGATCTCTGCGGCTTTCAAAAATAAATACCGAAGGTAGGTAATAGATTTAAAGAAGCCTATACGTTTTATTTCTCAATAAACTATTAAAAATTATTATTTGCGTTTTATTTAAAAATATTTTCGAAATAAGTGAATTTCTGAAACTGGCTTCATTGGGTAATTTAAATCCTGATAAATGATCGTGGTCATTCTTCGGTAGGTAATGTAGAATCCCTAGGTCTATTCACGCTCGCTAGAGATTGGAGATGGATCGAAAATACTTCAGCTATTACGAGCACCAACTATGTACATATGGACTAACTTTGCTCTGATTTGAAATTAAAACAGTAAAATGATCGTCTTAAATAAGTTTTATTGATATTTGATATGAAAGAAAGAAATTTAATTTAACGCCGTGGTCCACAATTCTCCGCATGATGGACAATTAGATTTTCGTTTAAGAAAAGTTCTAATGCATTCTTTATGGACTTTGACTTCACACCGAACACATTTTATATCCTAAGGAAAAAGGAAATTCATTTGCTCTAAATGAGTGCAACATTCATTACTCACCCACAAAACGACATTCTTGCAAAGGGAACAATCCTTGATATATTCAGAAAAATGTGTTTTTAAATGATTTGCATATTCTACAAGCATTCGTGGACCAAAATAAATTTTATCATCTTTTTCTATGAAATATCCTTGGTCTATCCATTTTTTTATCAAATCTTGTATGTGCATCTTTGGTAAATTCTTTTTTACAGTCTGTGTTAGACTTGGAAGATTGTACATTTCCAACCATGAGATCCCATAATCATCTTGAACAGCCATCAGCTCAACAAGTTTTGCAAAATACATCTGATCCGCTTCTCGATAGTGATGTTGGATCTTACTTGCTGTCGTTTCAAATGTAAGACCATAAACCAAGAATTCCTGCTCCACTAATGGATGCTTCACGAATTTTAATTCTTGGTTTAATTCTTTTAAATCAACATTAATTTCTTTCACCAGATTTTTCACATCAGCTTCCCCATCTTAAAAGAGACCTCAGGATATTTAAAAAATAAATCATTACTTATCAATACCAACATGTTTGCCACATTGGTCCTAGTACTTCATTGATTTGCTCAAGACTTAAGCTTCCATGGTTCATACAAGTCTGCAGGAATATTTTTTTTATTTCGCTCTTCATCTTCAACTAGAATAGATTTGGCGGTATAATAACTAATCTGGTGACTGAAAACAAGTTGTTTGTTTATTAAATTTTTCAGAGATTATAGAGAGCTATCGATATTTCGATATACGAGTACATATAAGCTTCAAGTAAATACAACTGTCTCGCCTTTAAAAGATCACACCCTCATCGCGATATCTCCGCAGCGGTATAATCCCGTACGTTACACGATAAGCGGTATCCGTGAAAGTACTTAATTTTTATGCAATTTTTTTTATTATACTTAGTTTTATAAGTAATGATCTCTCAATTCAAGGTAAATTCTCAAATTTATGATTTAATATGCATATGAACATATTTAACGCGGGTTTGCTTTGGGTGGGGATTTAACTCCGAGTACGTCATTCACAGGAAGGGTGTCTTTGAAGGTGTCAACTGACTCCTCTCCTAGTAAATATCATTCAGTGCCTGTTTGTACGCCGTCCTGTCCATCAATTGTTGAACATATTGCTGGTGAGTTACCGTACTCCCTTTCAGATGTGCTTGGGTGGATGCTCAGCCTCTATAAGGTGCTATTGGGGTGCTCCCTGCGGTTGCACTAACGGTTAGACTAATGTTGCCTGTTGACCTAAACCGGGTTAGATCGCCGAAAGGTGACAAGGGCTGGATAAAATCTTTGGATATTTAATACACATGTATGTATGTACAGAGAGATATATCCCACCAGGCAATTTTTGTTGGCAGCAATAAGAAAACGAGTCCCTTGGCAATACATTTATCGCCGGTAATTTCTTCAACTTGTGATTTTTGTAAGATGTGGCTTGTGGAAAAGCTTCGTACCAAAAGTCCATTTCACCTTCTCGTTTTGATAAGTTTTCTGATCAAACGGAGAGAACGCATTCAATGTGAAAATGTATAATGAAGTTTTCATACGGACGCAGAACGGGCTGATGTGTCCACCAACACACTCACACGAATTCGCACAATACTAATACATAAGTAAGCTGTTTTATTTATTTTTCTCTTCTGGGTACATATATCTTGAAATAGAATGTAATTGAACAGATTCTGTTCTTTTTATTTTATTATTTTCGAGTAAACGCCATTTTAGACGTTCTCTTCGTAGCAGAGAGAAGTGGAAAATATGGAAAAGGATCCTGTAAAAGCTGAGGTAATAATATATTGACGATTAATTGACTACTTCATTTTTCATTGTTAAGGCTGCAACTACCCAACGAGCGTACCAGCCGTCCCTAGACGAAAATTATGAATTTGTTCAAAAGTGTGCAAACACACAGGCAGCTGGCAACATTTCTCCGCTCTCAGCGACGTCGATAATTCGTGTATGTATTTCACCACTGACGTCGTCAGTTATGGACGGCTGGTGAGTAAAATGGGTAGTTGCAGCCTAAGGCCTGTGTATTTGCACACTTTTGAACAAATTCATAATTTTCGTCAACGAATTTCATAATTTATTTGCTTAAACATAAACACAAGGCAAATATACATGACCTATATGGTAACAATAATTAGTTACGCATTTATTTTTCATTTCTTTTGAACAAAACTACGCCTTATTTTCGATTATTTAATGTTACTTTAAGAAAGGCTATACTGGCAACCTTGTATAGCAACGAAAAATGAGCCGAGCCGGTTTTACGGAAAAAATCAATACTTCGTTGGTTTCTGCGACACGAACGTCACCAACGCTATGGGAAAGCGGTGATAACTTTGTGTTTACATGGCGCTCTCATAAGATAGGTTACTATGGACGGCTGGTACGCGCGTTGGGTAGTTGCAGCATAAGTTATGATAGGGTTTATAGGCAATGAATTAAACTTTTGCTCACTTTTTCTTTTATTTATTTATGTGGTGAAGTTTCTCTGGTATTGTAAAAATCGCACATCTTCATACTTTTGCTATTTACGTTGTATTTCTTTTAGTAATTTCATTATGTTAAACACATTCAATTTAATAAATTTAATTTGGGTAAGAAGCACAACGGGATTCAGTAAAATTAGCCAGCAGGTTGTATAAGACCTGTTTATTCTGGCGGTTACATTTGAATCCGTGCATTTACACAGTTTATTCTTTCTGCTTAATTCTTAATTTCTTCGAAGATTGCAAAAACGTTTTGATGCCTCAAGATAGGTGGCATAATAATTTGAATAGGCATTTCAGACTAGACTATCTCTAGCTGGAATAAAATAATGCAATAGTTTTTCTACTTCACAAAATTTTGAAAAGTAAATAAGTTTTTAAAAACATTTAAAATTGAAGTTTCATAGATAGCGTGCAAAGGCTAAACTACCTCACAAATAACAGATATGCTTGGAGATCTATAAATTATGAACATATAAGTTAAACCTAATACTTAATCCTGCCTATACAATTTTCAGTCAATTAACGCATGAAAGTACAAACTCAACCTTTTCCGAATTTAAGCTTGGAGTAATCAATTCGTTACTCAAAAAATAAAACCAAAATATATGAAGGTGGTCATGACATGATTATGATCATATGAAATGTTGCGGTGCATTTCCGAGGAAGTCAAAATTAAACCTACATTAAAATTGATCATTCCGACGCTGTAAAACAATATCACGGGATTCAAAGTTTTCTCCAACTTCAACGATAGCAACTTCATCAATAGTTGGTGCATTAAAATGTCTTGCATGTTGACCGCAGGTGTTTTATCAGCTCTGATTACAATTTTGTGATTATCAGATGGCATCAGATCAAGTGCAGTTTTAAACAATATAATCAATTGATTGTGTTCATGAAAAAAAGTTTGTAATTGTTCTACAATAGGCTTATTTACTAAATTGTTATATGCGCACAACGCTGATCTATTTCTTGTTGTGAATTTCCCATAAAATAAATTTGAAGGAATTCATAGTTGCTAGCTGGCACTGGTAACAATGAACCTGCTCTATGATATATTTATCGCGGACCCGACCAAATTGAATAGTCACAAAATATAATAATAACAACTTGGTGAGTGCTTGTAATTTAAAATGAACTTTATATAATAGCAATAAAGCTCAAATTGTTTCTACGTTTTAGTTAGAAAACGTTTGTATGTGAAAAAGAAAAGGGCTGTTTTTAGGGTTTTCCCGGCAATTATTCTCGCCGTAAGAACCATCCTTGGACTTCAACGAACATTTTAAAAAAAGAATTGGCCAAATTGGTTCAGGCGTTGTTGAGTTATGCGCTTACCAACACATTTTGCGTTCCATTTTTATATTATAGATTTATGTAATATTATAGATATACATATTTATTTACATACACATATACATACATATGTACAAATGAACAAAAACTTAATAATTCATATTTGAACAAAATTTACTTCCATTTGAAAAGTTTCAAATACAAAATTGTAATAATTCAAAATTGAAGAAAAGTCTGAAAAGAATGTAACTCAGAACAAGCAAAAATCAAAAAGATCGATTCCCACAATAAAGATTCAAAATAGTCAACTCGAACAATTGCAACTAATGCCAAACGGCAGTATCATGCCTGTTAAATAAAAATAAAAATATTTTTGGTCGAGTGTAGCGTTTAAAAAAAAAAACATTTTTTCCATTGGATCATTGAAAATAATCATTATTTAATGCCTGCAAATATTTCGGAAATATGCAATTATGTTTATTAAAATTATATGTTTATATGACCAATATATAAGGAGTGTGTATTTACCTGTGCAGCTGTTAGACGATTCTTTGGATTATAAACAACCAAGTTTGATACTAAATTAATTTCTACAGCATATGTACAACTAGGAAATAAGTTGTCCCAATGAATGCCACTTGCTTTTGGGAATCTGAAAAAAAGAGATTATTAAATCAAATCGGAATTCAACAAAAGGAATTTTTTATCGAGCAACTGGTCAGTGCCTTTTCTTTTCTGTTTTCTTGCACAGTTTGATTTTTAGCAAACTACATTCGTGCTCTTTGTTTTTGTAAAATCAAATCACCATTGTTATTTATATTAACACATACATAGGTACCTAATTTTATCATAATCTGGTAATAAAGAAATATCTGGCCATTCATTCAGTCTTGGGCTGCCTAATGTTCTTATTACAAGGGCCAATTGCTCAATATCAGTTGCTCCCTGCAATATATACAATGTGTTAAATTATAAATATGATTGCATTTAAGCGGTAAATTGATATCACACAGAAAATAGCGGCACTCCTCTTAACATTTCAGCAAAAACACACCCTGCAGCCCACATATCTACGGCTGGACCATACTTTTGACTTCCCCATAGTATTTCCGGTGCTCTGTACCAACGCGTAGAAACTTGAGGTGAGTATAACTTATTTTCCTCTTTCGGAAAATATAGCCGGGCTAATCCGAAATCAGCAATTTTTAGCTTTTCATCTTCGCTTATTAGCAAATTCGCGGGTTTAATATCCTTCCAATGATATGAAAAATGCTCGATTCAAACAAATATGTAAGTAAAGTAGGAAACGCTTCTTACTCTATGCATTATGCCCATGCTGTGAAGGTAATCTATTCCCTTGAACATCATTAACGCAAATTTACGAATTTGTGATCTGTTGAGTGGCTCTATTTCGTTTCTCAATTTACTGTATAATGTTTCAGGCATATACTCTAGTACCAATGACAGTCCGGTCAAGTCTGGGTATATGTCTATAATTGATACAATCTGAAATCCGTAAAAAAGTATAGCCTGGTAAAATTTCGCCATAGGAAAGCACGATAACATCAATAATTATTCTTACATACATATTCCGATTGACACAACTGCAAAGTTTTTATTTCTCGTAAAGTGTTTAGTGAAATATTTCCAAATTTATTCTTCAGTGCCACCTTTTTAATTGCAACCGGTTCTTGCCGTTGGAGGTCAATCGCTTTGAAAACGTATCCATGCACTCCTTCGCCAATCTTTTCAAGCATTTTAAAACGACTTGGTGCATAGTCCTCCATTTTTCCAGAATTCCTCACAGTTGATACCAGTCTGCTTTTTCTAATATATACCAAACTAGATCTCAGCATAACTATGGGGTCAAATTTTATTTTTATTTTGGAATTACAGTATTGTTGTCATTTTGTTTTTAATGTTGCTAAGGAAACATCATTTACACGTGCATATATTCAACCCCAAACGAACAAGCCCTGTAAGAACGGTATGATGGGTTAACCAATATTTGTGTATTTTACTGAAGCAGACGAAAATTGCAGAAATTCTTATAAACCACGATCATAAAATTCAACTGAACAAACATTTAAAAGTGATTGAAAGTTGCTCTTATCGGCACCGCTTGCTCGTTAATAGCCGAATTCATCTTTTTTCCCTTTCGCTGTTTGGCGCCAGTTGAAAATATTTACTATGTGAAGCCAGATCACTCTCTACCTGATCCTTCCAACGGAGTGGAGGTATTCCTGCTTCTCTGCTGCCTCCATCGAATACTTTCTAAGCTAGAACGCTTTCATCTATTCGAACGACGGGACTAGCCAGCGTAGCCGCTGTCTCTTTATTCACTGAACTATGACTATATCATTGTATAGCTGGTACAGCCCATCCTTCCAACGTCTGCGGTATTCGCCGTTGCGAATGCCGAAAGGACCATAAATCGTTCTTAAATCTTTTCTTTCGGAAACTCCTAGGGCCGTCTCATCAGATATTGGTATCGTCCACGATTCTACGCCTTGTATTAGGACGGGTATGATGATTGACTTGTAGAGTTTTGCTTTTGTTGGCCGAGAGAATATTTTACTGTCCAAAGTAGAACCTCTTGGTTAGCCAAGTCGCGAATGCGATGACTGTTTGTTTGACAGAAGATATTTCGTCTTGCCCTCATTCACTACCAGACTCACTCGCTTCGCTTCTTTGTCAAGTCTGGAGAAAGCAGAAGCGCCTTTAGTTCTGCTTTCTCATATATCACTATCATTGGCATACGCCCATAGTTGTACACTCTTGTTATTATTATTTTATTTTCTCCAGCATCAAATTCAAGAAATCACACGCTACAGAGTCATCCGGTCTGAGACCTTGTTTTGTATCGAACGGAGAGGTCCCAATTGTGACTGCGCTTCTGGTGTTTTCCAGCGTCAGTTCACACAGTCGTACAAGTTTTGTGGGGATACAAAATTTAGACATAGCGGCGTAGAGGTAGTTCTGATCCTTTAAAATCGACGAAAGCTGTTGTGTGTCAATCCTCTTTCACTGGTCTTTTTTAATATTTGGCGCATGGTGAATATCTTGTCAACGGTGGGCTTACTAGGTCTAAAGTCCCACTGATAAAATCCAATCTGCTCGCTAACGTTTGGCTTTAGTTTTTCACAAACTATGCATTGTAGGATCTTATATGTAATATTAGGGAGGATAATCGGCTCGGCTGGTAATCCATTGGTCCCCGCTGCTTTGCTGACCTTTCAGTGGACAATCGCTATTCGAACCTTGACATATTCGGGTAGTGTTACCCGCGAGTAATTGGAAGCAAATATAACCCGCGGCTGCAATAGCCAAGTGGTTAGCAGTGCATTATGCCATATGGAAAATTATAGAAAATTAATTTTTCTAATAGCGGTCGCTTTTTCAGGGAATATCAAGTCCTCCGAGTGTATTTCCGAGATGAAAATCGGAGCTCCTCATAAAAATCCATCGGACGTTAGGAGGTGACTTAGAGTAAACTATATGACCTTCCATTTTTGTGAATAAACATCAAGGCGCACCTCCATTGGAGCAGGAGGTCGGCCGCTTGTATTAAATTTTAATTTTAATATACATTATACGCCATCGCATTAAGCAGTAGTTGTGAACGATTTTAAGACCAAAAACTCGTTCAATACCATCGATCGACCATCAGATATTGACAACGGACTTAGCTCAATGCGACTTTTTTTTGTTTCCAAAACTCAATTTACCACTCCGTGGAACCCGCTTCGACTTGATTGAGGTCGTAAAAGAAATTTCAAGAGCTGCTGCAAACAAAGTGGTTGACAGATCTCGCCCATGTTTGGCACATAATTAAGGGCAGTGCTACCAACTTAACAGTAAAAACGTGCTGAAAAATAAATATGACAATTTCCGGAAACTTTCTGGACTTAATCTATATATATATATGGATTACTATAGATGTATATTATAAATAGTTTTTAGTAACTTTTCACCGAAGCAGAAACTAACAATTAATAATTTCAGGAGACTACATGTGCTCCATGGAGTAGCTACAAAACTTATTTCCAATATGTACTTCATGGATTACTAGACGATAATTTTTGTACGGATTGTGGCTAATTTAGGTTGTTCTATTGTCCGCGTGGAGAATATATGTATTTCACGAGTCCTAGAAGTGCTTGTGTTACCACCGTCTCGCAGGGATGTGCCTTAACGAAAAACAACATTTTCCTGCTTCATAAGTCTCTCTCTTGCTCATAAAAGGTATAACAAATGATGCGCATGCTTATTACGCATTATTCCAACCTTGGCAATATCTACCGATTCTTAAGGATACACATTTTCATTAGAACGTCACGCAATAACGTTTTATAAATATTAAAATACACTTTCAAGTATTATCAAAAACTTTTAAAATGTGATCAAATAATATTCTAGTTAGCATGCATATTTAAAAGTCGTTAGAAACTACAAATCGGTTGAGAAAGGTGGGTTTGATCCTGCTATTAAAAGGATTTTGTGGGAGTGATTACTTTTATAATATCAATCATTTTATAATATTATATGGTAGGAATGACTCATACTTGAGCATTCACATGTAAGATTTGTTATAAAACAAATAATTGTAATAAAAATTTAGAACAATATCTAGATTTTCCAAACTTCAAGGATTTCAAATATGGTATTGGCGAGTCGAATATTGTACGTCTGTGTGTGTCTCTTTGGTCTAATGTACTGCTGCAGAGGAAGAACGGCAAAACGTTCTGATGTTTACATTGCTGGTTTCTTTCCTTACGGTGATGGAGTTGAAAATTCCAATACAGGTGGTTAAACTTAAAATATACATATGTACATGTGTCAAAACTCTTTAATCAAAAATTAATAAGTATAAAAATGTGCAAAGAGTTTGAATATTGAAATATATACATTTGTATGAATTTTTGTTTGAATATCGAGAATGCACTCATAATACTTACAAAACGGAAAGCATACATTTAAAAACTAAGTATATGAATTACTGAATTACTGATCGAAATAATACAGTAATAAGTGATGATATGCTTTCCGATTTTTTCTATTTTGAAAAAAAGACTATGAATATATTTTACGTATTTCTTACTCATCGCAAAAAGATTTGAAACCAAAAAAGGATTAAACTGATAATCATCATAGTTACTACTACTTATTTATATGACTTGGTATTTAATTGCAAAATATATAACTTCATACATATAACTGTTTACATGAGAACACTACATATAATATTAACATTCCTGACTTCTTCTTACTCAGGAAGGGGTGTGATGCCTAGCGTTAAATTGGCACTTTCTCACGTGAATGAGCATCCGACCATTTTGACTAACTATCGACTGCATATGTGGTGGAACGATACGGAGGTACGGCTTCTATTAGTTTATAAACGTTTAATGCCCATATGTATGTATCTATTCTCTCCTTGCCATTCCTTAGTGCAATGCCGCAGTCGGTGTAAAATCATTTTTCGACATGATGCACTCAGGCCCAAATAAGTTGATGTTATTTGGCGCCGCATGTACGCACGTTACAGATCCGATAGCTAAGGCCAGTAAGCATTGGCACCTTACACAACTGTCATATGCCGATACACATCCCATGTTTACGAAGGATGCATTTCCAAATTTCTTTCGCGTTGTACCATCGGAAAATGCATTTAACGCGCCACGTCTGGCCTTATTGAAAGAGTTCAATTGGACGCGCGTCGGCACTTTGTACCAAAATGAGCCACGATACTCTTTGCCACATAATCACATGGTCGCTGATTTGGACTCGATGCAGCTGGAAGTTGTTGAAACGCAAAGCTTCGTTAATGATGTAAATGAACCACTGAAAAAATTACGAGAAAAAGACGTCCGCATTATTCTTGGTAATTTTAATGAGCAATACGCCCGCAAAGTATTTTGTGAAGCATACAGGTAAACAAAAGAATAGTGGTAAATTATGCGCTACTCCTGTTACGGAATAGCCCTGATAAGGCCATTTTTCCTTAAAAATGGTGTGGAATTCTTGGCCTGCATTTTCAGTTGTTTTAGCTTTAGAACTCAGTTCCGATGGCTAAAAAGTCTCAATACTAAAATCCTGCAGCTTTAGTGTTCGATCAATTTGCCGAACAGGATTAACGTATAAGTGCCTCCGAATTAAATCTCATGAGTAACCTCTATTACCTTGTAATCGCTTTATTTTTTGTATCATAGATTGGAAATGTATGGTCGTGCCTATCAGTGGCTTATAATGGCCACCTATTCAACTGAGTGGTGGAATGCGACACTCGACACTGATTGCACGGTAGAGGAGATTTCGACTGCTTTAGAGGGTACAATACTCGTTGATTTGTTGCCTTTATCTACGAGTGGTGACATAACCATTGCTGGAATAGTAAGTTAGCCTTTATAGTTTGAATGAAATTACATAGGAGTTTATAGGCATGCTGTAGCTAATGGACTTTTCTTTAAATTATATGGTAGACTGCCGATGAGTATCTTTCGGAATATGATAGCTTGCGAGGCACCGAATACTCCCGGTTTCATGGCTACACATATGATGGAATATGGGCTGCTGCACTCGCTATTCAATATGTTGCACAAAAGCGAGAAGACTTTCTTACACATTTTGATTATCGTGTAAAGGATTGGGAGCTTGTGTTTTTAGAAGCACTGAGGAATACCTCATTCGAAGGAGTTACGGTAAGTTCGATAGAAGCCAGTATTTTTAAATTATGACAAGCAATTGTTATTCTATTTGCATTTATCAAAAGGGTCCTGTGCGATTTTACAACAACGAACGTAAAGCCAACATTCTTATTACTCAGTTTCAACTGGGACAGGCAGAAAAAATTGGGGAGTATCATTCACAATTGAGTCATTTGGATTTAACTCTAGGAAAGCCAGTGAGATGGGTAAGCTAAATTATTTAGTTGAGTATTAAATAGTCGTTGTAGAGATTATCGTATTTTCAGTAGTTAAAAGTCTGTTATTTGGTTGTGTACCATGTACGGGAGCCATGCCATATTAAGTAAACCAATCGAATATGAATAAAAGAAGCATACAGGTCGAGGCATGCAACAAGGCGGCGCTCAAAACCAATTTAAGTCATTCAAGTTAGTGGAACCCTCTTACGAAAAGTATTTAGGGTTCATGGTTTTAGTTCCCAACCTGTAGAATGCTGAAAATAAACACAAATAAAACGATATATATGAAAAGTACGATGGCGTCAGCATTAGCTGAGGTGTTACCAGGGTAATGGGCTTAAATCCTGCCAAGTTCATTCATTCATCAACCTCTTTTCTGAAATTTTCAAATTGAGGTCGCCTATTGTTATCATTTAATCCAGCTTCTGAATTAGGCATTTGTAAACAACCTAATTTTGGCACAACCAAAATTCCTAAACATTTGATTAAGTCATCCCTATTCCAGCCAAAGTTAACTAAATCCTATAAAACTTTGTGTAAATACTGTATATCTACATATGTATGTATGCTTTTGTTTATTTTTACTGTCTAATTATAAACATTTTATGATTTAGGTCGGAAGAACTCCACCAAAGGACCGTACTTTAATATACATTGAGCACAGCCAGGTTAATTTAACCATTTACATTGTATCCGCTAGTGCATCTGTGGTTGGCATCATTGTAGCCTGTGTTTTCTTAGCGTTCAATATAAAATACCGTAATCAAAGGTAAATTTATTGTTTTTGATCAACTTGTCCTCACTTTGCATTTATCTCCTTTTGTTATTATTATTATTATTTTTCCAGATATATAAAAATGTCCAGTCCCCACCTTAATAACCTGATTATAATCGGATGTATGCTCACATATATGAGTGTTATATTTTTGGGTTTGGACACTACATTGAGCAGTGTGGCGGCTTTTCCTTACATATGTACAGCACGAGCTTGGATATTAATGGCAGGATTCAGTTTAGCATTTGGAGCGATGTTTTCTAAAACTTGGCGTGTACATTCCATTTTCACTGATCTAAAGCTAAACAAGAAAGTTATAAAAGACTATCAATTGTTTATGGTAGTGGGCATATTATTGGCAATTGACATTGCCATTATATCGACTTGGCAAATAGCTGATCCTTTTTATCGAGATACGAAGCAGTTGGAACCCAGGGTAATGAGATAGAATTTAGAATTTGAATTTATATTTTAAAAATATTGTACTTTAACTCATCAATTTTTCTACTTTTAATACAAATATTTTCATTTTAAGCATCATGAGTCAATGGACGATATTTTGGTCATACCTGAAAATGAATACTGCCAATCAGAGCATATGACGATATTTGTTAGTATAATTTATGCTTATAAAGGACTACTTTTGGTAAGATATGATTAAGAGCGCAAGTGTATTGAATAAATTTAATGGATATCATATTTTCCATATTTCACTGTAATGGTTTTCAGGTATTTGGTGCCTTTCTTGCCTGGGAGACACGTCATGTTTCTATACCGGCTTTGAACGATTCGAAACACATTGGATTCTCTGTTTACAATGTCTTCATCACTTGTATTGCTGGCGCTGCTATATCTTTGGTGCTCTCCGATCGCAAGGATTTAGTTTTTGTCTTACTCTCGTTTTTTATAATTTTTTGTACGACAGCAACTTTATGTTTGGTGTTCGTACCGAAAGTAAGACTGGTAGTAAGGAAGTTTTTTAGTTTTTGTAGCTGTCTTTTAAATTCAAATTTTAGACTTAGTGTAATCTCTACTATGGGTTGTTGTATTATGTTCATAAATCGGAGTTTTTAATCAACATATGTATGTATATATGACATTTTCAAGTTAACACGTATGAATACATTTGATTAAAAGCTCCTCCTATACTTATATTCTCTCAGAGTTGAATTGAAACCAAAAGAAAAATGCTGGATTCCTATTATTCACGAACAGAAATTTTTTATTTACCATGATTAATGAATTAATTCGAATTTCTAATGAGCTAGTTAAAAGGAAAGAGAGAAAAAACTCAAGTCGGTAAATCATATATGCATATAAATTATAATTTTCGGGTAGCAAACAAATTAAGGTTAACGCAAGTTATTCTTTCTTTCAGAGCTACTATGGGCTTTAAGGTAGATTATTCCGTATTGAAACTATACAGAAAGTCGATGCTTTAAATATGTATGTGCCTATATTTATACTCGAATTTAACAAAAGACCAGTTCATGAAAAGTGTAACCGAAGATACAATTTTTCCTTTAAATAATAATATGCAAACCTTCCTATGTTCAAAAAGTAGAGTACTCTTTCATGTTCATGCAATGTTGAAAAAGCATATTGACCGAAAACTTCGAAAACAAATTATTTACAAAATATAATACATTTTGTATTGTAGGTATTTTTCTGAAAAATTTCAGCATCATTGGCTCTTAAAAATGTCCTTAAAGGTTCCTCATGTACAATTTCTTGTACATTTTGAAATATTCCGTTGTTCGAATTTGTAATCATTTAGTGATTTTTTTTAAAGAAAAGACTATTAAGCAAGTCTACATGGAATTGGCTTTCTCTGCGTGAATATAATATGAGATTTTGGTGTTTAATTTATGTTCAGTAATGCTTTTTTTATTAGTTTTCTTTTAATTACTTACTTGATATACGTAGATTTTTATACATATTTATAATTAAGCTTTATAACTGTCGCTTCTTCTTTATGTAATATTCAGCCATTTTTGTTTGCTTAGTTACCACAATTTTAAATCTTTTCATACTGCAATCTAAAAATCAATGAGATTAATATCTAGTCACAGACTTTAGCTACCCATGCACATTTATAATTACGAATAGTTCTAAAATACTAAAATTACGCTTCTTTTGGCTTTTAGTTAGTTGAACTAAAGCGCAATCCTCAAGGTGTTGTTGATAAGCGTGTACGCGCTACCTTGCGACCGATGTCAAAGAATCGTCGTGATTCTTCAGTGTGTGAGTTGGAGCAACGTCTACGTGATGTGAAAAACACAAATTGTCGTTTTCGAAAAATTCTTATGGAAAAAGAAAATGAACTGCAAGGACTCATACGAAAATTGGGTCCTGAGGCTCGCAAGTGGATTGATGGTGTCACATGTACTGGTAATATAGGTACGGAGTCTGAACCAATACTCAATGATACATCTAGATTGTCAGCGCCCCCAGTTCGACGTGAAATGCCCAGCACGACAGGTGAATGTTAACATGAAAAAAAAAATATTTTTTTTTTTATAATTACCCTTTCCATTTTCATTGGTAGAAGTCACCGAGTTGACATCGGTGGATAGCGTGACCTCTACACATGTAGAATTGGACAGTTCCATGGTGTCTGTGCAGTCAACTACAATCGCGCCATCTTTACCACCGTAAGACTTGGACATATATTTACTCAAGTGCAGTTTTATAAACTCCTCCTCTCTACTCTTACTTCAGTAAAAAGAAATCCATTAAACCCGCTAATCAAATTCAGGATGGGATGGTGCATGTTGCTGGTGCCATGGCTGGGGTACAACCACTACAGAAACAAACTCAAATTCCATCAATGCAACCGATACAGCAACAGTTGCAACAACAACTGCAACAGCAAAAGCCACCATTGCAAGCAATCAAACATGATGACCTTAATTACCGGCGGCCAACGGTAGAAAAACGCAACTCTGTTTCAGCACAAACCGATCCGATTCCCGGTCTGAAGAAGCAGGATTGCAACAACGTAAAGCGTTGCGAAGACTCACAGCTGCGAGATCGTCGGCAATCGGTGGCGTCCAAGGTAAGAAAAAGGAGTGTTTTGCTAACTTCGTTAATTATTTCATGTGCGTAAAAAATAACGGTGAAAGTGAAGCGCAGGTGAACCCGAATATAAAGAAGAATGCTAGCTTAGCTACTGGCGATTTTCTGAGTACAGTTCTAAATAAGAAACACAATAGTTAAGAGAATGTACTTCAGAGATACAGTAAGTATAAATCACCATTTGCTTAGGGAAACATCATCTATGAAGGAACAAACTGGATTTAACGTAGTGGAATTTTCTTTACTGGTATTATTCTTATTAACAAATCGGAGCTATTGGTCTACTACAGCACTTAGGTTTTGTATTATCTTCAGTACCGTCTTATACTTCGATGTGACTTTCCTCGCTTCTGTGTCTACTACGGTCTCGGTCTGTTTTCCAAGGCTACCTAAATCTCTTTTTCCCCATAGAGCTTACCGGAAAGTAGTGGGCAAAGCATGTACTCTAATTTTAGTTTACAGTTTTGAATAAAAAAATGTCGACAATTAAAATTAATTGGTGTGATTTCTTTGCTACAGCACCACGACAATGGCAGTCAAACACCTACAGCCTATCCGAAGAATGCACACAACCATAGGAACTCGTCAACGAATATTTCTACTTCAAATAATGATCTAAACAGCATGTGCCCTCATGTCCCCCATACGAAAAGCAATAACATAGTTAAAAGTAAGTATAACGGTACACATACTACCTAATAATACGATGATATATCATGTACTCATATTTAAAGCACCAACAACATCGGACGGCCGGAGAGGAATCAATGCAATGAAATCTAACTTTGTGGTATCCCAAAGTGATTTATGGGACACCCATACACTTTCCCATGCCAAGCAACATTCTCGTCAATCACCACGTAACTACGCAAGCCCCCAACGGTGCTCAGAACATAGTCATATAATTCCTTATAACCAAAGTACATCACCCATTCAACGATCGGTTTCGGAAAAGAATCGCAATAAACATCGGCATAAACCACAGAAAGGGACTGTATGTCAAAGCGAGACTGACAGCGAACGTGAACGCGAGCCAACGCCTCCAAGTACGCAGTGCATTCAACAGCGGAAGCTAAACAAAATGAGCAGCATACAATATGCTGCACATCATCACTCGTCGCCGAATGTAGCACCAGAAAAGCAACGTAAGCATCGAAATAAAAATGAGTCCTCAATTTATGGTGCAAGTTCCGAGACCGAATTGCTGGATGGTGAAACGGCAATATTGCCTATATTCCGAAAATTGCTCACTGAAAAGAGTCCCAATTACCGTGGTCGAAACGTTGTGGGACAGAGTTGTCCAAACATATCCATTAAATGCGATATTGTAGAATACCTATAGAGTAAATTGGTTTTACTAACCGAAACAGATTTTCAATGAAAAGCCCCCCTTAATAAATACAATTTGACCCGGCTGAGTCCAAGTAAATAAGAGTGGGTTTTTAAAAAATTTCACAAGAAACTAAACATACCATAAATATATAGCTTCTATGTTTAATAGTAATATTAAATTAAAGCAAACTTACATTTAACCTTTTAATCAAATAAAAAAAATTCCAAAGCCATATTTTTGAGTTTTTGTGTAAAGGATGCAGATTTTATGAATCCTGAAAATGGAAAGCTAAATATGATTTCTACAAGCGCTGCTCCCGCGATGAAATAAAAATCGTGCTTTGTGATTTTAACGCAAGGGTGGACAAAGTAGACATCTTTGGTGCAACGGGTTGATGCTGATCGATTATCCGGGACTCGAAATATGATCACCTGATCGAAAGACTCAGATGGTGATGGATGGAAGCCACGTTTCTATGGTGTCTACACCTCTAATATCGACTCGATCGACTATTTCAACAAATACACGGAAGGCACGATGTCGAAAAGCTGAAATTACAACAAGCAAGACCACTCATCAACAGCTGGGAAAAGAACTGTTGGGCGGTACTTCAAGCGCCCTACGCACAGCTGCAAATGAAAGGTTGGATGAAAGCGTGCGCGACGATTGGAATCTGAGGTCCTACCGGTCGTATTGTGTGAGAGATTGATACCCACCTCCAACCAACTGATTGGGCCTTATCGAGTGGCTTCAGACCTTACAAGCCGGGCCGTTGGTGCCAAGCGATTTCATCGACAACATTCGATGAGTCGACTTTGGGAGACTTAAAGAGAAAGATATTGCGGAAGGTTTACCGGAGATCATGGAACCATGAGCTACATGTGATAAACGACGTAGTAACATAGTTCAGCGAATTAAGACGCAGTGATTACGCTCTTACTGATTATGTTTGAGTTCCGTGTGAAAGTACTGACAAATATTTAAACATTTTTTTTTACGATGAACCCGTTATCCACCTACCGCCCAATCGGCCGAGTGGCACGTGTGAGGGATAATAGGGATAAAAAAAAACAGACCGATGTCCGAAAACCAAACGAACTGCCCTGAACCCGACCTCGATCGTGGAAGGTCGCGGTTACATTTGCTCTTACAGCTGCCATAAACTATTGTACATGGGAAAAGGATAAGGAATTTACTTAATTATTTAAATCTCTCAGTAAGTAGGTTTTGATCTACAAAACCGAGTCAGAAGAATTAATGTTGGCGAGTTGTGTATTAATATCGTAACAAATATCTAAAAGGGTCGTGCATTTCCAAGTATTTCCTGCATAAACACACTGAAAGGGGCCTTAAGTGTCTAAATAATCACATAGGGATGGTATAGTTAAGCTCGCTAAGGAGAAATGGGCTTTTGATATCACCTGTTATCAATTTGGTTAAAAATAAAACTCGCTTGCGGAGTGTAGGCAGATTAATGAGCCGTAAACGATTTTTGTAAGAGCGCAGGTTCTTGATCGCATCCCAGTTTAAATTTTTTAACGCGAATAGCACGAATTGCTCGGACTCCATACAACTGAGATCTAACAAGTGAGGTAAAGATTAATTTAGTAATATATGTATGTGTCATTGAACTCCTTAGCCCAACTATTAGCAAAAGCATTTATATGATTACTAAAATCTAAAACTAAAAAACTAAAACCTAAATCAATAAAGTCAGTATCTTGTTCAACATGTCTTGAGAAATACATATATTGGCACTTATTTAAATTTAGGGATATACAGTTCGCATAATTAGGTCAAGTTGCAAAAGTTCTTTTTCTTCAAAAGAATGAACTGATTTAAAGAGGTTGATATCATCTGCTTACATGAGTATTTTAGAATGAAAAACCACATTTGGAATGTTATTGATTGATATAAGGAAGAGTAAGGGGCCGAGGTGACTACCTTGAGGAACACCAGATGCAGATGTTACAACATTTCAAAATAATTTTTTGTTTTTTACCAGTGAAGTGAAATCCAGTTGTGAACAAAAAGCGGAAACTCGAAATATTGAGTTTAAAGCGAAGTAAAGAATAGAACATCTTGTCAAATGCTTTACTGGAGTCAGTGGGTGGTGAATTCTAGCAGGTTTGATAGGGTAGATTTGCATTTAAAAGACCCATGTTGCGAGATGTCAATAATTGATGACACAGAAAAGGCTAATAATCTGTTATAACAGCTTCGAAAATTTCGGGGATAGAACATATGTAGATTTGCTATTGCTCTGTAAATCCCTATTAAAGATCTACTACCAGATTTATGTAGAAATAAAATGTCTGACTTACATGTATGAATTACAATAATTTTTATAAATTAAAAATGTAATAAGATTGCAAATTTTTTTAAAATTTTTACGACTTTTCTCGCCGAACATTTTTTCCGTAACATTTTTGTAGACACTTGCCACTTAAGCGACCGCAGAGTCAAATTTGACGTTTTAAAATCGCTGAAGTATTTTTCAGCGTCCCTCCGTTACTTTATGGTCTTTATGCTTTTTCCACCAAAAAACGAACCAAAGTTTATAGTAAGCTGCGCATAGTGCACGCTGACAACCTTTCAACGATGGAGGCAAGTGGAAGAGGTACTATATCTTTTATTACTGAAGAGACACAGGGTCTCTGCATTAAAAAAAACTCTTTTGGATGGTTGTTTAAAAGACTAACCCGGCTACATATAAAATGTTAGTTAGTCCTGTTTCCTATCAACAAAATAAACGAGTTTCCAACCATTCATATTATAACCGTGGGTTTACTTCACTTTTATTTCGAGATCCTTTCATACTCACTTCATAGGTGGATGATTACTACTCCAGTTTCTACACAGTTTGTTTACGGGTTATACCGTGGATAGCAAAGGAATTAAAAAAGCTGTTTCCTTAATAAAAACTTTCATGTAATGCAATGTATTTACACATATATAAATACATACATATGCATATGTAAGTACATAAAATTCAGAATAAATTTAACTTTCGTAAATTGAAATAACTATTTTAAAGTTATCTTTTCTGATATCACAGTTATAATTTATCTTAGTTATTATTTGTTTCTTTTGACAGTGGAAGTACATTGAACATAAACTCTTAATATATACGATGCATATGCAGTTATACATACATTTTTTAAATTGTTATAAATTATTCATATTTATAAACATACCGCATATTGACATTTGCGCTCCTTGACCACAAAGGCTTAACTGCAATTATATATATGTATATATATCATACTTATAACATGTTTAATTACTAACGGAAAGAAAGTTTAAGGATAGTTTTATATACATACATACATATGAATTTAGGAATATAATACATTAAAATAACAAGTTCTTTGTTTAACTATCTCTAATTAATCCCACACATACACACACACATTTTTACATATAAAACGCTTATATAACTGACATAAATAGCTATTTATGATTTTGGAACACTTGCAACTATGCCTAATATGATTTCATTGATTTACCTACAAAAAATATACATTTATGTTTATTCATACACTCGTAGGAATCTGTTTAACTTTTTTACATAATTATATATTTATAATATATTACATATAGGATTTTCCAATAAGTGGTGTTCTTTTGATATTCAAAGAAACTTTTCCCTTAAAAAAATTAATTCCGCCTATAAAATAACATGAATAATCTCAGAAAAGCACCATCCATTTATTTGCGAAAAAGTAAGGTCCATTGAACCCGCCGAACCATAAACCACATCAAACAGTTATAAGTTGAGGATGGAGCTGCTTTTCAACAATAAATCTGTGGTTTACTGAGCCTCAAATGCAAAAGTTTGGCTGATTGACGTAGGTATAGGGGTGGAAATGGTCTTCATGAGCCAAGATTATCTTTCGATGAAATTGGTATAGTGAATTTCAATAATAATTTTTTCAATGCGTTATTGAATTGAATTGAACGTGAATCGTTACGTTTTTATTACTGGCGTAGTTGTTTCTTGTCAAATATCAAAAAATTACATTACTGGCAAACCCTTTACAATAATAAAAATTGTATGTTATATTAAAAATATTATAGCCTTATGAATATAAAATATCGGGTAAGTGATGAACGTTGCAATATCAACATACAAATAAAAGCACCACTGCGTTAAAAAGTCTGATGATTTTAAGATATTTTAATTCAAATATATAATACGTAAGTTCTCGGTAGTAGTAGTAGTAGTTGCAATTGATAGCTTGTAAGGGGTGGAACGAAATTTATTTTTAGTTAATTTCCATTCATTGTTTAACAATTTTTTTTTGCTTTCAAAGATTTTACTTAACCAATACGAGAAAAAAATTTATGTTTTTTTTTTTTTGTTACATATTTGAGGGTTTATATAGTCTCATAAAGTAATGCATATATCATAAATAAAAATGTTACAACGGTTGTAAGCGTTTGGTTCTAATTTTGTTCTGATGTAGCTGCCGAAAGTTATGGCAAGCCGAGTTTTTACTAATTTTTATTATTTTGCTATGCAAGCTAGCAACAAATTTTTAAAATACTGTATATTCTAGAAAGACTAGGCTAGAAATAGAAAGACTTATCTCATTTTAATAAAGTTATCAATCAATTCACGAGAAACATTTTTACAACCGCTTTTAAAGATCATTTTATTGAAACAACGCTTTTTCTCCCTTATAAAGAGTTCAGTCTGTATACGTAGCCACATATAAATAGAATAAAAAAACGTTTAGAAACCATTTCACAAGTACTAAAAAGAGAAAAGATCCTGAATTAAAAATATTGGCATAAACGAGTTTTTCGTCGTCCCGCAGCGTCTTTTAAAATCATAGTGAAACATTTTTTTTAATAAACTAATAAAATAATTTGAGAGGTTTGTTTCAATGCTTAAAATACGAAACCATATCTCTACAATTACATAACTAGTCATTTTAAATTGTTAATATGAATGTCAGTACACACGTAATATGCTCGGTTATTGGTATCTAACTTATTTTGTATCTGTCAACTCAGACGCGGGATTTTCAATAGACGGGCTTTTGTGCTCCACGATAGAAGACATATTAACACTGGAAATATCGATTTTGTTATTGAAAGAATGTTCGAAATCTGCACTAAGAGGATGAGAGCTTTCTGTGCCAGAAATTGTTTTAATTAACGAGCTCGATGTTAGAGATTCAAGCTCATGTGTTTCGGAATTAATAAGTTCACCGATGGCTGAACTTGATGGCGTAAGCAACTGTTCACTTGCAATTACTTGACTTTGCTTCCTAGTCAGACAATTTTAATCGGATTATATAAAAAAATATTCAAAAATTTATTTTTAAAGACTCACCTTTCATAGTATTTATTGCCACTAGTTGAGGATCCTTTATTCAGTAGAGGGTAACTGAATTGCATGAAACCGTATTGCGGGCCGGCTGTCTTTAAGAGACTCATTAGAAAAAATGTTCCATACAGCCAACTAACAACCATAACGATAACTAAGAATAAACCAATTTGTATGTAGGGCAGTACATTAGAAGCCAACATTAAAGCTCCAGCCATCCCTGTAGTAATTGCAGCCATCGACGTTGGCCCAACAATTCGTGATAAAGTGAACTTGCTAGCGGCCAGACGTTCTGCGGTAGGTGACATACGGTAGTGTATACCGTAATGCAAGCTGAAATCGACTGCTAATCCAATCGCAGTACTCACGGTTATACTTTCCAGCACGTTTAATTTCCAACCAAGTAAAATTAGTATCGATACAGTTGTAAATATTGTAAATAAAACCGTTATTACGGCATACAAGGATACTAAAACATTCAATGTGACTAAAAGTAAGACGACAAGCGACGCACTCATCGCCACTGAAATTGCTACTAAAGTATCATGACTCAATGTGCTTTGTGTATCGAAGAATTTAAGTTCACTAGTGAACCAACCGCCTTTCATTTCTGGCGGCGCTTCATTTAACTGCTCCATTAGCCACCGATCAACTGACTGGACGAATTTTTTAACTTCATTGTACGCTGTTGTGTAAGCAACATTCGATTCGAATTCGAGTACCAGAGCTTTCACTTGTGGTGGCTGGGCGGTATGGGAAACGTTGATTCGCCTATCGGCCAGAAATCTCGGTCCAGCCACCCCAGGAGTATAATATTCGCGTGGTGTCGCATATAACGAGGACATACATTGTGGCAAACAAATATCGAATACATCGGGCTCAAAGGGGAACTTCGAGACATCACAACAGGGGGTGCGATCAGTATTGTCCATCTCATCTATACACCTGGAATTATGTAATTTTAGCGCATATTGATGTTATTATAATAAAATAATTATTTAATTATTTTTAAAATTTTGGCGTACATTAAAATTGAATTTGGTTTCTTTTCAAAATATTATATTATTAATAAACTGAAAAGAAAATTACTTGTACAAAAAATATATTTTTTACTATTGAATCATGAACAGGAATCGATAACTTTTTAAATATATACTTCTTGAATGTAAGAAAGAAAGAAAGAATTTTTTTTCAATTTATGGACTTAAAGGAAAAATTGTTGTGCAATGGTTTTTCAAAAGGTTTGTTCTTAAAACATGAATACGCTTTTTAGAAAGCTGATACATATTTGGATCAAATACTTATGCGCATCATACAAATACATATGTAGTAAGTCTCATAAATAAATAAGTATAGTGAATCAGCCCAGAATGGTATTGGGCTCATCATTTCAGAAAATGTTGATGCTAAAAAGAAACTTTGATACTGCAAGATTAAGATCCCTATTTATTACCGTTCTCGAAAACATCATCATCAAAAATTTAAAAAAAAATTAAGTTCCTCATTCAATTTTCAATAAATTTCAGAAACGATACGCCATATTGAGAACTATCATATTTGATTTTTTTTTTTACAAAACATTTTTTGGTTTTATTGTTTTTATAAAATTGTTTCTAATGTTACTTATTGTTTTCACATGCACCGGATTTTGCCAATTTTAGAGTGAAGTCCATGATGAAATAATAATAATCATGAATAGACAAGAAGAAAACGTGTAAATATAATAAAAGTCGGTTTTTATTTTTCAATATGGCATACCGTTTTTGACAATTTCGAACAATAGAAAAATTATTGTGGAGCTCGAAAAAATAAATTCAAAATTGAATCTTAACCTTATTTAAAATTGAAATTGAATGTACCCTTTAAAATTTAAATAGATCGCTTCAGAAGATCCTGAGAAAGAAAATGTTTCTTTTTTCTAAACAAGATGTGATGAGCTTTTTCAAATAAATTGTAATACATAGAGAGCTTAAGCTTCCAGTATCGAATTTGTTTGTTGGTATCAACATTTCCTGAAATGATGAGCCCGATACCCTTCTAGGGCCGGTTCAATGTACTTATCGTCCAAAATCTATATATTTCATTTCATTTTTAAAAGACACTAAACTTACATGCGATCCATTAGTGATATAAAATTTTCAATAAAGCAATTTGGAAGCAAAATACCAAATGTGATTTGATAGAATGGTTGTAATCTCAAGTTTTTGCAAAAATTAAGCAGCCAAGTTTGTGCAGCCATCGTAGATATATTAAAATTATTGTCATAGTACAAGCTTCCATGAGAAAAAGGATTTGTGTAGTCACCATCGTCTACCGGCTGTATACCCCATACGAAGCGCAAAGGTAATTTAAAATTTTCATAAGCCTAGATAAAGAGAAAATATTATAATAAAAAGTTATTAAATTAATACTTGATCTTAAAAAGGGATACATTTAATCAGTTAATGTATGTATAATTGATTCTCACGAACTTACCGAAATGGACTTCTCAAACCAAAATTCATTTTTCATTTTGCTGTTATATATTTCAAACGGATGACTACTTGAAAATAGTTGAAAATGGGAACTGTCTGGCAGCTGCAAGCCTGGTGCGTATAAAACAATAAATGCACTACATAATCCTATTGTACCTACAATAGTAAGGAAATAATTTAGATAAGATCCTCGAATAATCAAAACAAATCTAATATTTAGAAATCACACGTTGCAATCTTCTTCGGCATGGTTTAAAACTATTTACATTTATTTAGCCAAGACTGCCGATAGCTGTAGCATCTAATGCTGATATTCTTAATATTTACTATAATTAACTATAGGTTTAATAAAACATAATAGATAAATAAATAAATATTCATTTACTAATTACCAAAAACGCATATCCATAGCATTGCATAATTCATCACAGCCTTGGTAATAAGTGTTTCAAATAGCTGACAGAACTTTGTAATTGACTTGTTGAACATGAGCAGTAATTTTTGTATAGGGAGCTTACTATTACAAGTGGCACAGGCGGATACACGTTCCATTATACATACGACGGCGGGTAGCCAGGTCATCATAAGCAAATAGTTGGTAATAGCTACAGTTCCAGCAAATACACTACAAAATTGATATAATGGAATTATATTTAATCCAATATTTCTCTAAAATAGTATGATAATATTATATTTCATTGCAATTTTTAATATTTATAAAAAAAAATATTACTTTTTCACTTTTAGAAAGCATTTTTCATGCGTGAAGTATGTCCATAGAGTTGTACCGGGAAATTTGTTAGTTAAACTATTCTTTGTTAATAATATAAACTATACTTTGTTAATAATATATTAATGAATTTCTTCACATTTATCTTTAAGGCCTAATTAAACTAGCTAGGGACACTTAGGACCTTATGTTATTATCACTTAATCTGATAGCATAGCATCATTCATACCCAAAACATTTGATGGCGGTTATGGAACTAGTGTAAGATGCGAAGAACGCGGTTGCAGTTGTTAGTGAAGACACAAACATAGATAATGCCGAATGATGGAACGTAGAAGCCATTAAACTCTGTAAAGTTTCTGTATGTTCATTTCCACCATCTATAACTGAAGTGGGATGTGCGCTAGCTGTCGATTTTATTGATTTAGAAAAACGTTCTGCTAAAACGCATTGCCAAATCTTAACAAAGAGGAATGCATTATCAGCTCCAATACCTGTGATTAAATAAAATTTTAAAGCATCTTGACAAAAATGATGGACGTTTACCTTACCTATGATTACAACTAAAGCTAACAAATTCATATAAGGAAAGAATGACATCTTAAAGACTAAGGTATAGGCGAAGTAAGCCAAGCCCAATGAAAATATTACGGCAATGCACACCATCAGAGTTATAAATATTGAGGTGGTATATAGCCAAATACAAGTCATAACGAACACGCCACCTAATGAGACTAGCCAAACGTCTGTGAGCAATGATTCATTAAATAGTTCATTTTCAAGTCCCAAATCCATAGAAACAACTTGCACAAGTTCATTTTTTAAGTCACTGTAAATATAAATAAAAGTAGAATTAAGTCAAATTTTTTTCTTTTGTTTTTATATAAAAACAAAAATAAACTTTTAGTTGTAAAAAATTTTTAAACTAAACTTTCATCGAATTTCATCTTGTTAGTTCCTTTGAAATGTTTGATTGCTGCGCAAATCATCTTAGTACTTACAATTTCGACTTTCGAATTAGAAAATCAAATGATTTCTCTAAGCGCACAACTAATATAGAACAGACTGACGAGCCACTTATAAGTAATCACTATTGGATGCCTCTTCAGGCAAATGGAATACAAATTCAAAGCAAAATTTGGCCTAAAACCTCCATAGATGTTGAGGAATATACACACTTTGTAAAACGGTTGGAAAAGTGTAAAAAGGAATTGTATAAAATGTTTTTCAAATGCCCGGAAGTTAATACAAAATTGATAGAACAAATGTTAAGAGATTTGGAAAAAAGCACGTATATGGTCTCCTACTCCCCAAATGTTTTTCGCTCTTTAAAGGAGTCTCAATGCTTCTTAAGAGGAGCGCACGGAAAGAGCAATATGAAGTTCTACGAAACTACATACGGCACTTACTACAATCGTGTTAAAGAATTAGAACGTTTTAAGGAAGTACTTTACAGTATGATTCAGAGAGGTCTAAGGAGGGAATTTCATGACGAATTGAATAAACTGTATATGACAGGTTTAAGTACTTATCAAATGAGCTACAACATACCTGCCTTGGAGCAAGCAAAAAAGAAAAAAACAAAGGATGGTCCAGTTGATCGTTATACTTTACGACGAGTGTAACTTCCTACTGAGTCATACAAGCATACCTAAGTGAATAACTGTTATGTAGTTGCTATAGTAAATTTATGTACTTACACCTCGTCCCATTCGTGGAACAGCGGAAGTATTTTTGATGTATAAGCTACTGGAACAAATATCATTGCATATTTCAGAAAAACTCTTGTGTCCTTTAACAAAATAAGAAATATATGTTCAAGTCATATTCAATATTATGAGTTATGTTATTTAGATCAGTCTTGGAATAGGTGTATTTAGTTTACTTACATTCATTTTTATGAAATTGTAATCGGTTAAAAAATGTAAAATATTATAAACTATGCTCCCACGCGTACATTCGGTTGGAGCTTTACATGGACTGAATTCACTGCAGTCGTTGCTTAGCCTTAGATCGTGATAATATTCGAAGCACAAAACCAATAAATTTTGCAACATATCAACATCAGTTATCTGCAATTAAAAGAGTGAATGAAGAAATCTCAAAACAATAATAAAGGATTTTATTTATAAATGTGTACGTACATTTAAATCAAAGCAGGAACTCTTATTCGCCAACAGAGCAGCGTAATTGGGTAGTGACCATGGACGACAACAACTATCAGTGAGTTCTTCTCTTTGGCAAAACTCACCATAACTTGGCACAGCCACAATTTGGTTCTGCAGTTGACACATTGCCAGCAACCCATTCAGATCAAAAAGTGTGTCGGTGTCATTGGGGCCGGTGCGCTCAACAACGAAATGAGAATAGTCTTTTGAGGGTGAATCGCAAAAGAAACCTCCCACATGCGGGCTGTCTGTATTCCAATATGGCGGAAAAGGTGCTTCCTTTAATATAGACCACGTACTTTTTTTGGTTTGCACCTTTTCACGATGATAATCTTCATCAATGGATGTCGTATTCCACCCGTATTCAAACTGTTCACTTCGGTTAGATGGATCACTAGATAACAGAGAATCATTTGTAATTTCGTAATCTCGAAAAACCCCGCTATCACCATTCCATTGTGTTGGTAAAAGATGACTTTCACTACTTTTTGGTGAGGTAATATTAAAACGATTTTGTAAATATTTAATTTTTTTGCTTAAATGTAATACTTGATTCTTGTGCTTTGAATTCTTCGGCTTTTTTCGATTCTTGCCCCTATATGTGCGATTGTGATGTTGATGCTTACGCATATTTTTTGTATGATAATAATTAATATTTTTAAAATAGTGAAGATCATTTGGATCCGTCACTAGGGTACCAGAAGGACCCGTTTCCTGCAAAAGATTATTCCAAGCCGTTGACCGTTTCCCTAAGGCTGTTCCACGAGTTTCGAACCCCTTTAAAAATTGAGAGTAAAATATTTAAAATAAAAATTACATTATAGGTTATACATATTACATTGAAATGGGTTAATTTGGAGGAGAAGTAATATCTAAAAAGGTGTCTGTTTCTGGCATAGGTCTAGTTTTCTTTTGATAACTTTCCACGGGTGATACACTCAACAACTTAATTAAGTTAGTTAATACCAACAATAAATTTTAATATCTGAATTTAAACTTTTTACTAGAGTATTCTAATTTAAATAAACTATTGTATATACAAAATATAAATATATCTATCCACGGATATACAATATACAATTTAGTTATCAGTACCGAGCGTCTAGAATACATACCAATGTGGGATCACTAAAATCTGGCGCTGAGTTCATAGTCAAGGATACTGTAATACAAGCTGTGCACAAAACCGCCACTGCCAAGACCATCAGATACGGCCGACGCACCAAAAAATTGTAATACCAGTGCATGTGCATTTTCTTAGTTTTGAATAAGATTATTTTATATTCCTTTTAAGCAATGTACACAAGTAAGAACATATGTATGTATGTACATCCTTTAGGTACATTTAATTTTAGAGTTGTACACAACCAATATTTTACTCATAATTTTACGTCAAATATTCTCTAATTCAACAAATTTGTTTATATTTTTATATTCGTCGTTTGAATAAAATACATTGTTGTTATGTATATATGTATTAGTAGTGAATTAACATTTGCAAATTTTTATGTAAAAAAGTAACGAAAAATAAAACAACTACAGGTATTCACTAAGCAAAGAATGCTGGTTTTATAAGCATAACTCAAAAGCACAAGCAGAGAACGTAAATACAACTCTAATTTCTCTGGCACAAGAAACAAGTGTTGGGACTTTGATGAAATTTTGAAATACTACATTTTAATAGGCCTATTCTCAATGTTACCGGTAAAGTAAATTTTGTTACTTTTTTTAAGACCCGAATTGAATTTGAATTTTTTGTCGAACTGGTTACAATGTTTGAAAAAAATTTGGCAGCACTGCTATTTTCGTCCTAGTCAAATTAAATTTGCCAGTTTGCCAGAAGAATATTCACATCGAAATGAAAGACGGTGCACCAAAAATTCAATAAGTTTTATTAATTTGGTTAATAAATCAGAAATATTTGACCCTAATTATGGAAAATATGCCTGGACAACAAAAACAAGCTGAACGAAAACGTTATATTACAAATAAAAGGGCTATTTTCTAGTCTCAAAAACTTATTAAAATACTCCTTTTTGCACTTTTTTCTTCATCTTCAATGAATTCCTGGCCTAACATATGCCTACCCATTTTGGTTTCTATTTTTTTTTTAAACTAACAACATAAAATCAAGCAATAAATTTTTTTTTACCTCCTATTTCGCTGGTAACAAAATTTACGAGGTGACAGTGAGTTCAGAATATGAAATGGTAACAAAATTTACTGAATTTGAAAATTGAAAATACATATATCTGAAAATTTTCTGGCGAAAATGAGAAATTCGATTACCACATGAAGGTAGAGACCGATAAGTAAGCGTGTTCTGGAGCATACGAATCAAAAGCTCGATATCGTGAACTATTCTTACATAACTTAAGAGTTGAGTAGTGAACTCGTTGGTGATAGAACTGCTAAGTTGTAATCACTGTGTGTATCTAGAAAAGTATTAAATATTGAGTACTAGTAAACATTGTGTTAATTTTTTGCCATATGTAATATATGTATGTGACTTTTATTTAACAATCTAGCATATATTGGAAAGACAAAATGTTTACTGTCGAAAGAATAGTCGAATTAGCTGCTTGGATACGAGAGCCTATAGAAAAGAAAGGCATCCACATCGACGAATAGGACATTCGGATTAAATCCAAAGACACGTTAAATATGGTCGAGTGAAAGCACCAAGGGGCTGATACGATGAAAGACAAAGCAACAAATGGAATAGGCTGTTGCATATATCACATCATCCTTAGACTAACAACATAAAAACAAACAACAAATCTTGATCATATATATGCACTTAAATGGAAACTTAGTACACAATTTTTGTGAATACCTTTTTTTAATAAAGGGTACGTTCAAGTTGCAGTTTGTTTTCTAGCGATGCACAAAAACTAAATGTTAAACAGCTGATCTGTTCTTTAAAGAATACACTCCGCCGGGTTATTTAATCGTTTTTATTAATTTTTTTGTTTATGAATGGATCTTTTTAGTGATGCATCGCCAATTTGTAAAAGTGTGTAGAATTCATTCTGCTGTTAATATTTCAAACTTAGTTTCTGTACTCAGGTGCTCAAAATCTAGTCAAAAGTATTACTGTACAAAATTTGAGAATGATACCCAAGGACCTAACAGGACCACGAGAAACGCTGATGATAATAGAAAGCATAGCAACAATCGTAAACCACCCCTTCCCGCCATTCAAAATCCTTTCGCTAACGTGACGAATAAAACAAAAGATTCTTACCTAGCAATGCTCGAAATATTCGAGGAGCGTGACGTTCATCGTCGTAATCATGTGGAATTTATTTATGCTGCTCTTCGTAACATGGCTGATTTTGGTGTAGAATACGATTTAGAAGTATATAAAGCTCTAATTAACGTTATGCCTAAGGGTAAGTTTATACCCACTAACGTTTTCCAAGCCGAATTCATGCATTACCCTAAACAACAGCAATGCATAATAGATTTATTAGAGCAGATGGAGGATTTAGGTGTGATTCCAGACTATGAAATGGAAGCAATGTTATTAAATATATTTGGACGTCGTGGGCATCCGTTACGAAAATATTGGCGTATGATGTATTGGATGCCAAAATTCAAGAACCTATCGCCTTGGCCCCTACCGAATCCATTACCGGATGATACACTAGATATAGCTAAGATGGCTATAGATCGTATGTGTACAGTTGATCTGCGATCAAAAGTATCTGTATTTGAGACAAAAAATGTTAAAGATGCTATTGACGATACATGGATTGTAAATGGCATGAGCGCTGAGCAGTCAAAGCTTTTAAGCGATCATCCATGCGACAAAGCCGTTTACATCGAAGGTCCTTTCTTGATTTGGTTGCGAAATCGTTCAATTAATTATTTTACTTTGAGAGCAGATCCAGATCAAAGCTTTCTACACACTCAAAAGGAAGATCAGGATGGTACGCATGTTAATGTCAAAATAAGAAACTTTGACATATTTCTTTTTTAAACACATTCCACTAATTGAAAATTTTTAATTAGATGTTTCACAAATAAACGCACCATTTTTTGGCACTGCAGTTCCCAGACCAAAACGTGAAGTTGATAAACTCCGCTCAGTGCATCAGCAAGAAGATGGAACAATATTTGCTATTTGTGCAACTGGTACTTCAACCAAAGACTCATTATTGTCCTGGATTCGATTGTTGGAATTTAACGGCAACCCGAAGTTGGGAGAAATACCAGTGTTATTTAGGTTCTCGTCAACTGTAGCCGCGAAAGCGATTGAAATAGAAAGTCAAACTAAACCAGATACGTTGCAATCGCATCCCAGATCAAATAATAAGGAGTAGCTCTTGAATTCATTTAATATTTATAAACGAATGACTTAAAAATAATGTACGTTCAATAATATCTTATTGCCTTTTTTGTGAAAATACCTAAATACATACGTACATATTTGTGAATTTGCCTTGTATGAACTTTTGGTAAAATTATAAATTTTTGAAAATGTATGAGTGATCAAATAACTTTAAATATTTCCCTTGATTTCGAGATGCGCTTACATATATACTTATAGCAATGTAAAAATACGTGGTCCATTTTTTTTTAATTTTATTTAAATCTCTTTTAGAAATGAATCACAGAAACATTTTTACATATATGTACACGAATTTAATTCAGAATATACGAGCAAATCATATTTGACTAGTACTGATATTCCTATTTGAATTAGCGAAAAACTAATTTCACATTACAATATAATTGAATTATAAAAATGTTTCATTTTCATACATACGAGTAAAGGAGTTTTATATATGGTATCTATAGTTTCAAGTTTTTAGTCAAGTTTTAGTTTAATATTTACATATGTATGTATGTTTGTATATAGTTACAAAATTATAGGTCAGATTTGTTGAGAGGAAATACTTTTGTGACCACACCAATGCCCTTGCTTGAGCCTTCGCGAAATAACATGCGCACACCGGGTCTCACATACTCCGGATGTCCCACGAATTCAAACAAGACTAATGCGCTGTCATTAGTGCCCATCTTTTCCCGCTCCTCTATTGCTCTTATAATTGCAGTTTGTCGAATACTGCCGATATGTATGGTGGTCTGAAATCCTACGTAAATTGCTGTTGCGTGAAACAGCACAGATACTTCTGCCTATGAATTAAACAAATATATTTTGTTATTGTAATTCAGTAAATAAAAAGGGCATACAATTTTTACCTGGAAGAGAAGTGTACCGTACGGTTCCTCATCAGGTTCACCGATATCGCCAAGTAAGGTCATACCACTGCGAAGAAGCGGAAGTGTCTGATTTGGGATGAATGATAAAGAAGCACTCTGTCCAGCTCGTACTACTCGACATGGAGCTTTGTTGCGGTGTATGGTGTGCACACTAACAGAATGGAAGCTTCCATCTTGAAGGGGTCCTATTTTCATTTGCATATTTTCTGTTAGTATCCCTTTTACCAGCAAACCTCCAACTACAGGACCAACTTCGGTAACGCGAAAAATTTCGTCTATGTGAAATTCGCATTGTTCTTGTTCCAATCGTTCCTTTTCAAGATTACTTATACTTGGTGAGAGAACATAAAGAAACTTTGTCACAAGGCTTAGTCCTGCGCCAGTTACATTTGAAACGCAAAATATGGGGACGATTTTCTCGGATAATTGATTTGATGCTGCTGAAATAGCCTCGTCTGAATTTGTGACAATAAACGGTATCTTTCGACATCCTACAGATATAAGAACTTGGCGTAATTCCTGCACGGTTTGATCCGGGCTTGTAATATCCGTTTTGGTAATCACTATGAAAAAAGGCATATCCAAGGCGAGCACTATGGATAGGTGTTCTTTGCTGGTACCAGTACAACCGCTGCCAGCTGACACCACGAGCATTGCATAGTGAGGCGAGTAGCCTAGCAACGCCTGTACTGTTGTACGCATGTAACGCCTATGGCCCGCCAGATCTAGAAATGTTACCAATTTTGTGGAACGGTCGCTTATCTCCTCCGCAGTCATCATCTCATTGTATTTGTAGTTGATGATTGTGCCCTGTTAAATGAAATGAGATAAATATTAGAAGTGATCGAATAACTAATAAAAAATTGTATTACCTGTGCATCAAACCCTAGAGTCTCGTGTGATATACTTGAAGTACGGCCAGATTGTATTTCGTGCATATGCCTAAACATGATAAGACGTGCTAAGCCACGACCATTATCAAACTCACCCTGAGTTAAAACACCCAGCAGTGTGGATTTTCCAGCCTCGGCGCCTCCCAGTACGGCCACTCGTATTTCTATATTGTGTTGGTCATCTGGTATTTTTCGTACCAAAACTTCGGCAACTGACCGTCGTGTTGCAACATATTTTCGCCGTAATACTGATGTACTTGCACCTAGTTTTTGAGCCATCTGTTTTAGTGTGGCCAACGAGGCATTCATGTCCTTTTCAACAAGCCCATGCAAATGCCCTGAATCAGATACCCCTATCTCATAAACAGCTTCACCATTCCCTTCACGAAGCCTCCATTTCATTTGGGTAACCAAGTGTTCAAATCGATGTTTGGATGGGTTAATTAGTTTCAGTTTATATTCAATATTTCCCAATTGTGGTTCAGGTGGCAAAACCCCGCGATCAAAGTCTATAAGGATTTTATTATTTTGTCCATCAATTTCCCCTTCGCTGCTGCTCCCACTCTCGCTGTTCCTTTTGTGCGTACCTCCATTTGTTTTTACAGTCTTTACAGACGACTTTCGTATTTTTACTTCTTTCATACGAACTGAATGGTTATTATTTTTTTGGTCCACATCGTTATGCTCCTCATTTGGATCGAAGAGACTTATTAGCCCACAATCCATTGTCTGTAGAAAGCAAAATGTGCTTAAGAATCCAGAATTCACATATAAAATTTCCAAGTGTAAGATATTCTTAATTTAATGACAAACTGCTTCAGGTAAACAAAATATCAAATAGAGATAATATTTCTCCTCCTTGGCAAATATATAGGTATAACAAACCGGAATTAGGAATATATTGTGACCTTTAATATTAAATGTAAAATAGCTTATTTTATGGTGTTGGATTTACTTTGTTTTTGGTTTTTTCGAATTCTTGAAATGGAAGACTTTAATGAATGTTACATAGTGATAAACAGACTTATTGATGTGTGTATGCTCAACGTTTAAATGACGTGTAATATATAAGTACTGAAGAAAAATAAATTACCAAATTTACCAGAATCTCAAAGAGAAATTTAACGATATAGTAAATGTAGGTGATTTAAGTTTTTCCAAGTTTCTCAGACGACCTTGAAAATACCGAACTTTTTTTTGTTTACTGCAAAGTCCTCTCACTTGTTGGCATACAAATATTATTTATTTCTTATTAGAACAGTTGTCAACTTTTACTTAAGCTAAACGTGGCAATATTCCTACCTCAAAATTTTTTCGACTAAATTAAATGTTTTGTTTTGGCTTTCTGTTTACGTTTCCTTGCAAAATATTCAATATTGACACGAATTACCAAACACCTTCAGACATAAAAATCGATTTACTGCAGCAGAAGACATTAACCCAACAGCTAACAGCAGAAGCTTGTGAGTGAGTTAGACAACAACTTTTGCTTGTATATTTACATTCACTAATATTCACCTGTTAATAAACATTATTTTATATTTAAAATAAATATATTTAATTTTCTTTGCCGAAATGTAATAACATCCAAATATTACGAGAACTAAGTTCGAACCTAAATTATAGTAGGACTTCAACCAGGGCAGACAAAACATGTACGCATATTTTGCTACTGGGTAACATTTACTGTTTGGGTATATCTCAGTTGTTTTATATCTTTTTACGTTTCTTGATCAAAGCGTAACAAACAAACCGTTGCACAAAAGACCACTTTGATAAAAACAATAGATCTCTTTGTTGCAAAATATTTGGCAATTGATCCATACACTTTTATGAAAATATCTGCAGAATTATTTAACACATGCCCAAGTATTGGAAACTCATTTTCAATTTCAAATGTCATGCAATATGTTAATTACAATTTGCAAATATTTGATGTAATTTCAATAAAGATATATAGCACAAATATGAGCAATCCAATGTCTTTGGTTTATTTCTTTTCCTCTTTATTTTTTGCGCAACAAAATGATCAGAACCATAGCTTGAAGTATTTTTACAAAAATATCTGATGCAATTTCAAAGCTTTAGAGCACCTATTTCACAATTCCACAAATTTGACCAAGCAGTGAACAATCAGCAATTTTATTGTTTTCCAATTGCGCCTCTAAAGCTTTCTTCGGTTTGCTTCTTTTTTTCTTTAATTTTATTTCGTACGAAAAATGAACAAAACAATTGTTTAAATTAATTTTCACTAAAAATAACAATACATTGGCTCTGCTTGGTCTAGACCGCGTCTAAAAATAAGAGTTCCCGCATTTTATTTTGTTAACATATAACAGGATTTAGTTTGGAGATTTTATTTTATACCAGTGTTCGGACTTCGCTTGATTGCCGAAATTCTCGTTTCGATTATTTTCCCTACTAAATATTTCAATAAGTGCTGAAACATTTTAGCTTTTAACAAGTTGAAAGATAAATATTATAAATTTTAGACTTTGGTCAAAGTTAACTGGTTCTTCTTGCTTTCTTTGGCTTATCTTACTTCGAATATTTATAGTGGTTTGAATCACTAAATTTGGGTTTGGAATGATGCCTGAGCATTAGTCTATTATAAATTTTGCTGTACATGAACATTATTAAGTTAACCCACTTTTCATAGGTTTCACAGCAAAACAAGTAAAACCATCCCCCATTCGACCAGAACATTTACTTCTCATCCCTAAAGGTAATAGCTTCGCCCACTAACTGTCTTGCAATTTGAGAGCAAGTTTTTAAAAAAGAACCTTGATTTATAAACAAGTTCAAAAAACTTGCTAATTATCAAATTCCATTCATCTAATCACTTCGTCTGCCTCTAATCTTCAAATATCTGAGATAAGGTAAGACAAAACTTTTATGTGAACTAGCCTAAAGAATCAAGTGAAAAATAGAAAGGTGGCATCACAGCACTTAAGCAGATAACTTAACAAAATTACGTTCTCTGGTCTCGTTTAATTTACGTTATCTGCCTTATGCTGCAACTACCCAACGCGCGTACCAGCCGTCCATAGTTACCTATCTTTTGAGAGCGCCATGTAAACAAAAAGTTGTCACCGTTTGCCTATGCCGTTAGTGACGGTTGTTCCGCAGAAACCAACGAAGATTTGATTTTTTCCTTAAAACCGGCTCGGCTCATTTTTCGTTGCTATACAAGATTGCCAGTATAGGCATTTTCGAAGTAATATGAATTAATCGAAGACAATGAATTATGAAATTCGTTGACGAAAATTATGAATTTGTTCAAAAGTGTGCAAACACACTAGTAGCAGGCAACATTCCGCCGCTCTCAGCAGCGTCGATAACTCGTGGGTGTATCTCGCCTTGATGTCCCCAGTTATGGACGGCTGGTAAGTGAAATGGGTAGTTGCAGTATAAGGCTGCAACCAACGAAGATTTGATTTTTTCCGTAATTTTCTTAAATATTAAAAAAATTATATTTCGACTACAACTCTTAAATATATTAAATTGATTTAAAAAATCCAATTTTAATAAATAAATTGCAAAAGTATATATTTTATTCAGAAATTCTAGAGTTTAGATTTTGTCAATACCAAAGAACGTATGTTAATTAAAGTTATATAACTAATATACGTTTTTTGCTTCTGTTGTCGTCAATAACAGCTTTTCTCTATGCTAAACAACCAACTCTGTTAGTTTACAGCCAAAACTTAACAGAGTGGTGAATCCCTTTCCGAGACTTTCCAGCTCTGTATAAACTTGAATCGAGCTTAGAACCAAAAATCAATTGCACCTTCTCGTTTTTATAAGTTCTCTGGTTTACACGCTGGTCCACAAATGAATCTTCTCATTGTATTTACGTTCTCTGGTACGATCATGCCAGAAAGTTCTATAATTGAGTTCGGGCAATCGGTGAGGTACATAAAAGATCGGTCAACACGAAGTTAGTTGGATACAAAGTTAACTCGTTGGTGACAACATGAATGCAAAGTGAAAATAGTAGTGGAAAAGTTGTAATAAATACGAGTCGTTGTGTATAGTAAAGCAAATTGTGATGTATTAAGTAATAAATAGACGTTGATTGAATTCTTCACAACTAAGAATTTGTACAACAAATTTGGTGACTGTTATTTAACAATTCAGTGATCTAACTCGAAAGGATTTGGGAAATCGTTGAGGTTAATTTAGCGAAAATCGTTTTTGTATATGTAGTGTGTATTTCAAAAAAAATTTACTTAAACCAAAGTATGATAGACAAGCATTTTTCTTAATATGTGTGTAGTACATGAAAACTAAATACTTAATGGAATTATAATTTTTTAATTATCCTCGGGCAGAATAATATTACGCCTTTGTTGAATTCGCAAAGTACGTTGGAATTTTTGGACTTTTTTAAAATGTTCCAACAAAACATCAAAATCGATGTTGCTCTTATGCTGTAACGAGTTCTCTTCATTTCTGTTAAATAACATATAAAAATAATTTATAATTTTACAGCTAAGGGAATAATTAATAAAGACCTTACATTCGCGTTTGACCCCAATAGTTTGGCACGCATTGTAAGCGATTCTTTAACAAGTTGAATGCCTCCGTTTGCGGCAAAAGCATAAGGATACCAAAAAGCGCATGAGCTAAATGTTGAGCATCAGCAGAATTGTTTGCCTTGGAAACCAATGTTAGACGTAATGCTATTAAAAAAAAATGAACATAGTAAATCTACATATACATATAAACAAAAAACAAAAAAAAGTTTAATTGTATATTAACTTACATGCAAATATCGGTGATTCTATTAGCTGTACTAGTTTGTCTAGTTCATTTAATAGTTCCAAGGTAATCTCCACGTCGGCGCTGGAAATATTAAAAATTAATAAATGAGTCATGCTTGCAAAACACGAGACATGGTGGAAAACTTGTTATTAACGTCAGGCAACTTAGTCAAACAAATATTTACTTTTAAATATCATCATCGTGATCATTTTTACTGTATTGATATATGCATATTTTTCCTAACAGTATGAATTTACGGGCACAATTATTCCCATTTGTGATGTAGGTTTTGATGTTTCCTCTAGGAACTTACAGTTTATTCTAAGCCCCATTCGAATGGTCAACTCATTTTTATGAGGAGCTTTTAAATCATGTCAGAAATACACTTGCAGGGCGGGAAAATCTCTGGCAAGAAGCGACCACTATACGCGCCTTGTTAACCACATGGCTGTTGCAAATTATTTCATGTAAATGCATGTATTTTAAGTTTTTACTTACAATAATACTACAAGTTGGGAAACATGTTGATAACTTTGTGTTAATAAACATAGACACAGTGTGGAGACTGGACAATGAGCCCAACTTCTGTAAAGGCATTTGAATAAACTGGCAGAATGCTCATTTGTGATGTCCCGTAACGCATTCCGCAATTCAAACAATTCTGGTGATGTTAGTAATATCATATTAAGTAAGCGCACCATAGTCGACGCAAATTTAATAACTTCTTCATCAATGATTTCCGAAAATGTTCGATATATATATTCCGCATTCAGCAAAACACACAACTGCCTGCGAATCAGTAATCAATTTATTTAAACAAGAGCATTTTCCAGAGATACACTGAAAAGAACTTCTATTTGTTTTCTTGAAAAATATACCTAATTATAAGGCTGGCACGATTATCCAAAAACTTCTTTTCTTCGCCAAACAAATTGATTAAACTCAGTAGAAATTTCCGATAATGTACCTTGTTAAAGTCGTTAGAATCTGAATGGAAACAAAATTAATTGTACCAAAGCCAAAATTACATATATAAATATATGTATGTGTAAATAATATACCTTTATTATATGTTGAATTTAAGATTTCCGCCAAAACAGATAAGCACTGCAGCACAACTTCATCTGAATTATCCGACAATATGCCCAGCAAATTTGCACCTAAATTGCTGGCATGTGGTGACATCTAAATTAAAAGTTTCACCTTACTGTTGCAAAAGAAACAACATACAAACCTCGCTGGGAAAATGTGTAAAGAGATGATGAATCCATTTTAGAACTGCAATTTTCGTGTGCACTGAATTATGTGTTAAATACTGGGATAACACTTCCATAACGGAACGTAAATCAATTTTTTCTATATTTTGGGATTTATGTTCCGAGGATGATATTAATGACATGATGGAGTTGTTCACCGAAACCGCACATTCCTTTATGTCTGTTAAATTAAATAATGATGAGCAATATGAAAGTGTAATTAAATTTGTTTTTGTTGCTACTTTTTTTTGAATCTACATTGTATTCCAGACATGGTAAAATTGCAGTAAATATTCCGCTCGCGTGAGGTAATACATTTGGTCCAAAAATTTGTACAAATTCACGTATCCAAGTTATAGCAATAGACTATTAAGCAACAGAGATAATGCGTTTCATTAAAGGATAATATTGAAAAAAATAATAAAAAAAACTGTATACTTTTATTAGTTCGTTCGGAGATTGAGCATGAATTATAAGAATATTTATTGTGTCTTCCATTCGCACAGAAGATGAATCACTTTTAATGGTTTTCAAAAACTGGCTAAGTGTGGTTTCGCACCTAAAAAAATTGTATATATATATATATACACATATGAATATATGAAACATATAATAATATAATAAATACATTACCCCTCTTGATTGCTTAACTGAACATATACTCACATTCGCTGAATTTCTAATGTGTTATCTTCTAACATTGTAAAGAGTCCATCCAAAATATCAGTTAAATAAATCAGCATATTTATTTCTGGTACCGCATTTAAAATTGAAATCCATGATATAACGTATTGCCTAGCAAACGAATTTTTGGCGTAAATACGTTCTTTGAGAAGAGGTATAAATGCCTCTAAGTTAAAAGTTTGTGAAGACTCCGTTACAATATCCTTTATGAATAATTTATATTAATTTTTTATGTACGTATTTGTTACAAATAGTTGATTACCTTCAACAGCCGATCAAGCAATTCACTGCCATCCTTGACCATTTGATCAGAATCCGCTACCAATCGCGATAATGCAGAAAACAGTTCTGGGAAAAATGGTATGATAGCAGCCCTTGCTACTTTTACTACATTGTACAAAGATTCGCAGGCAAAATAGCGAACTCGAACATCAGGGTCACTAAGGCAGTTGACAATTGGTGTAACCAATTCACTTACATAACTTTCAGAATCCTATAAAATAAAAAACATCAAACATTTTCATCATTTATATTTTATGACTCACCTTCCCTAATCCAAGGCTAGTTGCGGCTAAGCCTATTAAGCCACCCTTACGTCGATTAGGATCTCGAGATGTCGCAAAATCGTTGGAAAGAACTTCTATAAGTTTTCTTATCTGTATTGTGTTTTTCTTCATATTGAAGTCCGTCACCATTCTGTAAGAAATGAAGTTTTGTGTTTATATTTTAAAGAATATAAATAATATTTACATACTTTTCTATTTCCTGTGATGCTACCTTACGTTTTTCATAAGCTTTATCAGCAAGAGCTTTTGCGCAGCTCTCGCTCAAAGGGGCATAAGGAGATTCCATTGCTTAGGATGTTACTTGTTCTTCCTTTTCTTTCCAGATAATAATCGAGTATTAAAGTAGTATTTTTAAGTTTTGCGAATGTTGAAAAATATTGGATACAAGCAGCTGGTAATTTACTTTTTATTCTTTGTTTTCTCAGCTGATCACTAATTTGAATTCGCCCTGTACAATTATGACTACAAATATTAGTTCTGTTCGGTGAAAAATATCAATAAAAATTAGTCAGTAACATATTGTCGAAATTACACTCTTTCTGTGCAAATTTTGCTGAGTTTTTGCCTCACTGAACTTTAATAATTGTTTCTGCTACTATAGGACTATTATAACCACAAGAAGGCTTTGCTTATTTTCCTTTTAAATGCCGACATGAATGCAATGCATTCGAGCATCTCAATTTCATTTGCAAATTTTGTTAACATTTACATTATTATTAATGAGTATTTATAAATTTCAGATGCCACCAATACAAAAGGGACCTAATGAGGAAGAGCAGCTATTGATAATGTGACGAACGTTTTCAATCATCATAAATTTCCACTGTTGCCGTTCATTATATCAGTAAGTGTAACAATCTTAACATGAACTCAGCTAGTCTATAAGTAAGGAAGGAATATCAATGAGTAAATAAAAATACTTCAAATGAAATACGATGAAGATTTAATAGTATTTTTGAACTAAATAATATAGGTTTGTTCTTAAAATTAGAGCTGTTCATGTTCGACAGGTCATTCGGAAGAGAGTAAATACATTAAGTGGAAGTGAGCATAAATGTATGCTGAAGTGCCTAATTCGATTCCATTTATTGCTGGGTGTTCACTGATAATATTTGGATTGCATCAAAAAACAAAAAATAAACACATTCTGTTAAACTCTTAACATAAGTAAATAAAATTGTACAACCAATAAACAAAATATATTTGTTAATAACCATCTATTTTCAATTTGTTACATACGCATACATCATTTTACATACTACAGACAATCTTCATAGTTTTGGCTGGTACCAAACCACTTTACCACTGCGACAACCTGTGACCAACAATGGTTCACGAGGACTGAATTTCGTACTTAAAACTACATCCGAATGAGCTGTTATTTTAAGAATCTCGGAGAGTGGTTGAGCATTTCTATCTGATTGACTGAGCGTGTGATTGCGGCGATATGGATAAACCGAGCATTCGTTGGAGAATCCAAGGAAACGTACTCCATTTCCATATGGAGAGCAAATAATACGACCATCAGATGAAAAACATGGTTCTTTTATAAATCCTTTTTCCTTGTTTAACTCTTTTGTGTAGTAAGTCAGTTTTTTTGGGTTATGATACATTTTACGATCGGGATACTTTTTGGAGAACTTTGATTTAAGCTCACTAATTTGTCTAGCTCGTTCTTCTGGAGTTGCGGCTAAATTGAAAATTGATTCATCGCTGGAGGAACTACTTTCATCATGACTACCGTTATTGTGGTTTAATGTAGGCAGTACTCCACTGCTAATCGCGTATACGAAATTATATGCATTTATCAATGACTGATCCGGTTCGTGGGGCAGTCGCAGATATCGGTCATGCACAGTTACCTCAGCGGCCCATACATCGGGAACAAACGTTGGCACCGTAGTATTTCTAGTACGTGCAGCAGATGAAGTACTGCTCGTAGGTTCATTTGAAACCAGATTTGCAGGTTGAGGTTGTCGCGAGTTCGCCGGTGTACTATTTGAATTACCTGGCCGATCTGTTTCCTCTTTGTCAGTATCAGCTTTACGTTTACGTTTCCGTCTACTAACGTCTTCACAGTGTTTCTTTCCACATTCAGTAATATCTTCTGCTTCCTCTTCCAGATCATGCACTGTCAACCATTCAGTTTTCCCATCATAACTTATATTTCGGCTTACGTAGCAATATCCCTTTGGATGTATCTGGAAGAGATAAAACAATATATAAGAAGTCACGGTATACTACATATTTTTTATAGGAATACCTCTAAGGCTAGTATAACTTCAGCATCATTATCAGTTGGAAAATCCGAAACAAATTCCACTCTGTTCTTTTTCTGGTTTTTCGAAAAGACATGCTCAAACTTAGCTGCTTGAGGTATGAACTGCTTGCCCATCTGCATTAATCTGTATACAACAGGCTGCGGAAAAGCCAAAAATTTACTTAAACATAATAAATTAATCTACATAAAATAAATTTTTTATAGCAGGATCAGATATGTATTAATTTAATTTTTTTAAACATATGTATTTATAAACTAAATTGGAAGTTATAAGCGACATACTTAGAGTTTAAGGTAAAATTAAAAAAAAATCAATGGAGTTATGTGGTGTATTGCCATTTATGGATATTTAATTACAATTACCAAACCGTCCTCAATGCATGATCTATTTTTATAAGAGCGGAAATTATATCTGTATGTGGCTTTTAAATGAATTTGACAATTATTAAAGTACCAGTCAGTATTAAATCAATCAGGTACTACTTTCGAATGAGCAGGGGAAAGACAATCCTCATTCGGCGAACATAAACTAAATGGTGAAATCCATCGGTAGGTTATGATGTTTACGTCACATCAGGAGGAATCAAGTTGCATGGTTTTTCGTGTTCAATATAAATGGAAAAAATTACTTTTATATGCTCTTCTGATTGAGTGGTTAATTCGATAGCCTTAAAAACTGGGTTAATCAATAATATTTAAAAATAAACACCAAATAATGCAACACTAACAAAAAATATTTATACATACCCGGAAGCCGCACAAATCTTTGTGTAATGTTGTTAAGTCCAAATCATGTATGACAATTAAATATCCACCCGACGTGGACATTATAAGCTTAGAACAATCAGGTGTTAATCGGGTACGCATTAATCCGTTTGCATGAAAAACCTTTTGGTATATCAGACCTTGTTCGGTATATGAATTAATGTCCCATGTAAATATACAACCATCAAATGACGAAGTTACCAGTAAATTATCTTTCTTTGAGTACTCTATGCTTTTCACCCAGTTCGAGTGCCCCTGAAGGCTTCTCATTTTAGCTTTTAAGTACCTTAAATCCCATAGGGCGACAGTATTATCATCGGAACAGGTTGCAAAATGCTTGTCATTAAGAAATCTGTAATTCAGATGAAATTAGTTAATGCACAGTAGTTTTACTAAATGATGAATTATGCATGTATGAATAATCTCACTTAATGCAATTCACACTTGAAGTATGCGCGTTCATAACTCTCTTAACTATTTGCCTTCTGATTACATCAAATATTGCGATCGCTTTCTTCTCACAGGCACCAAGTAACACATTTCTAGAAAAAAAAAATTAATATTTACTAATCTAGTACCAGTGTGAATAAACATACCCTTCCGGAGAAAACTCCAAATTGAATACACCACCAACATTGGTACGACCTGACGTTCTAGCGCCCCCGGTTCCTTTATCGTTCCAAATGTATAAAGGTCGCATAGACTTGTACAATCGAGGCAGAATAAAATCTTGATCTCCAAGACTTCTTAAAAGACCATTTTCACGCTGTATTAACCAGCTTTGAAAACTCATGCTTTATATTGACTATTATTATTTGATTTTATTTATTATACACCAGTTGAATGTGACTTGTATAAGTGTAACAAATCCGTAAATTATATTTATAAATATTTTACCATTTTTATCAAAAAAAAAAAACAATTTTAAAATTACATTTCTTCTTCTTTTATATTGTCAAGATGAATGGCTTCAACCGTATGTAGTATACCCTATACATTGAAATCTAATATCCAGAAGAAGAACGTTTTCAGCTGTCAAACGAAAATACATCGAAAACCAGTTTTCAATAAAATCCACTTAAAAACTCACTCTCACTCATTCCGATATTTTTGTTTTATCATTACAAGGATGTGATTTTAAAAAAAATTTGGAAGCGCAAGTCAATTGAATAATCTTCTTAGATATTTATATATGAATATACGTTCTTTGATACGTTCTTTGCATACACTCATAGAAATCTGGTGTATGTTAAACATGTTCGCCACAATTTAACAGAGAACTAGCAGAATTGCGCTCAAAATAAAAGAATGAGTAGAATAATGAGAATTTCCAATGTAAAATCAATGTAAAATTGTTTTTGTCAAATTTTATAAAATAGCAAACTAGGAACCTATTTATTTCAATAGAATAAAACGTATTAAATAGAAATTCTCAATTTAAAGGAGCTTTATATTATTTACTTCTTATATTCCAAAAAAATATGACATTAAACGGATTTAGAGTGAAAAATATATCATTTGAAAATACTCTACTAAAAATTCTACGTATATTCGTACTAATGCAAAGCAGCTGTTCGAAAAATTTTATTTCACCACATTCTGCGACTGCAGCGACATCTACTCTTAGCGCACACCTGGGGTTGAAAAATTTGAGTGTTTTTATACTACTCTATATTCTGGCCCATACTCCGGAGAACGTAAATACTTGTATTTACTTGTATTTACATTCTCTGAATCATAAGCATTACAATATTTTGCAAAAAAATTATTATTATTTTTTTTTAAAATGGTGGTTCCTGTGCCCAATCCCACAAAAGATTTGATTTTTAAACTTATGGACGAAAAGGAGAAGGTTGAAGGAAAAATATCTGAGTATGGCCGAATCTTAGAAAATGTAAAAGGAGTTTAAATTTTTAGTAGAAGCTTGCAATTGTATTTTAAACACTTCTTATATGAATGTACATATATACAGAATGCTAATGTTGGTATGGATGGACCCTTGATTGATGCTGAAGGATTTCCCAGGAATGACATCGACGTCTACCAAGTACGACAGGCGCGTCAACAAATTATTTGTCTCCAAAATGACTATAAAACACTTTTGAAGGAGATAGAAAGGCAAATGCACAAATTACACTCGGAGACCGCGCCAGAACAATCCGAAGAAATATCACAACAAGCAGCGAACATGCAATTAGAAGAAGAAAGTCAAATGCCTCACACTAGTAATATGTTCACAAACTCATCGCCAGCGGTATCGGGATTAGCGGAGGCTTTAGTGAAAGTCGATATGATAAGTCCTGGCTCTCCTGCTGAGGAATCTGTAAGGCTTACAATGAAAATTTCTTTACTATTTAAGATAAATAATAAATTTTAATAACAGGGATTGCGTGTGGGTGACGAGATATTGGAGTTCGGCACAGTTAACTCCTCCAATTTTCGAAATGATATAAGTCAAATTGGGGATCTTGTGCGTCATATGCAAAATAAGAGAGTTCCATTGAGAGTTCAACGTTTCGGCCAAAGATTAGATTTAATACTAATTCCCAAATTATGGAGTGGTCGTGGTTTATTGGGTTGTAACATTGTTTTACCCAAATAGGTTAATAACTTTCCAAATTTATTGTACATATGTATGCACACCGTTTATATCTTGTGTTGAGATGTTGATATGCATAAGTATATATCCACTTACATACTGTCGATGCATAGGAATTCGGACGCGTAAAATAAACCATTTAACCAATGAACTAGACACCTACGCGAGGATGAGTTATTTCATATGCATCGGCGGTATATGGAACGGATAACGATTGTAAGAGATATTACGGTTTTATAAAATATGTACGTATAAAATATTTTCAGACAATAGATTGAAAAAGGAACAAAACTAAGTTAGCCATTTTAACCAACGCACCAGGAAAAAGTTGTGTGCTCATTATCTATAACAAAAACTTTTTGACAAAAAATTAAAGTTTTGAAAGAAGTGATGAGCACAGCATGAAAAATCTTTTTTATTTAACATTAATAATAAAGTTATTCAACAAATAAAAAAACATTCAAATATGTAAGTATCTAAGTGATTTCGAGTCAAAAAACATTGAGAAACCGATGTGCTCACGTACATACAAATGTATCAGTTATCGCTGACATTACTAGGCGAAGGGCCGCCCTATCCCAAAAAAGGTATGCACGCTCTCATACAAGTAATAGTGAACTAGCTTCTTTTCCTGTCCTTACGGTATGAACTATTATACAACTTTCTATGAGGCTAACATCAGGTTACACCCTTTCCAACCAATCAATTGTTATCGAGATCAGACTGTTAAAAAAAAAAAAGAGAAAAAATAAGCGAGGTCAAAGCAAAAAATATACATACATATGTATTTACAATGCACAAATGATATGTGTATATACATACATATATACGCGACGAAGTAAGATCGTTAAATTTGGGCCAGTTTTTGGCATGTAAAATCTTCCTATGGACGAGGGAAGCCAGAAGATTTTTTTCAAAAAGTGTTATTAACGTGAATATAGTTAATGATCCGATAATGGGAAATTGACTTAAGAATTTAGAAATGGATGAACCATTGGGGAAGGCGACGTAATGCAATCACGCTGTAGATAACAGTGAATTCCATGTCGAGACCAAGCCAGCGGATTGTGATGATTGAGTGCAATTTTTATTGCGTTAATTGAACGGGAATGTGAAAGTGAAATCAATTTGTAAGTAAATTTTCTAAGCACCTGTCGATAGAACCAGTCGATTCGTAGTCACCGTATATTTATAGTTAGGCACATTAAGGTTTATACATATCAAACATGATTTTTTTTTTTTAATTTTTACTTCTTTATCAAATTGCACGCATCAGTACAACAAACAATAAACTTTGTGACCCAATGAAGTTTTGTATATGTTGCTTTCCTCAAAAGAAACTGAAGGTAAATAACAACACCTCTACTACGCAAATTACTGATCCGAGTTTTATTTGAACCCACAACCCAATATTATGATTTAAGTTAAGCTATTATGCTGTCAAAACTAAATATTGATAAAATTGTTTTCAATTTAATCCAGGTATAATTTATTAACTCATACTTCTTTAATTTCCTGCAATTGGTGGATAGACGTACGAAAAGCGCCCGGTATGTCCAGGCAAATATCTAATAATATTTATAACAGACCATAAAAGCTCTCTCTCATTTAAAGCGTTGTTCGTTAAGTTTCCCGCCTAACAGCAGAGGCTGGTTCACATAACCAGCATATATGTATACGTACATATGAAAAAAGGTATTTAAATAAAATAAAATTTGCAAAAATGCATTGTCTAGCTGAGGATCTTTGATGCTAAATCCGTACAGTTAAAAATTTTTTTAATTGAATTGATGAAATTGTCTCTGTCAGATTGTGCTTAAATGAGATTTAGCCAAAGTTTGAGAGCGCATATTTCTCTCCGAAGAAAAGTACATATCGACTCTGTATGTATGCTGGTATAAGTATACAAGCGTCCTAACAGCATCACCAACAACAATTTGTGCCGTGGTGTGAGGAGAAATGGCGTATTCTATGCTCACAGGATATAAGCTATGCACATACATTTGGACATACATATGTATATATATTAATTTTAGTCAATTTGAGTGGTCTGAACGCGTGCCTTCGCTTACATAGGCAAAAGCGATGGTTGACGCGATGTGACACGACGTCAGAAAGGAAAAATAATTTAAAAGAATAATATACTACACTAAATTAAAATGATTTTTCAGAATGAATCAAATTCAAAAAACATACTTACATCTAAGTACAATAATTTAAATGAAGGAAAAAGTTTTGTGGGAATATTTGGTTTAAAATGCCAAAATCGCCTTGCAAATGAATAAGTACATACTTCATACGTTTATACATATGTACATAAGTATGTGTGCACGTACATACATATGTGAAAACCCAATTTTCGTGCGATGTGATGTGAAATTGGAAACCAAAGTGGAAATATTAAAATAAAGTTCACAAAGGACCGACTAAGAAAAAGTTGCATTTGAATTTGTGGTCACTTAGACGCATGAAATCTTTTTTCATAAAATGTCGAAACTGATTTGAATAATCAGATTTACGAAAGTTATACATACATATATATATAAATATAAGTAAATACATACGTCTGGGTTTACATTCATATGTGCATGTGTATGTACATACTAAATGCTTTCGTGAGCGCCGTACCGAAAAATATATACTAATGTATGTATATCTCTAAACTTAAAAAAAAACTTCATTTAATTTTACAGTTAAAAATAAATTACCCTGAGGGTTTAAATGTAATAACAGCGTTATACAAACACTCGGCATCTCTGCAAGTCTTATAAAATCAAATACATATACACTTTTTAAGCGCAGCTCTTTACCTTGAATCAATTCATTTTTTTATTTCGAAAATATATCAGAATCATATTTTTCAACAATCAGCTTTAAGATACTCTAATGTTCAATATTTTTAACTTGATTCGCGTTGAAATTAGAACTCGAATTCACACATATGTATGTATGTTAATCTCCTGATAATGGTATCGGGTTTCCGCAAATTAGCTTGATAATGAAAAACTTTTAAACTCCATATCCGTTGTAAGAAAGTTAAAAGTGAAAAATATATTGAAAAATAGATACATTTTTAGATTTTCTTTTAATTTGATAAGAAAAATCTGTTAAATATGAGCAACAAATAAAAATTTTGATTAATGCACCTGTCCTCATTGCAGTATAATCAATTTGCAGTTGCTGTATGTGTGTTCGTAGTATTAAATTTCACTAAGAGGATGCTATTGAGAATATCCTATTTTCTCTCACATGCGGAAATAAGAGAGCCAGCTACTTTTCATCATTTGTTCAGCCATTCAGATTTCAGCGTTTAATAAGAAACACAACATTGCAACTGACGGCGGCGGCGATTTTCTCCCTTCGTGAGTCCTTTCTACAAAAGTGCGTTAGTAAAACCTTACTCGCATCTGTTGTTCGAAAGTAGGTCTGTGTTTATGCGGCTGTAGGTAGATAGTTGAACTCAGACAGGGAGGCCAATCGTAGACAGATATTCTTTGGATCAACTCATGCAATTAAGCTGATTGAATACATATGTAGGTACTTGTGTGTATAAGGGTACGCTGTTAAAAGGGATTTCCACGGCTGATATGTTTTTAAATATTGAGTAACAACACTTACTATCAATTGGATTTTTCTTATAAAGATGTGATTACACTAAATAAAAATTACTGAAATATCTTATGTACATACATATGAGCTAATGGAATGGTGCTAAATAACAATGAAATTGTAAAAACGCACTGCAAAATGTGCGGGATGCTTATGATAGAAGTGTAAACAGTGCACTTTTTGACATTGTATGAGCTTGAACGTATGTATATATGTATTTTAAATGAAAGTTGTCGTGTGGTTTGTAAGGTGCTATGTTCGTCAACCTCGTGGTCGTTTAAAAATAACTCGAGGTCATCACAGAGTATATCGCAAATAGTTTCAATATCCTTCAGTGGAACAGATGCATGTGAATGCATGCGCTATGCATATTAGGGTGACGCACACATGTTTTCTGTATTTAATTTGATTATTCACAAATTGTGAAAATCCGATAAAAAGTCGAATACGTCTGTGTTTTCGTTAAAGGAAATAAATGGCACACAAAACCTACGAGTAATTTTAAAAGTTGGGGCATATTTAGAACACCATTAGATTAGAACTTTTGACGAAATCTGCTTAGGATGTAGTAGTCGAGTGCGAGCTACCATGCAAATGGTTATGGTTTCGATGCTTGGTAGCCCCTCGGCAAGGATTGTCAAGGCCTCCGAGTATATTTCTAACACAAAATAAGAGCTCTTATTAAAACTCCATCCATCGTTCAGAATAAACTGTTCATCACTTCATTTGTTGAAAAAACAATAAGCACGTATTCAACAAGTGGGAGGAGCAACCGGCCGGAAGCGGAACATTTAGTGCTAAATTAGTTGGTTATATTGGCATCGGCTAAGTGCAGACAGAATATATGTATGATTTTATTCCAATTTCGCAGAGCACTCTGTTGTAGAGTCGCAAAGACTATGTGCTGATTGAGTTTTCGACGAAACATGTGACAGTGCTAGAGAGTGCAAGTGATAAAGACAAGTTTAAACAACGAAATTCCGGAAGCTATCGTGCTTTTTTATGGATAAAAAGTGAATTTGCATAAATGTATTTTGAGCTACACTAATGATGCTAATTTCAAAAATAATAAAAATATATTGCAATAGTTAGATTTAGAAGTAAAGCCTAAATACGAGACGTGGAAGCGATGTTCGAAATATTAACTATGTGTACACCTATGTATAGTCAGCGCGTATATACTACTAACGAAGATTCCTAATGTATTTTCTACAACAAAATAGAAAATATAGAAACTAATTGTAATCGCAATGATAAAGAGAAGAGAAATAAAACTTCGCCTAAATGAAGAATGAAGAAACAAAATGTTCGCACGATATCTTTGATCGTGTGCACATTTACATATTTACTAGTTGGTGCTGCAGTATTTGACTCACTCGAATCGGAAACGGAAAAGCGGCGCTGGGAAGCTCTGCAAGGTGAGTGTAAGGATTTAATATTACATATCAGTAAGTAATATGTGAAGCAGCGTCCCGAGTCCGATTTTCTAGAACCAAATTTATTTAATTTATTTACATATGTAGATAAATATTTATGCCTATATTTTCTCAGTAAACATATGTATGCCTATATATTCTCGGTAAACAATTTTCTTCCAACGTCAGACTTTTGTCGATTTTTGGCTACATTTTACAGTTTTAACAACGGTTCTGTGCCGTTTAAATGAGACTGGGGAAAACCTTAAAATAAAACTTAAACAAACAACTTAAAAGGGGTTGGTTTTTTATGTTCCAACAAGACCAAATTTCTTTAGATTGTGACGTGGCATATATATGTGTGGTTTAAGTAGTAGTTCCAGGCCGTGAGTACATGAAAAGGCGTAACGTCAAATAGAATGAAATATGTTTTCGTATGGAAAATGTGTTGGGTGAGTGCGCCTTGTTCCATACGAAAAGTCGTACTCAATATTGCAATCGCCTCAGTAAAGAGTAAAAATAACAAATGTTCTACTTATGTAAGTATAACTACTTAAATAGTTGTTGTTGTTTAGATACTGTCAGACCCTCGTACATTTATATGGAGGCATTTTTTTGTTTATATTAAATACCTTTTTATAAACAAAGAAAAGTTGTAGAAGTGATAGCTGCTTCGACGATCTCTGCATCTCTCCATTAAACTTCTTATTGCAGGTGTCGAGCCGACGTATGTTGATTTAGAGGCGAGCGCTCAACAACAGAGCCAGTATACTTACCATGTAATCCGTTGTTCTAATATTCAATTCATTATTAATCAAAAACTACTAAGCGCGATAATTTTTAACAAGCCTTGTAATTAAAAGATGCTCGCTATCGGCGCTTTATTGGCTCAGATCTCTCTAGGATTCGCTTTTAAACAGCTTGGTTTCTCCAATACTTCGTTACGTTGCGTCAAAAGAGAAAATCGCTTAAGCGATTCTAAAGCGAGAATTTTATGTATATAACATATGTATACATACACATATGGCGGCCGCGGTAGCGTGCATTACGTAGTAGCATTTGGAAGGTCTGGGCCCAAATCCGGGTACGGCTAACATCCAAATGTCGGCAGGGAATGTCAGTCCCTCCGAGTGTACTTCACCTCAACCTCTTAAAATACTTTTAGCCGTTCGGAACTGGCTCTGTATAAACTGTAGGTCACTCTATTCGTTGGAAAAACATCATGACGCAAAACCACAACTTGGAGTAGGAGCTCGGGCGAAAATCGCTTCAGTGGTTACAAAGCGCTATAATATAGTCGACCGATTGCGTTAATTTTCAATATGAGTATTTACTTCAGTATATGTACATATGTATGTGTGTAGAATACCTACTTTCACTCTTAAATATTTTATTGATGTATGTACAACCCAAAATCCTATACTTGAATAAATCGGTTATATAGCAGCTTTATGATATAGTCTGTATCGTAGTATTCAGCACGTTACAATATCTTCCCATTCTCTACCTGAAAACATACCGCCGAACTTACATACATCGGCCACAGGCGACAAGATGTGCGATTTTTATTCTAATTACTTTAAATTTTGTCTACCACACCTGCTAAGTAGTTGTCTCCGCCTCGATTCGGCAAAGCATTTCCACTTGGTGTTTGGGCTGATAAAAAATATAATATAAATATAAAAATAAATAAAATTTAAGGAGGGTTTTGAATATATGCACAGAATACGCTTTGTGTGACTATTGCAAATGAGACATTCACATTTCCCCTATAATTTGCCATTACACTTAAGCGTAATACTTTTGATCGTCAAAAGCGTAAACTTAACTATGACTTGACATGAATTCATTTTTTTTTTTTTTTCAATAAACTCATAATTATTATGTAATCTAAGTTCCATGCCAATGCCTTTATCTTTTGCAGCTATCGAAGACATGATAATACGAAAATACAATATTTCACAAGAGGACTTCAAAGTAATGGAGACAGTTGTGCTCAAATCGGAACCGCATAAAGCGGGTCAACAATGGAAATTTACTGGTGCATTTTATTATGCAACAACAGTGTTGACCACTATCGGTTATGGCCATTCTACGCCAAGCACAATTGGTGGCAAACTCTTCACAATGTGCTACGCTATTGTGGGGATACCCTTGGGCCTTGTGATGTTTCAAAGTATTGGAGAAAGAGTGAATAGACTGAGCAGGTTAGTTCTTGTTTCCAAGCATACTATACTCTTATGTATATGTACGAGTATATGTACACGTATGTATATGTATGAGCTTGTGATTTTATTTTTAAATTAATATATACATTATGGAATTATTCTATGTATTCGTATGTCCTACATATAGCTATGTTATACAAGCAGTGAGGAAATCGCTACGTTGTAAACGAACTGCAGCTTCTGAAGTAGATTTAATATGCGTTGTGACAACGCTCAGCTCTTTGACGATAGCTGGTGGTGCGGCGGCTTTTTCACGCTATGAAGGTTGGAGCTATTTCGACTCAGTATATTACTGTTTTATTACTTTAACTACGATAGGTGAGTGGTGTGTGCAATTCTTTATTCTAAGGTATATGGCCGATTTTAAAAAATATAAACTTATTTTCCAAGTCAGTAAATATATCATATAGTGTGGGCTAATCATAATATAATATATACGTATGTACGTAATAAAATCAGGTGTTCTGCAGCGTTCTGATTTGCTTCGAAACTTTAAGTATCTCCAGGAATTAAAAGCTCATGCGAACCGAACCATAAAAATGATTTTTCCTAACAAATCGGTGTCGATGTTGCTTCGTTACAAATTGAACTTACCATTCCAATAAATCGAATCATAAATAAAATTTTCTTATATAAATCGGTCTCTCGTCACTTTCTAAATCAAGTCAAGTCAAGCAAATCGTCTTGTCTCAAGTTTCAGCAAGACAAACCATCAGCAATTGATATTTATTGATTTAATTTTTATTTTGGCCAAATAAAAAATATTATATGTATTTGTTCGAATATTTATACGTAATCTCGTATTTTACTCCCTTAGGTTTTGGAGATATGGTAGCTTTACAAAAAGACAATGCACTCAATAACAAACCGCAATATGTAATGTTCGCATTGATCTTCATATTGTTCGGTTTGGCAATTGTTGCTGCCTCGTTGAATCTGCTTGTGCTGCGGTTTGTTACTATGAATACGGAGGATGAGCGGAGGGACGAAGCTCAAGCCATGCAGGTGGGCAATAATTTAAGTATATTGTTTTTGTTTCGTTATTTGTTATTCAAAAATAATAATTACTCTTTGAATATGAATGCTGATATTTTTTTAATTATTTTTAGACAAATTTTTAGATTCTTCATTAATTTCAAATTATATGTACTCGTATATGTTGTTATTGTAAAAAGGAGCTCATTATTCTAAATTGAAAGCTATATTGACCATAGTTAGAATTATCCGATTTATTTCAAATATGCAACGTTTTGCTCAATAACTTTTCGTCATTTTGAAGGTAATGCCTTGATGCCTCTTTTATAGACACCCCTATTCCTATTGGCATAAAATTGAGACGATCAATTTTCGTAGTCAAATCATTCCCCCCCGGAGCTTCTGGGGAGTCAATGTGGACGTATAGTCAAGCTTTGTCCTGATGAAACAAAATTCCTTTCCTGTCGGGCTGGGCGTTTTTGGTCGATTACTTTCTTTAGATGGTCCCGTTGCTGACATCACAGGTCCGTGCAAAACCCTCCTGGCCCTCAATCCATCCATGTGGCATACATCGTGCTTCTGGGGTATCCATCCTTTTTCAAGTGGTTCTAATCGTATTTATAGAACACACGAAACATATCACAAAATCCATTTATTGCAAAAATATTGGATTTGTTATTACTAGACCTAATAATTAGCGACTTGCAGTGGCTGAAATGATTTTGTCCAAGTTCCACCTCCAATTTGTAATGTGTGGCTTGATGCTTACCCAACAAATGGAAAATTCTATACCTTATTCCCAGCCGCCTCCGAATGGCTGATAGACTTTTATCAGGAACTTTTGTTTCTGTATGTATATATGCACATATATACCCTGCCGAGGGGCGGCCCAAATTAGAAAAATTAATTTAATTTAATATTTAAATTATTTTGTTCAAATCAGATGTTTGCTGGGCCAGGACTCGAACCTAGTACTTTCCGCATGAACTGCTAATCCTTCGGCTATTGTGGCTGACCTAACAATGTACATTAATAAAACTTAAATACACCCATCAAATGGCGGGAATACGTTTTAATGAAATTTTGTAGCATAATCCCTTCTTTAAATCTTTTTATTGTTATAAACATTAATTTTTTTTTCACATCACAAATTAACTTTTTCTTTCTAAAAGCTCGTTAAAGATAATTAAAAGTGTAATCTAATTAAATAAAAAAAATTGTAAAGATTTTAATTTTTAATTTCAATTATAACTATTTCATAATAGAATTGATTCAATTTTCAGTTCAACACTATTATTGCTTTTGCACAATATTTCTGAAATTCTTGGCATCAAGATTTTGCACTTTTCTTGCATGTTCATGAACGCTTACAATGGTCGGTACATGCATATTTTTTTTTGTTTTATGTAATGTATGCTCTAAGTTAAACTTGAGCTCTTAATTTCAAATCAAAGTGTTAATAAATGTAAAAAATATATTTTCTTTTGACTTTCTTCACAAAAATATTAAACATCGAACAATATAAAGTTTTTGACCAAGTCCAATATTTGGACCAAAGAGGTGATTGCGGTATTAGAATTAAAAATTTTGGTTTGAAAAAAAAAAATGAAAACAAACTATAACTGTATTTGCTACTCAATACTTTAAACCCGAGACTCTATAACCCTTACCTAAACTCTAGTGAAAAAAGCGAAGAAGATGAATTACAATTACAGACATATATATTACAGTCCCTTTCAAACATTTAACTTTCTTCTCAAAACACCAATAAGTATTATTTAAAGGACTCTAACTTAACTTATAAATATATCCAAGAAGAGGGAACACAAAGGTATTTGATGTGAAATTTTAAAATACCAATTTTTTCAAATTTTAATTTGAAGCTAATGTTAAGGCGCTCAATAATTGGAAATTTTCGTAATTGTTGAAATATCTACTATATGTGTATATAAACAAGAGATTGAATTATAAGAGTTTTACAGTGATACATGACACTTTGTGTTCCTTGATGAAAAACACTTTACATATTCAAATAAACATTTATTTGTTTTATTTTTATTTCTTCAAATATTTTGTAAAATTATTCTGTTCTTTTATATTGATTACAATAATATAATTATATAAATTTTCAGGCTCTGCAAGTAGCCGTTAAATTAGAAGGTGATGTTATTACTGCAAATGGTTCCATTTTAAGTGGATATGAGGGCCATGAAGTACAGTCAAATAGTAGTGGATCAACTACATCCATGTGTTCATGTAGCTGTGCACGTTTTAGTGCAAATCGTCATAAAAAGTGAGTAATGCGGAGATATTTCGTAGTCAAGTATCTTATGTACTTTGTAATTCGTTAAAGTAAGTGATTTGCAGGAAAATTTCACTGGATTTGTTACTTAACAAAAATGGCTACTCGTAATTTGTAATAACTTATTTTGAATGTGTCGGTAGCAGGGTTGCCAGGATTAATTGCAAATTAATTCGGTCCGCTCCCAAAAGATAGCTCCATCTGCAAGTTGAAGCCGATCTTGGAAGTCAGCTCCTATTTCATTGCAAAGGTTTCATAACTGTCAACGTTAAATAGGTGCAGTAGCGCCTGTTTCTGACCACTACAATATATTGTTTTTTTACCTTTCCGAAAATATCCGGATTGGGTGTTAAATAAACAGCATTTGAGCGCATTTTCGATTTTCTATTTCAATTGGAAGAAAAGTGCAGCTGGAGCTCATCGAATCCTTGTAGATTTCATGCTGAAGCTGCTAAATCCAGACGAGACCATTGATGCGAAAAGCTATCGACTACAACTACGGTTTTTTGTATGATGTTATTTCAACATCTACCAGTTTAACTACAGACGCCCTTTGCAAATTTCAAATTGTTTTTCGGTATTCGAAATAAATAAAAATATTTAATACGACCTTTTAATTACTATTTCAAGGGAAATCACCTCAGCAGCTTCAAATAAAATGAGAGACTAATTTTCAAAAATTAAATTACATTTCACAACACTAAAATCGATAAAAATTTTGTATGAACATGACAAATGTGGCAACTCTGAAGACCGAAGATGAGTTTAAATATGCGGAATTGGATTTAAAAAGCAATTAGTTGCATAATTGAGTTATCTATCTTTGTGAATACACTTATTTCTAGTCTCTTGGCGACATTCAGAAGTTTTCGGATTTCTTAGACATGCTAATAATTTGAAGATACTAGTTAGTACTAATAAATTTTCTATTCTCATTTGTTTAAGGCATCAATATAAAGCACGCCGTTCACCCTCGCATATACGTCATTTATTGCCGGAAGTAGTACCAATGCAGGATTTAAGTTACGATACACACAGCCTCAATGCGGACGGGCTCGATATTGTGGACACATCATCCGTCTCGCCTTCGAAACCTCACAGACAATTACTCAAACGGAATGTGTCGTTACTCTCTTTTCGTATTTAAAATACAATTACTATTAAATAAAATAATTTAAGTAGAATTATACTAAATACTTAGGTACACAATCGTACGTTGGTAGGTATGCTTATATTCAATAATAATTTATATTTCGCAGGTACTTACAGCTTTTCATTGTGCACCAAGAAATTCGAAGAAGAAAAAGAATAAGATGAGTGCGTTTATTTGGTGTATTTGCTTAAATAATTATGAATTTTTAGTTGGATCCCTCACGTGGAACACGACCTAATGTAGAAATTAATAAACAATTTTCTGCGCTTCATTTGCGAATATGTATGTATGTATGGTAATTGCGAATGCTTTTAAACAATAATTTAGAATGAGGTAGATAGGATGTATCTCAACATAGCGGAAAAAATCGCATTTTAGCTACACATAAGGGAAAAGCATAAAAAAATTTCCGATTTAAATTCGAGGCATTCAGAAGCTTTTATAGAATTTTTCCGAACATTTTTAGCATTTAAAGCTTTGTATATAATCTTGCATTTCACAAAAATTATTGATATTTTATTAACAAAAAGCTTGTTTGTATCGATCTGCTATCATGTTAACAATGGGATTCAATATTCACTTGACTCTCGTTAAAAACTTTGCTTATTAGAAATATTTGGTTATTTAAATGCTTTCTTGTGCACCTAAAACTTTTGACGTTTAAGTAACAAATATCACCTTAATACTGAGCTGATCTTCTAAACAAATTTTCCTAATTCTTTGAGAATTGAACCATCAGCTTCAGTGCTTTGATTTCAGTGGACAATATATAAATTAACTTCTAGTTTAGTTTAGTGAGTTCCCAAAAATAGCAGAACGAAACTAAAATCCAAACTTATGTGTAATATAAATGAAATAAAAATAAAATTTTTTTTAATTAAAATTAAAGTATAAAATGGATATTTGCGGAAAACAGTGAGTAGCCGAGTTGGGGCCTTTCAAAAAGGGAAAATCAAATATATATATTGTATTTTCATTAAGGTTAATTAGTTTTGTGCAGAAGAGCATAGCCGTTTTTCAATTTACAATCAACGTGTTAAATATGATAAACAAATATGCGAACTTATTATAATTTCTTTTCTTTAAAATATGTATTGAATTACCATCCACAATATAATTATTAATATTTCTATATATATGTATGCACGAGTATGTATGTATATATACATGCGTGTAGTATATAAAATGAAATTATAGAAATACCAACACTGCCAAATTCATATCCTGATAATTTAACCCTGGCTCCCCTTTCTCATACACACATACATAGAAATTTTAACATGTATAATGAGAACTCAAAAGCGTTTAAGCGTGCTTTGGAATTGGCAATAGGAATGTTAAAATATTAAAAATAAATAAACTAAGTCGTTTCAGGAAAGAAAAGTTCAAGTTCCGATTTGGTCGGTGTCAGGTCCGCTATTCGAAAAGAAAAAAGGAAACAATTTCAAGAGAATTGAATCATAAATAAGATTGTCAAGAAAAATTTTCTGCATGTTAAATGAAAAAATTTTCTTTCTTAAAAACATTCTCGTTAATTCATTGAAATTACAATTGCCCAATGCACAAAAGCGGAAAATATGGGAGTTGCTCGGTTTTTACGCACGAAAATGTAGGTAAACGCATCCAGTTTACGCACGCACACGCCTTTCTTTAAAGTTCCAGCTTACGTCAACGTGTTATGCTATCTATCGGGTTATAGAAAGAATCAAGAAAATCTGGTCTGTGGTTTTTGGAACTGCCGGAAAAATTTTCGAAAATAGCCAAAAGGCTACCTACACAAGAATTTCATGTATCGGATTAAATTTGTTTATTCAATTTTTAATTTGGGTTTCATGTGAATGTATACATATACATTTTTTTTAAATAATTCGTACAATCCACTTAAGCATTATGGACAAAAAGGGATTAAGAGTCTTATAATCTACAGAAAATTTACATTACATTCACAAGAGTCCATACCAAATTGAGAAATCGTACAATAACTAAATATCTTTTGATTAATTTAGGCACACATACATAAGCATATGTTTACGTATATGTATGTATATTAAAAAGAAATAACTTTCTATTTATTAGATAACTAAACATTACCTATGTACCTACCTATTTAACAGCATTTTATAAACAAGTGAGGAGTTATACATATTTATATAGAGTATTTTTACTTCCTGTCTCATATCATTTATAAATGTTACCTGTGACTTACAATACTCTACATACACACAATGCATAAAACTCAAAATTTTAATATGAAATGTTATCGAATTTATGGTATGTTATTATTACAATAATTAAACATACATACATACATTTTTATTGCGCAAAATGTCAAATTATGTAAAGGTATATAGGATATGCATTGCAAATTTCCTGTACATGCCAAAAACTCTATAAGCAGATAATGAAGTCAAAACGAAATGCAAATACAACTTTAATAGTAAGCAAATTTATTTTATTTACAAAATGTTTTTCATCGTAAATTCAAAGTTAATTAATTATAGATTTTCAATTAAAGTATATGAAGTAAGTCCTAATCGAAGTAAGATATGCATAAGGATGCTCCAAAACTGTTCTTAAATTAATAGCCTTCGAATATAGTTGGTAAATGTAAAAAAAAAATTATAAACTTCTCAAAATTCCAAGCCACTTCCAAAATCCAGAAGTTAAATTTGCAAATGGAGAGGTATGTAAGATAGAGTTAAGCTGCTATTTTTTTAACCCAGCATTGTCTTGCATAACAGACAGTTAAGGCAGAGGGTAATAAACTCAAGATACGTGAGGATTTTTTACTTTTATTTATTTATTTTACTATTTTTTCTACATACGAAGAAGGTCTTTGATATTCGAAAAACCTTTAAACTCCAAACTCAATTTTTATTTTGAGGAAACATTTTCTTACCTGTTTATTCTGTTGCCGTGTAAAACGAATGGCATGACATCACTTCGTTCGCTGGTATTGTGTGGCACGGGGCAACGGCTTGATGAAACAACATATTCTTCAAGTCGCTTTCTTAAATTGCAGGCCATAATGAGTCGGAAGAAAGTCCCAACTCCTTAGAACGTCGAGAAATAAACATACTCGGGTCTTCGGCTACACTTTGACTTACAGTAACATATTTGAGATTGAAGTAGGAAACAGTGAAACACAGGCCTTACAACATCTGTTAAAAAAATGTTACCGATTGCTTAAGTAGTTGAACGATTATTCATATCATAATTTTTGTAGTAGGTTTCTAAGAATTATGCCGCGTTGTGCGGTTGTTAGGCGATTCATTTGCGTAAGTCATGTTGTCAAAATATAGCTATCTACCACGCTATTCAGAAAATAGCAGCTAAATTACAGCATGAAATAGTTGTTGGCGGCTGCGTTTTTCGAATGGTTAGCATTGAGTACTGCCATTCGGAAGGCTCGCGTTCAAATTCCCGTGCGACCAACATTCAAATGATATAGAAAATTAATTTAAATAAAAAAATAAGTTAAATTTTCTAATTGCGGTCGCCCCTAAGCAGGGAATGTAAATCCCTCCGAGTGTATTCCTGACATGAAATAAAGCTCTTAATAAAAAAAAAACCATCAGCCGTTCGGAGGCGGCTTAGTATAAACTGTAGTCCCTCCATTTGTTGGAAAAATATCAAGACGCAAAAACCGCAAAGCGCCAATTATATATATTTTAAATATGGTTGTTGATTAATAATACAACAGTAGATTACATAGCTAAAGAAGGCGCAGTGGTAGAACACTTACCTGTTATGTTAGGATCCGTTGATTCGATCCCTGTCATAAGAAGTCTGATGAGAAAATGTGATGATGTCACTTCTACAATGTTTCGTTGTTGTTTCATACAAAAAAAAAACAGGTCTCACAGGGCTCACTAAAACTTAAAACAATAAGAAGAATGACCCTATAATTTTTGTGAACTAATGAACCAGAGATGAGGAAAACTTACTTGTGAGACGCCTTTGCAAAAGTCAAATCAATGGAAGCTATGAAATATTTTCAATAGAGTAAAGCAGTTTAACTTTTGATCAAAGAAAAACCTGAGAAGAGTGAAAAGAGCATGACAATGGTGAGATCAGAAAACTGAATGAACCAGCGTAAAATATTTAACGCTTTGAGCCTTTGTTAAGCGATAACCCAATGTTCTGTTTATCAATTAAACTTCTCGCCAACCACTTTCACTTTAATAAATTAAAAAAAGACCTGTCTTCAAGAATTTTTTTTTTACTGAAGGATATTCTAGTGATTTGTGAAGTTATTATTTTTATATTGAAACAAAACCACAAAACTAAAATTTACAACAAAAATGTATGTAGGGGATTTAATAACTATTGATATTTGTGTAAGGGCTGGAAATTTAAATGAAATAAATTTCAGACACGTTTAAACACTTTTGTCCTATACCATACCAGATACAAAGAATTATTTAGCTAATAAAAAATCGATTTTTTGAAATATCTACCTAATTATTTATTTCTATGAACATAGAGTGGAGAATGATGAATAATTTTTTTAAAAATGTTATAAAACCTTTTAAAGTATATTTGACATTTTTAACAGAATATTTATTCCAATAAAGATACAAGTCAAAATTATACAATTTCGTGTATGTGTGAGTGCAAAAATATATTAAATTTCGATTGTATTCGCCTTGGTATTTTGAATTTCTAGTAGTAGTTTTTACGTTTGCAAATACTCGGAATCACACCATTAAATGGTAATAAGTAAATAAGCATATTTAATTATGACACACTATATTACCAAGTTATTTTAAGATAAATGCTTTAGGATTTATAAAATGGCTTTTCGCAAATGAAGAGGCAATTTTTTCTCATTCTAATAAAAAAAAACCAAAATCCGTTGAAAGACTTTGTAACATAAAACACTCGATGATACAAATAAACTAATATTTATAATAAAATTTGTTGTATTTACAATTATTTGGAGAAATTTGTTTTGTAAAAAATGTTCTATGCAGTTCTTCCATATTCCGTTTATTATTTATTAATCGCAGAGCCAGCCATTGCTTGATTAGCAGTGCGTACTATTGGAAGGGAATGCCAGCTCCTCCAAGTGAAAATCAAAGCTCCTCATAAAAGTTCTACATCCGCTCGGCGGCAGCTTAGTATAAACTGTAGGTTCCTCGATTTATTGGAAAAACATCAACACTTATACCATAATATGGAGTAGGAGCTCGACCGAAAATCTCTTCAGCGGTTATAAAGTCCCAATTATATACAAATGTATGTAGCAGTATGTATATAGATAAAGTTATGGAAACCTATTGGTTGTGAATATTAGGTTCTGTAACGAAAATAGGTTATGTAAAATTTTCTACTTTTGTGGAGGGAGAGTATGAAAATACTCGAGCAGCTAAGCAAAGAATTTCGTAAATTTAACCGAGATGATTTTCCATATGCGTCGGCTTCGATCTCCGGTTTATTGAAAAAAAGCGACCAAATTTGCTTTACAGCCTCTTTGGTGTAATAAATTAACACAATGTTTGCTATTACTGAATAACTAATCCTTCGCTACCCTATCGAAAATCCAGCAGTGTTCGTCTTCGCTCTTAAATATATCAAGGATACGCACATAACATCGTAATAATAGCAGTAGGCAAATTCCAAAACACACTGTGTGACATTATACGGAGAGCACCCACACTAACGAAGAAATGGTGCTTAGAAGCGGGGCCAAATATCAACTCCACAAAGACAGTTATTGTACCATTTACTAGAAGGCATAAAATAAACCTGAAAGGCACACGACAAAACAATATAGTAATTGGAGCAACGTGGAAAAGACACCTGGAATATATGCGGTATTATGCTGAATATCGTCTACGTCTTCGCTGACGATCGTCAATGTTCATTGTCACTTTGATTAGGTATTCTGTACAATCAATGCAGACGAAACGAATTGAATTGAGAAAACGCGAAAGCCCTGTGCACGGGAAATTTTCTGTTTTGGGAAATTAATTTGTGAAATTATGGTTTTTAAGGAAAAAAAATATTAGTTGTTCTTTCCAAACTCAAGCGATTATGAAGAGAGCAAAAGTTTAAAAGTTCATAGTAGGTTGTAAATTCCTCGTTTGACACTACAGGAGCTTTCTCTAGATCTGTTGGTGTGTTGTTGCGGTTGTAATGTCGCGTTGCGGTTCATTGTTGTATACATATATCCCCTCCGGCGGTTGCTCTTTACTCTTTCTTGTTGTTCATTTTTTTTTTTTTTTTCATTTTAAATTTGATGAAACAAGAAGCATTCGAATTTTTTTCACGCTTTAATTTGCCTTGTACCATTCATCCCCAGCCCTGACAGGTGGTTCTAATGCATTAATTTTTGTGGCAATATCTCTTCTTTTAATTTGTGTTGGAAAAGGCTTTTTTGGAACCCCTTGCTAAATATGGCTTATTTTCTAAATTCTGCCACAATAATATGACATTGAGCGCTTGTGATGAGCCGCCTTAATTTCTGTAACGTCTGTTGAGTTGAAGGATCTGAAAATCTTTGCTGCTCTGGATGTATACCATGCTAGTCTCTCACAACTTTGTAGTATCTAAATTATCTAGTTTGAACTTTCAGGCCACTTTATGCAGTAGATAAAATTTCACGTGTCTAAAGACTCTGTACGGTTGCTTTAGATATTGGCTCATCCCAACCTTTTGATTTTCCAAGTAATTAAAAATCTGATTGATTCCATTGCGCTCCAAGTGGCACTTCCTCTTTTCTCTACGCGTTACTACATTTGCGGCTGCTTCCCAATACGCTTTATGAAGTTAAAAACTTATGAGTCTATTTCGATTCCAACTTGAGTATCTCTATCCATATTATCTTCGTCTTCAGATCCTTACAGGTTGAAGATTCTTTAAGTTTCTCTTATAAGAGTAAGTTTTGACCATGCTTCTATCATCTGGAGGCAAAAAAATTTCAAGTGTTTGCTGAAGGCCGCGGTAGCCGAGTTGTTAGCATTGCGTACTGCCATTCGGAGGGCTTGGGTTCAAATCCCCGTGCTATCAACATCCAATTATTATAAAAAATTAATTTAAATAAAAAATTAAGTTAAATTTTCAAATTGTGGCCGCCTCTCGGCAGGGAATGTCAACCCCTCCGAGTGTATTTCGGACAAGCAATAAAGGCTCCTCGTAAAATAAACCATTAGCCGCAAGACGCAAAACCACAAAGCGTCAATTATATATACATATATATTACTGAGCCGACACCTTCATATAAATCGAGGTGTTCGCTTTTAGGAATTAACCCCTGAGTAGTAGAATCTCCTTTGCCGCGTCCATTATCCGGTCCAATATTGGCTGGAGCAAAGATCTGAAATTGTCAGAAAAACCTCTTCACGTTTTTACAGATGGTTCTAAAAAGAATGAAGGAGTGGGGACTTCAGTTTACTAAGCCCAACTAGAGATAAGGAAGTAAGCTACTCACCTAATGCAGTACCTCCCAAGTAAAAATGTTTCCTATAAAAATGGCTGCAGAGCTTCTGAAATGCTTCTGCTGAATCAGAAGTAAGAAGTAATAACACTTAGTCAGGCAAATAAGCTATAAATAATACAAAGTTTGATTTATCCGTAATGAAGCCTGATTCCAGGTTGCTGATAGGACTATTAATAGGTCTGTCTGGGGCAACAAATGTAGGAAATTGAAGGAATGTGTGGAGACAGTGGGGCACGTATTCTGTGAATGTCTGGCATTCGGAAGACATCGGCTATGCATACTTGGCGGAGCAAGGTGACACGATATGCTTCCGAGTTACCGCTTCTACGTATGTATGTGGAGAACAGTCTTGAAATTTAGCTTTAATGACGAAATATGGTTGTCGGTAATACATGATTTCCGCACAGAAAATCTATCAAGCCACATGGCCGTCACCAGATCTAAAATTGCTCCATCAAATCGATCATGTTGTTATTGACTGAAGACCTACCTCCTGTTTTCTAGATGAGCGTTCGTACGGTGCGGATCACTATCTTTTCACAGTGAAGATTCGGACCCGTCTTTGTGTATCAAAGAACTTCGGTCAACAAACACAGGGAAGGTTCGACGTCGAAAGGCTGGAATCACCACAGACTGACGAACTGTCAAGAGCAATTCGATATAAGGGAACTGTGGAAAAGCATCTCGAGATCCTCACGTACTGCCGCGAAGTAAACAATTGATTTTCGGCAGTACCTAAAAAAGAACTAGTACGATAAGAAATGTCGAATTGTAGTTAGGAGAAAACAGACTGCCGGAACACGTTTGTGGGATAGATGTAGAGAACTGAAGTGTGAAGCAAGACGCAAAAAGATGCTGAATGCGTGATAATGCCAACAGAAGTTTTCCTTCTTGGACTTATATAGGAAATTCTCCAGCCTGCTAAATGTCAGTGACAATACAACATACCCGGGACCCAATCGATGATAATGGAAAAGACGTTCAATTGCCCGACTAAGATGAGTCCAGCGATTGCCCGCCGGAATCGACGGCTTACCGGCTGAGCTATTTAAACATGATTGCGAAGAGCTGACAAGGTGGACTAAGTATATTCTACCAATCCATAAAAAAGGGGAACAACTAAACTCAGATAGAAATGAGAAGGACCTCTCCGAGCCGTTTGGTACCAAAGGAGGTTTCAGACAAGATGACCTTTTATCAGGTCGTTTTCTTCTGGAGAAAACAATAAGAGCTGCAAAGTTATATAGATAAGACCCAATCTTTTTCAAGAGCCCACAACTGCTGGCGTAGGCCGATTACATTGATATAATAGGCCTTAACAATTTATCTGCAGTTCTGCCTTCTCCAAACTTTACAAATAAACATTCAAGGAAACAAACAGTCAAAGTCACTGTTGGCAGTCATAACTTCAAGGTCGTACATAATTTCAAATCTGACACAGAACCAGTTCTGCCATCATGGGCTACTTTGGACCGTGTAGTCCCCTCTCGACGTACCAAAACTAAATTGTACTAGACACTCATCATTTCCGTCTTGCTATATGGTGCAGAGTCTTGGTCGATATCGATATCCGACGTGAGTCGGTCCTTTGCGTATGATGGCGATGGCGAATACTGCAAGTGATGCGAATACTGCAAACGATGGAGCAATGGAATGTACGATTTATACACCGGCTAGGTCACGTCGTCCAAATAAATGAAAGCGATACAACGTTGAAAGTTGAAGGAGAAAGTCCGCCACACTAGGATCAATTGGAGAGCGACTTGGTTTCTCTTGGTATTTGCAAGTGAACCCAAAGAGCGAAGAGGAACGGATGGTACGCTATGGCAACTTCTCTTGGAACTAAATCCCATAACTGTTTTTCCAAGTACAAATTTTGGAAAATTTTTGGCCAAACAAACGTGATGTGGTATAAATCAGTTCCACAACATAATTGACCCTGTATCGTCCTTTCGATCGGAAATTTTTTCTTTCCAAAACTTCTAAGATTACAAAAAACTTATTGGTTTAAAACAAAAATGAGGTTAATCGTGCACATACATAGTTTGCATTTTTTCATACAACCCTGAGATTTATAACCGCAGCCAATATTTGGACGTGTAGTGCAGATGGCTGTTTGTGTCTTTGGGAACGCCGTTAAGCGTAGAGCGGCATAATTTCTGTCCAGGTGTTTTTGAAAATTGACTTTTGTTTTGTAAATGTAATTATAAAATTAACAAAATGTATTTACTTTTAATAAAGAAGTTATGTTTGTTTCAGGAGTTGGTGAAAAACGCAAGCTCTGCAAATTCAAAAAAACAGATCCATTTACTGATATCAGGATCTTGGGGGAATAAGCCGCAGAATATAGCACGAAGAGAAATACGCAATTTTGTTAAAAATGGCGCCAACAAGGAATACCCGTGCAGTTTCCAAGCAAGCTGTAACGACAACAATAGACCCATTACCCATGTCTCGGAAAGGACTTACGCGGAGAAGTGCGGTTAACGTACAGGATCAAAATGTAGACATTCAAACGCGCGGCAAGCGTAAAGCCGAACAAAGTCCAGCTAAAAATGATAAAATTAAACGTTCTGCGTTGGGTAATCTCACTAATAATGTTAAGATGATGCCTATGACGACGAAAACTGTAAATTCAGAAGACGCTTTAAAGGCTAATCAACATGTTTCGAAAAGGAAGGAAAGTTATCTCAGTGGAACACAAGCACAAGTGCTCAAGGAAACACAAAACACAATAATAAACGATGATGTGTCTACACGTCAACCACTGCAGAAGAAAATCGCAACCAGAGCATCAACCCGACAGTCTATAATTGCAGCAAATGCAAAAAATGCCAAGAATGAAGAAGAAACGGCATCAAAGGCAACAACAAATAATGTGACAACTATACCTAATATTAAGATTTTAACAACGACAGCACCATCAGTGAAAACTCGAAAATCTGGACAAGCATTGAAATTGGCACCTCTTCCTGGAGCGCCAATAACTGTTTTGTCGCAAGTGAAACAAACTCAATCCAATAAACCAGTGCGTCGGATTTCCAATGAATTCAACAAGACTGAGGAAAGTTTATATATGTCTGCATTGGAGGATATATCTAGTTGCGAGTCTGTGCGGTTATCTGGTAATTTCGAGGCAGCTAAGCGTCGTTCGGCTCTTTTGATACAGGAAAAGAATAAAGCTGAGAGTTCGCCATGTCAAGGCAAAGGTGATAAACCGCCTCCTGCGGGAGTACCTGAAGGTGTTGAAGACTTTGACAAATTCCACTGGAATGATATCTTCCAAGTATCGAACTACGCCATGGATATATTTGAATATATGAAATCTCGTGAAGCAGAATTTCCAATAACGGATTATATGGTAAAACAGGTTAATTTGAATAAGTGGATGCGGACGCTTTTAATCGATTGGATGGTAGAGGTTCAAGAGACATTTGAATTGAACCATGAAACACTTTATTTAGCTGTAAAAATTGTTGATCTCTTTTTATGTCGCGTCATTATCAATAAAGATGTGTTGCAATTACTTGGTGCGGCAGCACTTTTTATAGCATGTAAATTCGATGAACGTACACCACCTTTGATTGAAGATTTTCTTTATATATGTGATGGGGCGTATAAACATCATGAACTAATACGTATGGAAATGACAACCCTTCGTACAATTAACTATGATTTGGGAATACCATTGTCATATAGATTTTTACGCCGCTATGCACGCTGCTCCAAAGTATCAATGGCCACTCTTACATTGGCGCGATATATTTTGGAAATGTCGCTTATGGATTATGCTACCATACAATTTAGCGATTCGAAATTAGCATGCGCAGCCTTGTTCATGGCTCTACGTTTACATGGCGAAAAAAAGCCTTGGATAAAAGCACTAGAATACTACAGTGGCTATATGTTGACTGATTTTGCCGAGATTGTACCGGTTTTAAATGCAGGCTTGCATCGGAAACCTAAAGTGAAGACAATTCGCAGTAAATATTCACACAAAATATTCCATGAAGTTGCCAAAGTCCCGCTGCTTACGACTGAAGAACTGTTCGAGGACAATTTGGACCTGAATATTAGCACAAAAATTGATGAACCTAAGAACTCATAAAATTTATTACGTCATAGTTTAATTAGTTCAATGCATGTATGTCATTTTCAACTTAACCAATAACATAAATAAACATTTTAACAAGCACATTACATAACCACACATAACACTTGTTTCTAAAATTAAGGAGCATTTATTTTAATTTAGTTTATATACATATACATACATATATTTTTGTTTTGTTGCATAAGTTATTGTAATATGTAATGAAATTGAACACTTGTTCAGTTGATAAAATCTTTGATTTGAAATTTGAAGTTTATATTCTCTGTACTTTCCTTTTGATAATTTTTTTTTAATTGACTTAACAAAATGTGAACACATCGCTAACATATTCATTTAAAGTTGCATTTCGAAAAGATACCTGAGAGTAGTTTATGCATCAAACATACCTTCAATGCGTGCTTACGAATTTATGTATGCTAAAGTGTACGTGTATGAGATTTGTTTGCCAATGGGAATTCCTCTAGTATTCAAAAGTTGATTCGATTAAGTAAACCGCTTTTGAGTTCATTCTTATTTTAATGAAGCATAAAGATACTTGGAAATTATGTTCACGGTTAATTAATTATGTTTGTTGTAATGTTTCTTTGTCAACTTAATTCTTATACACTCGCAAATTACTTTTTACTTCATTTTCAATATTGTACGATTATTACGCTTATATAATAAATTTAAGTCTGTTTTGCTCAATATATTTTTAATAAAGTTTTATGACAAAGTTATGCATGTGTCTAAAACATACATACATATGTATATATATATGTTTTGTTTTGGTGTTTGCCATTAAATTTGTTCAAACAAAAAAACTTGGTTAGTTATACTTGGTATACATGTGTATGTATATATATATGAATGTATATATCGATGTTTCCATATGTACTGTGAGTACATATCGTGTATTTGCTTCTTTATGTTCAATGCTAATCGTTTCCCTTTTACATCCTTTTCAGATACTGAATTTTTTTTTATACATTGTCCTTTGTATTCTACTGTCTGACTGAGGCAGCTGGCGCCTTTTTTAATCAGTTATTTGGATTTATACGGAATTCCGATTTGATATGAATATTTTATTTGCAACAGATAGCAAAGAAATCAAGGAATTTTAGTATTAATAACTAGAAACAAGGGTTGGGGGTTCAAGAATTTACCCTCGGTAAGATATGCCTGCCGTAAGAGGCGACTGAAGTCAAGTAGTTCCCGCGTCAGTCGGGTCTTTATACCGGAACGACCCGGATTTTTATCCGGCCAAGGACTCTCACTAACGCACCATCCCCAAAAAAGTACTTTGGGGAATATTTTTGTGGTTACAACAACAACAACGACAAGTGTCAATAATGTTAATGTATGTAATAATGTGTTTGTCATATCCCAATTTTCAAATTCCTTGCAATTTTGTCTATTTTAAAGAAGATAAACAATTTTCAAATGGACTTAAAAACTAGTGAATTGGACGTGTAAACCTGTTTAAAACCTTACAAATGAAACACGAAATGTAGCTGAACTGGTCACCGTGTGTTTTTAAACAATCAGATTACGTTTCACAGAAAGATAGTTCTAGACATCAGAGATGCACGCTATGTTTGTTGTTGTTATAGCAACCGGAAAACACCATTCGCATATGCTAATACACGACATCCTATTAGCTTAAATGGGAATCCGATCAGAGAACCACGATCAAGTTTATAGCATGCCATTGTTGTATGGAGAATTCTTCCAACGCAGTGTTGTTTGATTATGTGGGAAAACCCATTATTGATCATTCGTGCTCATAAGAATACATAATAATATGTTTTTGTTTATAAGAATAAATAATCAAATGTCCTTGTGCGAATGTTGCCATTAACACATTGAACGGAACATAATCAACTAAATCACATATAACTATACATATGCAATCCAATTCACATACACGTACTTACTTTCTTATCTTCCCATTGAATTTTAAAGGGTGTTTACACCAGCTGAGTATATGAAATTTATTTGTTTATTTTGTTTAAAAGTTATGTATATAAATGCGAATAACTGACTTAGAAACCGTCCGAAGAAGGCTCCTAAAATCAGCCTATCAGAGATGGTTTTCTGAGCAGTTACGGAGAATGGAGAAAAATAGTGTTAAGCAAAGAAGGTTTATATGCTAATTTAGATTTTATTCTAAAAAGCGCCAACTGGATTATAAAATGAGGTACATATTTACGCCGAGTAGCTATCATTGCGTACTGCCATTCGGAAGGCTCGGGTTCAGATCCTGTGTCGGTGTCGGACTTACATCCAAAAAGGTATAGAAAATTAATTTAAATAGAAATGCGGTCGACCCTCGGCAGGGAATGTTAACTCCTCCGAGTGTATTTCTGACATGAAATAAAGAGTTCCACATAAAAAAAACCATCAGCCATTCGGAGGCGGCTTGAAAACACCAAAACGCAAATCCACAAATCGGAGGAGGAGATCGGCCAAAAATCGCATCAGCGGTCATATATATATAAATATATTTATATATATGTATATATTTATATAAACGTCTTTGGCCATTTGCAGTCCGCAATCCGCGGTAGCTTAAAAATCATACCAAGGCATGAGTGTAAAATGTTTGTAATAATTTTACTTTCATACAGGAGCCATAAACGAATGTGTAATGAAGAAGAAAAACTTCAAGTCATGTTCGACGAAGTGGTCCAAAATAGCTAAGGTTAATAACATATACATATTCTCGTATTATAATCGGCGCTTAACAAACCACTGAAGTGATTCTCGGGTGAGCTCTGCCTCCTCTTTGTGGTTACGTCATGGTGTTTTCCCCGAATGGAGCCACCTACAGATTTTATTCGTATCAGAAATAACACTCTTTTCCTGCCGATGAGTGATTAGAAAAATGTACTTTTAAATGAAATTTCTACCATTTTGGTTGTTAGTCAAGCCAGCACTGCTAACCACACTGTGAAAAATTAGATGTCAAAATTTTTTTCCTTCATTTGTCATTCCTTTTTCATTACAAATATATTTTCAGACAACATATCATATCACCCTGTACTACATATGTACACACACATATACATATGTATAAACACTTAATTAGCTCTTTATAAAATTGATCTGTGGATTAAGCGCAATCAGTCCATTGAATACAAAGCTCTGTTTAACAAATCAAGTACTTTCGCTCGAATACTTCACTCGACTTAAAATATAATATAATATTATAGGCAAAAGTTCAAACCATAAATAACATAGAAATTACCGCATAGCGTACGTGTATTTACCAAAATCATAATGAAGTATGTAATGACTTATATTTTCTTCGCTGCCTGCATTGGACTAATTTCCGCTCGTCCCACTTTCGATAAAATCGCTGAAGCTTTACTCGACGTACTCGAGGTCAATACTTATCCGCGTTATCCGGCGGTATCGCCACCAAACTATCAAGATGGCTACCATGTGCATCATCATGATCATCACTATTATGGCGGAGGCGGAGCTCAACAACATGGTTACTATCAAAACTCGAATATAGGGTATCCTGCTGTTCAGCAAAGTTCCTACCCCTCGGAGGGACCTTATCCACAAGCAGCTTATCCCCAACGTCCTTATCCGCATAGGCCATATGTACATGGGAATAATGATGTTAGACGTTATGATAATAATGCACCGGATATTTCCGTTCAAATAATTGGAACTCATCCGCCATCAAGATATCAACCGGCAGCATATGAACCGTCCGGATATCAATCATCAGGATATCGCCGTCATGGTTACAAATAACTAATTTGATTGGTGAATTCGTTTTGTATTGATCCAATATAATTGTAATAAAAAACGAGTATTTATTTGTGTACATAAACTAATAAATAAGAGTCAAAAGATGTAAAGAAAATGTCGGGATTTCAAATTGATTGATGTAGTTTTTGAAATAGCAAATACCTGAGTGAGAGAGCAGCACAGTAGTTAACGGTAGACTTTAATGCGCCTTGAAAGCATATCGATGGTTTTATTGAGGCCGAGTTAGCATTGCGTACCAACTAATTTTTCTAATTGCGGTCGCCTCCCGGCAGGGAACGTCAACCCCCCCGAGCGTCTTTTTCACAGGCGGCTTCGTATTAATTATAGGCTCCTCCCTTTGTTAAAAAAAGCATCAAAAAGCACGCAATTTTGAGGAGTAGTTCGGTCGAAAATCGTAGTTTTCTAAACTTGACACTTCCTCAACATGTCAGTGCAGGTAATTTGCTATTGTGGTAATTGCATTACAATTTCATAAAACATTAATTTTCAAACTCTGTTTTGTAAGTGAAAGATATTTTTTTTTTTATTTTTACGTATTACAACATATATATTTATGTAAGCATATATGTACATATAGTATACCTAACGCTTTATATCTAAGGCTTCCTGAGGATTTTGGGTGGTTTTTAATAAATATTGCGAATCTGGAAAGATAACTGCCTCGTTTTCAACAAGTTGACTCAATTCCGGGCTTAATTTAGTTGCCTGTGTTGTAAAGTGTACTGCGATTGCTGCCGCGCTTGTATTATTTATGCCGAGATCATTTGATAGAAAGAGGTTTTGATTGATTGAAATATTTGTAGTTCCGTTAATTTGTGAGCTCGGTTTTCGTACGGTATCATCCCGACTTTGATTGATTAACAACACATTCCTCTCTTGATCGGCATTTGTTGGCTTGGGATTCGGCAAAAAGGGATTCGACATAAAAGGGTTTTGTGACATTTGCCTTTGTAAAAACGGGTTGGTTGATATATTTCTCTTAAATCTCCTCTTACTATTATAATTGAGTTTAAGCTTTTTCCGATTTTTCAGAGTGCGCTGAAAACTACTCCGCTTTGGGGCTTGATTAATCTCGAAGTCTTTGTAAAATTGTTGTTGCTGTTGTTCTATTTGTTGATGATGGTTGTAATGCTTACTATGTGCATCAGACGAGTATATTTGCTGCTGGTTTTGATGAGGTAATTGCTGACGGCGTTTCGAAAGACCATCGGCCCGTTCTTTTGAGCCATTGCACAAATTTATTTGTATACAGCCAAATGTAAACAATACTAAGCATTTTAACAACATTTTTACAGAGTTATTAACACACACTACTAAATAAATGCGTTGCGAA